GTTTTAAAAAGAATTCCTTTAACATTACTATTTTATATCTATTACTGTTTGTATTATAATTTTGAGTAAACATTAATCGAGGTAAACCGCTCGATCCCAATCAATCAATGTTAGATAATTCGTAAGTTTTGTTTGAGGTATTTCTTGATCCTCTAATACACAATAAAATTAATTTCCTAATTAAAAATGATAATTTACACCGATAATAATTTATAATATCGTTGTAATTCTGCTTCTTCTTATAACTATAAGCAAGTTTGTTGCAAAGCAGTTTCTCAAATGTCCTGGCTTGAGGTCCCATGCCACCCGTTACTGAATATATTAATGGAGCGAATGACCCGTGCTCTACATTAAGTATTCTCTCGTTGTAGCATCGTGTTTTCTGTCTCTCGGCGTTCTCCATTGTCTTCTTGTCGAATATTGAAGGTAGGAATTAGAATTAGGATTAATTACCTTAACATCGAAAAAAGCCACTCGGCCCGGCCTATAGAAACCACGAGCTCTAATATCGGGTCTTGCCTGGTCACCAGTGGCGTAACGTTCCCTGTTGGCGCCCCCCCCCCCCCCGCCGAAAAGGCGCCCCCCTGTTGGCGACCCATCCCTAAAATTGAACAAATTAGGTGATTTTAGAGGATACGCCTGTAAAATCTCTAAAAAAGTGTGTATCTAGAGCAAAACGTGAAGTTTTGCTAGTACTTTAGTTAAGTTTTTCGAATTGTCCCACATTAAAAACGACGATTTGGCGCCCCCCCTAAGACGGCGCCCCCCTGCTGGTCCACCCGTTAGTGTTGAGGACCTCTTGAACTGCTCTCCTTCTAGTTCTTGATGCTGAGGTTCAACTTCCACGTCCGAGCAAACAGTGTTCAGCAAGCAGCTAAAAAAATCCCTAATTTCATTGTGTCTGATAATGATGTAGCCACCAAGATGGCAATTTAGCGAATGGTTCACATCAAACGTTTTTCCGCATGGACATTGTGATGGCAAACGATCCAGATCTAAGTTGTACCGCAATCTGATAGAATCCCTGAATTCAGATTTATTTAGAACGAAACCATGTTTTCTAAGTGGTAAACATGAGAGCCAATTTGAACTCTCTGGTTCGCTAATAGTGGTAAGTGGGTTTGAATATGTTGTCATCTGTCCTTTTATTTCGTTAGTTACCATGACAACTAACGCGCAGTGAAGTGCGCGAGTATTGCTTGCGGAGATGTGATGTATATAGATGTAGCTAACATGTCAATGAATGCGCGGCGCGAGAGAATTTTAATGTATACTATTTAATTTATAGCATTAGGTAATAAGCCCAATTTCAAATTTGTACGTGGCATGCGTAGTATAGTGTACTGATGTGTATCAATATTAATATTATGAAGTAAGCTGATTGGAGTCTATATTTATAGTTATACTTATACTTATAGTGAACGGAAATCTAGCGTCCGCCAAAACGAAACAACGAGCGTAATTCTTGTGAGAACCAAAATCGACGAAACGTTTTTGACAATACTCTGTATTGCTACACGTTGTACTTGTATACCTCTCTCGTGCACTAGCACTCCGGCCGGCCGAAAAAGGGGTTGCAACGCACAACATAGGTCAACCTATTATGCATGCGATGGAGGACTTCGCCGCTTCGACGCGCCGCGCGAATTAGCATTCTTGCTTCGCATCGTCGTCGATCGTTGCTCTGCTTCGCATAGCAGAGCAACGATTTCGACGGATTGACAACGTCAATCAAATGCATGCGCACCACAGTCCACTCACTACAATAATATTGCCACAGAGTTTGACACACGTTGCAACCCCCTTTCGCGCGCGGTGGCCTCTGACAGTCCGGCCGGGATGCACAAGAGAGGTATACAACGTGTAATAGCAAATAATAAGTTGTATTGTACACTGTACACGCGCGCTGCATAGTACCCTTTTCGCGCGCCGGTCGGCCGACGTGCACGGAAGGGATTACAAGTCTAATTTAGATTTGTAGCGCGATGCGTTACTGTGCCGCGCCGCGCACTCAATTGTCAATGAGGCTTCTCACACCTCTCTAGATCGGCGAGATACGCTACTGTGCCGCACCGAGTTACTGGGCCGCGCTCAGCCTGTCATTCCGCCCAATCTCTATTGTTTACCAACATTAAAGCCTGGGGTCCTCAGGTAACGCGCCGAGCTGAGATGAATTGACATCGTCAATTAAATTTAGATAAGCAACGGATGACTTATAACTTTACTATCTTGATTGACGATGTCAACCCATCGAGATAGTTGCTCTGCGAATTGATTCACGATGTCAATCCTTCGCATCTCGCCGATCTGCATACGGTGGTTGCGAGAAGCATTATTTGATGCGCGCGCGACCCAGTAGTGCATCGCGCTACAACTCTGCGAAGTTTACGGATGTTACTCGTCTAAATTTCTTCGAAGTAGCGCGCGCCGCTTTCTCCTCGAAATGTTACCATGGCCCGATCATGGTAAGTGCTACGAAGTAGCGCGCGCCGGGCCAGATCATTAATAATGGTCAATCTGCGAAGCAAAGCAACGATCGACGATGCGAAGCAAGAATGCTAGTTTGCGCGGCGCGTCGAAGCGGCGAAGTCCTCCAATCTACTATCACGTGGCCTACTTTAACACAGGCACATAGGAATAGTGAAATTCCAATGTGTCATTAATATTCAAAGATGTATTATTTTTTGAGGGGCTAAAACTGTGACATGATTTTGAATCGATTAAAGGACCAGTTAACTGAAAAATTTGTAGTCTCCAATTTGGCTAAGATTTAAATCAGCTGTGACAAACTGGTAAAGAATCGTATCGCCGAAAGAACCAACTCTCTAGCGTACGTGCAACGCGTGTTATTGCAATAATAAGCTGTGGCCTCGTGACGTCATAAAGTCCCTCTGTGCGCGCTTGCATAGCGTAATACATTGCAAATGTTCATCATCGTCAATAAAACACGTGTAACTCACTCAAATTTTAGAATTATGACTATTACCCTAGTTCTCCAAAATCCTTATAGTTTTGGCTATCATCCTAACTAAAGGAATAGCTGATTGGATGTACAGTGCTCACGTCATGATTTTAAACAGTGATATAGGTTCTTGAACAGTGGCGGGTGAATGTACGGTTAGAAAGTTTCTGCTATTACAACTTATGTCATATGTGATAATTTTGGATTGTTTTCATTGCTTAATTGCACAAGCAGGGAGACTGTACCGATTATTTTTCCCCAGTCCATGAAACTCTAACGAATTTAGAAAGGATCCAGATAAGTAGGAGTTTGTTCAATTCCGAGAGCAATTATATTTATAGCATAGCGAAATTTCTAACTTTAATCCGTATGTGTCAGCCAGTACAGGAGACAAGAAGTCTGGCTACTTTACGGCCGTTCCTCTGGGACCATTAGTAGAAGTAGCTTCTATCAGAACAGTGCCGTGGGAACAGAATTCCCGCCAAAATGCCCGGTCTACCAAATAGTAATACTGATTGGAGTGTACGGTGTGAGGTGTGTTTTGAATTAGATTTACGGCTTACCTAGTTGTTATCCTAATTGCATTATCTTCGGTACATAACATAAATAAATTACTGTTAAGTTTAAATACCAAGTGCAAACGTGTTCAGTCAATCGACCCACTGAACAACTATAGAATTTCCAAGACCCTATTATTCTCTGGCCATATATTACGGCACGATCGATTGTTAGATGGCTAAACGACCAACGTTAATCTATACAATTCTAAAACTATGAGCTAGCACTTTAATCTAAAAATAAACTTTTTATATTACTCCTGATTTTTACATTTCGCGTAAAACATTGTCGCCACAGGTTGATCTTGTCATACGTTGTATGACCCGCCGCGCACGAAGTGCGCGGCTCCCCCTGTATCGTCGAAGACGATACAGTGAAGCGACCGTGGGGGTCACCACGTGATACAAGGTTGATCATGGACACTAACAGCTTAATTTGAGATAAATGACTTATGAGTTTTTGTAAAGTTAACTCTAAAGTTGTGCAGTCCAGTCATTTATGGACATTTATGGAAATGAACCTGCAAATGTTCTATTGATACATGTTTCGCCTTCGGCGGCGCGCGCTTCGCGCGCGAAAAGTGGCATGCAACGTATGTCAAATGTTCTAATACTCACGAAACTTTGCCATTTGCACAGACCTTCCCGAAGTTATGAATACACGATTTTCGTTTGGAGACATTTTTTGACCGTGGAGAAAACCCAGGAGGGCCACGCCCATATTGACCCAATAACGTAACCGACCCCTTTCTTCTGAAGGTCGTAGAGACTTCAAAATAGGCTTAAACGAAGCCGCATATGCATGTTTATATAGGAGTTATTGAGCAACACATGGCCTAAAATCCTTACTTTTCGAGAAATTCGCCAAAAACCATTTTGGGCGTGGTGCTGAGCCCATTTTCGATAGGATCGTGATAGAGTCTTTAGACAGGGTGCAAAAGAACCGCAATTAGCATATTAATATATGACTTACGAACAAACATATGCCTTAAAGTGCTTACTTTTTCAGTTATTGGCGAAAAACTGATTTTCGGTTCCAGAAATCATGCAAAACTATGGGTATCTGGTAAATTGGGCTATGAAGGCCCCTAAAGGTTTTTGAATGTGTGCAAATTGTGCAGAATGGCCATGTTTATATACAACTTATGAAGCAACATGTACCCTAAATTACTTACTTTTCGAGTTATTCGGGGGAAAAGATTGTATTATGTCCATTTTCTACCTGTAAAATACAGTCTCACGACCTCCTCTGCGCGCGCAGGGACTTTATGACGTCATCGCCAAAATAATACAAACGCTATTTACACGCGTTAGAGAGCAGTTAGAGATTTAGGAATTCGACTCGTTGCTTAGTTTGCTATTTGTCACAATCTGTCAAAATATGAGGATAACTTTTTTTCAGTTAACTGGTCCTTTAAAATGAATTATAAGTCGTCAGATTAATCTTTATTCATGTTTAAGAAAGCAAATAAAACGCCTTGTTCTGATATAAAACTCATCAAATAAAGTTCGTTTCATTTAAATAACAAGTCACGCGACTTTTCATATTTGGCGTTAAAAAACATGGCAACGCTATTCAAATTACAAACATCGGGTGTTCACCAAAACTAATACAATAATATATTAATAAGAATAAGCAATAATGCACAAACATATTTACAAAACGTTACAGGTCAAAAGTTATTTAATTGTATTAGAAAATTGTCAATATACTTTTAACCCAAAAAATGTAAAAAGAAATAAAAATATATTACTAAGTATTATATTGTAAGTATAAGTATTGATTTAATCATCATCACCATTCACAATCCCAGGGGAAATTCCAACTATCTCACGAATCGAAATTAGATCATAGATGAGCGACAAAAATAAAAATGATGGCAATTCAATTTTAAAGATGACAGGAATCAAAAATAGTCATGTTAAGATTTTTAATGAAATTTGTGCTAAATACTTAAACGAGCGATCGATCTCATTCTCGGTATCATTTTGAGTTTGGGTACGGTAACGGTAATTTAAATTGATATCCGCGTTTCCTTTTGTTTGGAAAAAGGAGACACTGGCGACGGTCCAATATTTGAGTTTTGGATAAAAATTACAGCTAAAATGTTTGATTCGCCACAACTATCAAGTCAGTTCAAGAAGGAAAAATTGGCTGAAGCATCCATGTCCAAAAGAGATAAATCGTTGAGTTCTTTACTCCATACGTTCTCACGTCGCGTAAAGTTAATGTTTTCTACGGGATCTGAAAAATATAGTAAAAGAATAAAAAATGATTGATATGTTTGGCACGAATTTAAACAATGTTGTTACTAATTCACATCTCAACAGTAAATTAAGTTCAGTAAAAAGTGAAGAAGATGATCTATTGAATCTTTCAACTTTTCCGAAGCGAGGAACACACTCGCCAAGGCGACATCTCACCTACATGTACAGTGTTGGCCAATTTGATGTCTGAACTCGCTATGATATGACCCCAAGTTTGTGTACACTTTACTTACCATTTTCTTGGTTCTCTATATCCGAAATATCTTCCCTTGTTTTCTCTTCGACATTGGTCGACAGGTTGGACATTCTACTGGACACTGAAAATATCCATCTCAAAAACGTTGTAAATAAAGATGTCAAATGGAAGGCGACTAACAAAAATGAAACCATGACAAGTGAGACAACGGTATATCTTTAAAGGCTCTATTACCTTGCTTGTATTTCCTCAGAGACAAGGGGGTTAGAGCTGTGGGTCTCTGGGGTTTAGGCTTTGGAGTTAGAGGAGCAACGTGTACGAAGTTGTCAGTTCTAGCCGGTCCCCCTGCTAGTGAAAATACGGGCATCGGTGATTGGAGTCTGATATCCTGAAATAAATATAAACTTACCAAAACATTGAAATGTTGAGGAGAAGCATGGGAGGCATGAATAATATGCAGGATTTCTAAACAGAACTCTCCTGATTAAAAGCAATGTCTATAAACCTGTTGATAAAGGGAGAAGTCCGGCTGAGAAAGCCACATGTCAGCCCTCAATCCCCGGGTTTCTAAGTCTAGGTCCTCCAACCAAGATCCCAGATCTTTTATCAGACCCAGATTCTCAGCAAGATCCGTGCGGCGTTGTTGGAGGATCGACTGTGGTACTTGAGACTTGATCGTGTCTGATAAATACACATCATATTTTATAATATAAATACAACCAATAACAGCAAGTATATAAAGACACGGGGCTGAGTCCAATATTGAACATTTTTATCCTTATTTTTATCTCACCAGTTTCAACAGATTTGCAGAGCATTTTCAGTCCGATGTAGCTGATTTTAGTGAGAGCTACAAGACACAAGTCCCCACCACAGTAAGTATTTCCTATAGTCCCCTCTGCTAGCTTCTTCTGGTATTCTTGTATTATTATTGAGGGAACCTGAGACACATTTGTTGTACAATCAACACCACTTGTAGTAAATTATTAAACACTGCCGTTTTCAGAAACCATCAGAAATAATCGCCGGACCCCAGAAAGCCCCTTTTGGGAACCCCCTAGAATGCCGCAATTTGCCATGAGTGCTTGAAAACTTATTCGTCAGAAAACGGTAGAACAGATATTTGAACACATTCAGATGAAACTAAAGACTGACCTGAAGAGCGATTTTGTCATGATGTAAGACATTGTCACCATAGCTACCATTAATCAAGCTGTTAACCACAGCCCTCTCCGCCACACGTCTCTTACACACGTCTCCTAACCTATGCAAGTGCTGCTTCACCTGAACAGAGCATTCACGTTAGGAAACTGACAAGCAATTTCAGCTCTATTGCAACCATCTCAAGGTTCAGGTTGCTGAACCACGATAATAATATTAATAATAATAGCATTTCTTGAGAAAATTGTCGTCCAATGCAATAAATCAATAAAGAAATGAGTGTTCGACCAATCGGAATGGTTCATATTATCGAGTAAAGTGGCCGGCCAAGTACATTGGTGTGTTTATTGTATAGTCTGAGCGTTACTCAGAACAAAATAGAGTATTAGCTTAGTGCGTCACCAGCGAGCACTGATTAAATCAAATATTATTGGTTATGTAGTTTCCAAGGACACCACACGTATTGGAGTAAGAGTCGCTATTTCTCTGAAACATAATACCGTATTTTATCGTACTTGGCTATCTATATTGCCACAATTTGTTCGGAGGCCGTTTTTTCTAAAGATTTTAACTTGAATTTTGTGATTCTTGAATTTGACGCCTCAACGCAGGTTTTAGTAAATTTACATGTTTACCATGCGGCGGAAAGCTGAGATAGCAGAGTTTCAGAGAGCCCTACGTTTAGGTTAAGAGCGGGGCTTATCAAGCCGAGAAAAATACTTCATCAGGTGAGAAGAAATTAATTTGGTTTATTTAAAACCGACATCATTTATATTACTTCGTAGTTAACTGCTGTCAAATGTGTTTGCGTGTATGATAGCACAGCACAACTGTTCCCTGGCTGAAACAGTACTTATTGTGGTTCTTCACCGGTCTAGTCTCAAGCATAATATTTATAATTATATCGGGGTTTAGTCGTTACTTTAAGCAGCGCTGGAGTTGTTTAGTCTGTACAGTACTCGTAGTTCGTGTACTGTTCGTGTACTGTAGTTACTAGTTAGCACTAAAATTTAGCTATGAATCTGAAAACTACTATAATTAGCAGCGCACACAGTTTATTAAGTCCAAATAAGGAACGATAGGGTAGTTAGAAGCCTATCAGCTAATTCATTTTCACTGTATCTTTGCTATTACGGCCATGTAAAGTATTCTTGTCAAATTTCAAGATAACTTAGCACTTAACGGTCGCTGGGTGGGGCTACTTTAAAGTGCATAAGCCGGGAGTTTTTAAGTTTTTAAATAGAAAGTTCGAATGTGGACCGCTTCTGTGTTGAAATTCATAAAGGAGGAGCACTGACGCACTGAAGTCTGAACCATAAAATTACTGTTCATTCAGTTCTGTGCGGTGTTTGTTGAGACTTAAGAGGCCTGCACCGTTATCATAATGTTATATTATAAATAACAACAATGAAACATTAGCTTTTTCTCCTCTAATTGTAAAAGAAGAATAAGCTAATGTTTCACTTGTACCAGTTGCAGTGTTATCATGTCATCTCTGCTATCGTGTATCAACCAGTTTGGCGGTTTTATACTTTAATAGTTATAATGTGGCAAAGATTTGGTAGTTTCTTAGTTCCTAGTCTAGTTCATAATAAATCAGTTTTTACTAGTCTGAGACGAAACGGAATCTCGTTAGCTTTTCGTGTTAAAAGCGATTTCTCAACGGTTATCACCTCTCTAGATGGTTCTTAAAACATTTGGACTTCATTGCATTTTTGAAATAAATGCAATGAGGGCGTTTTCGGCCACACCCTTTTTCAGGGTTTCGCGGTCACTCGAATTTTTGTATTTCAGCCCAGGAAGGTCTTAAAGACTATTCCGATACACCAAAATGTGCCTAATAGCCACATTTATATACAACTTATGAAGCAACATATACCTTAAAATGCTTCGTTTCGGAAATATGGCCGAAAAACGGTTTTTGGCTTGACGCAGTTCATAATTTCCGTGATTTTTGGCATTTCCGCCTAGGAAGGTCGTAGAGACTATTCTGATACACTAAAATGTACATAATGGCCATATTTATATACAACTCATGAAGCAACATATACCCTAAAAGGCTTATTTTCGGAAATGTGGCTGAAAAACAGATTTTTGCCGAGTGAACAATTAAATGACAATATTCACAAATGACCTATTGGACTGTTAACTAGAAAGGTCTTAAAGACTCATGAGCAACACAGCATTTGTCACAAGATGTAAGATGACTCAATTTGTGTCCAGAAACACCTACAAAAATTGGAGAATGATCTACTTTATTGGGCATCTCTCTTAATGGGCCAGGCCAGCAGCATATCTGTGTCTTACTAAATGGCAATTTTTCAAAATTACGGTTTCTTTAGTAAAGGTCAATGGGTCAGTTGCTAACAGCAAATTGTTCGCAATTGCCGACTCATGCACATCATATACTCAAAAACGCTCACTTTAGGAGTCATAAGTAAATAACTACTACATGATTTGTGAAAACTCCAACAATTTTTCCTTGGTACCAATTTAAATAAAATGTGTGACGTGCCAGACTTCAAACTTTTTATTTATTCATGCCATGAAACCATATAATATATGTACCAAGAATACCGGACCTAAAATAAATCGGCACTGGATCCGGGTCAGATTGTTGCTTGACCGCTGACCAGTACCAGTACTTTATAATTATGATTGATTTCGCTGCCTCGACCAATATTGGTTTGTAATCCCTGGATTGAGATCTGTTGGCCGCTAATCTCCTATAATACCGCAGTGGTCTGGTTCCCACTTCAGAATGACCCCATATTCTTTTTTTTAGTCGCATAGATTTTCCCATCGTATGATAATGTGTGTCATTCCCTCGTTTTTTAATCAAGTGGTGACTGGCTATTTCTTCTGTTATTACAGCTGTGAGCTGCCTCGAGATCTTATCTGGGGCATGGGCACAAATACTAGAACATTAGAACTGTAATTCTAGAACTTCAGATTAAGGTTACTTGGCAGAATAGCATTAGCAGGGTTCGAGATTTGACTGAGGGCATTCAGGTAACATATGTCAGGTTCACATCACCTGATCACCAGTTGAAGTGCATCTTAATTTCGGCATGCAATGCCTTTATGCCTTATAAGTTATAAGCTTATAGTAGGATCACGGGGTTTTTATATTAGAAGGTCTCGAGATGCTGATTTAGCTATTTAGGTTTCACATGTGAAATTTTTCCAGCTTAATTGGGTAAAGTGGATTTTAGAGCGGGGAGGGGGTCTAAATTACCAAAATCTGAACAATCTCTTACTTACGGGACACTACGGGACAAGGGACGGATCTCGGGCCTAATAGCTGTTTTTTAATGAGAGGCTGGAGTTTGGACCTAGATGGTCAACGTGAGGATAGCATGAGGATTGAGGATTTAGGATGCTCTGCCTGCCTTTCGTGGGGTCTTGTAACCCCGAAAGCTGGTATATCTTATCTAAATTAACCTTGGTTACATCCCGTGCTGTTTCGAATAATTATAGGTCCAATATCAAGCAAAAAAGTCTAATCTCATGTACTGATGTTACACTTACATGATCTCCGACGCGAGGATCTCCGAAGTCCGATCTTAAAGTCGGATCTCAGAGCCAAAAAGAGGAACGTAAGCCTTGGTTCCTCTCTTTGAGAGTCAAACAGGAAATTCGGTGTTATCAACTCAAACTCGGATTCGTAGCACAATTGAAAAACCAAAGAATAAAAATCTTAATGAATTTCCCGACATCCTAAAATTAATATCAGGTCGTATTCAATTCAGTGGCCCAAACTCCAGTAGAGCAGTAGGTTACAAGACTTAAGTTCAAGTCGAGGAACACTTTGATTAAGCATGATCCTTGTCTAGTTGGAGTTTTCGCATATCATGCAGTAGTTATCTACTAATCACTCCTAAACTGAGCGTTTTAGAGTCGAATCTCGAACCCTGCCATTCGGCCAAGTAATCTTAATCTGAAGTTCTATAATTACAGTTCTAATGTTCTAGTACTAATGTATTAATGCCCTAGATAAGATCTCGAGGCAGCTGTAATAAAAAAGAGCTAGCCAGTAACCACTTGATTAAAAAACGAGGGAATGACACACATTATCATACGATGGGAAAATCTATGCGAACCAAACCACTGCGGTATTACTATTATGGTAAATGAGCTAAATTAAACTGCAGCCAACAGATCTCAATCCAGGGATTACAGACCAATATTGGTCGAGGCAGTGAAGTCAATTATGATTATAAAGTGGGGTACTGGTCAGTGGTCAAGCGACAATCTGGCCCGGATCCAGTGCCGATTTATTTTAGATCCGGTATTCTTGGTACATATATTATATGGTTTCATGGCATGAATAAATAAAAAGTTGAATTTTGGTCATTACATTTTGGCTATATAGGTGCCAATGAAAAATTGTTGGAGTTTTCACAAATCATGCAGTAGTTAAACTTATTTACTAATGACTCCTAAAGTGAGCGTTTTTGAGTATATGATGTGTATGAGTCGGCAATTGCGAACAATTTGCTGTTAGCAACTGACCCATTGACCTTTACTAAAGAAACCGTAATTTTGAAAAATTGCCATTTAGTAAGACACAGATATGCTGCTGGCCTGGCCCATTAAGAGAGATGCCCAATAAAGTAGATCATTCTCCAATTTTTGTAGGTGTTTCTGGACACAAATTGAGTCATCTTACATCTTGTGACAAATGCTGTGTTGCTCATGAGTCTTTAAGACCTTTCTAGTTAACAGTCCAATAGCCCATTTGTGAATATTGTCATTGTTCACTCGGCAAAAATCTGTTTTTCAGCCACATTTCCGAAAATAAGCCTTTTAGGGTATATGTTGCTTCATGAGTTGTATATAAATATGGCCATTATGTACATTTTAGTGTATCAGAATAGTCTCTACGACCTTCCTAGGCGGAAATGCCAAAAATCACGGAAATTATGAACTGCGTCAAGCCAAAAACCGTTTTTCGGCCATATTTCCGAAACGAAGCATTTTAAGGAATATGTTGCTTCATAAGTTGTATATAAATGTGGCTATTAGGCACATTTTGGTGTATCGGAATAGTCTTTAAGACCTTCCTGGGCTGAAATACAAAAATTCGAGTGACCGCGAAACCCTGAAAAAGGGTGTGGCCGAAAACGCCCTCATTGCATTTATTTCAAAAATGCAATGAAGTCCAAATGTTTTAAGAATCATCTAGAGAGGTGATAACCGTTGAAAAATCGCTTTTAACACGAAAAGCTAACGAGATAGCCTTTTAGAACGGTTGGGACCCGACTATACTGAGCCGGCTGAATGTAATAAGGTTGTTTTTTCTAATCCATCATAAATTTTCCACAGATAAGCTGTTGATACTAACTCGTTTATTGCAGAGAACGAAATGGTGAAATCTAAAGACGATACGGTTTCAAAGTCTAAGATCATCATGGTCTCGTCTATTGATGACTGTACTAAATCAAATGCTAAAGTTGATTTAGGGCCCTCTAATGTTTCAACTAACAAGGAAGAAAGAGCCGAGTGGTTAGTGGCAGTGGATCGCAAGATTTCTCTATTCGAATGGATCATACTTCTCACAGCGCCCATCATAAATCCGGTTATAGGAACCATTATGATTGTAGTTGGGATACGATATTTTATGCAAAAGAAAAATTGCGACAGGGACAAAGCTTTAAAAAGTAAAGCTCTAATTCTGGGACTAGCACAGTGGGCGTATCGACTTTCAGCGACAATTACAATTCTGGCCATTTGTCTGATTGTAATGTATAAAGTAGGCAGATTTCCGGCAATTTGATTGTTTTATAATAACGAACAAATTAAACTATAAATTGGTGATCTGTTTTTAATTTGATCTTATTTTTAATAATATTTTTTCGATAAATACGAAAAAACGTGTCGTTTACAACATCAACAAAAAGGGAGAGAATGAACATTGAACACGCGCACTGAAAAAAAAACAAACCTGCAAAGATTTTTGTTGAACGTCCGTTCTCAGAGCGTCCTCATCTGCAATCGATAATGTCTTGATGAACTTCTTATCGGTCGAAAACGCTGTGATGTAATCTTTTTGCCTTGTTTCCAAACTATCTTTCTTCATTTCTAGCTTCTAATGAGTAAATAGAATAGTTTCTTGATATAAAATGCTAGTTGCTACTATAAGAAGAAAAGTACAACAAAAAACAATTTTATATCAGCCACTGCTATTACATTTCATTCAACTCACAGGCCGCAGCGAAAAAGCACCAACCTTCTTTTTTTTGGAGAGATTCTGGATTTCGTCAGAGACATTTTTGGCGGATTGAGTCCACTTGCCCCTCAGTAGATGAGTTTCCTCCGCTCGAGCAGCTACTTTTCTTTTCAGAACCTCAATCTCGAGACGAAGGGTGGTAGCAGCAGCCAGGTTTAGGTGAGGTTTTGAGGGTGAAAACACTGGCCCTACCTTAGATCGCTGGGGGAAAGAGAGTAAGGTTTTAACTCTGGCTAAATAAAACCCGATCAAATAATCTGTCTACCAAATGATGTTAATGTTTGTTCCAGTACATATATCAATATCTCCGGAGATATCATGTGAATTATCAGTTCTTATAGTTATATAAAGAGACAGTAATTTATACTAAATACCTTAAATTTCATGTTTTAATTGTTTTACCTCTTTATGTTGTCCAGTGATGTGTGTAGAAAGTACTAATGCTGCCAGCCTCTCCAGCATGCTAACTACTAGACCTCCTGATGCCTTTGTTAAGGTAGAATTGTTGATCCGAGGTATTTGCACCCCCTGAAATGATATATAAGATAATCAGTGTTTGTTAGTGGACCACTGAAGCTAAGTCGTGGCTAAGTTTTGACTACGCTGGATAACAGTGACTCATGTCCAAATTATACATGTGTGTATATAATATGTGGATTATGGTGGGACATATTTTATGTTTTGGTCGGTCATCGTTACCTCCACATAGTCTCTGTTTAGTTCAGTCAGCCAATTAAATACATTCTTCCTAAAGAGGTGACTTCTTTTAACGTCATATGCTGGCCAACAACCAACAAACTCCTCTTTACTCCGCTCCGGGTCTAACTTTGTAAGTAGGAAATGCAGCACAACCTGAAGTTTATATCGGTTACTATTCACTAATCTTGACTAGAGGGGCAGTTTAATACAATTAAAGTTTGATATAGTAGAGTAATTTGCATGATTTTCAAACGATTAAAAGTTGTGAAATAAGAAAATAAATCCGTCTCACCTCGAGCCCCTTCTTATTAGGAACTCTGAACATGTCAGGTTTGAACTGAATTTTGTACTGTTTGTCCGCGGAGAAGACATTGAACTGAAGAAGCTGGAGGGTGGAGAAGAAGGCATGTTCCTCGGTCACATTTGTAACGGTTTGGCAGTTGGCGTGCTCTATAATCACCATCCTATTATTGAGAGTTAGTTAAGTGTCTGCTAATTGTTAGGTTTATTTAGAAACTTCACATATTCATATATATTATTAATTAATATCATGTGATATACAGTATACTTAGTTTATTATAAAGTAAGTTTATTCCACTGATAAATGATTCCTGTTCGATCTGTAAACTGGCTTTACAGTATTATGCAAGGAAACTTGGTGTACCTAACTTGTACAGAAGTCTTGTCTCACTAAAACTAATCGTCCGAGAAATATGTCCCGACATGATAAAGTGAAAGTGAGAAGAGTGTCCCACTATCAGAAACAGGAAATGTGAGAAGTGTGTCTGATACAGCAGCGAGGAGTGTGCCTCACTATATTTCAACAATAAACTTAGTAAATGTGAGAAGTGTATCTCACCTCATCTTCTAAATTTCACCTACTTCATATACAAGGAATAAGAGTAAGAAAACATAACGTTCAGCGATATTTAAAATGAAATATTCAAATCAAGATAATTTTATGAAATAAATTATTCGCCATCCGGCTCTGCCTGGGAAGTTGTCATGTTGTGCAAACAAGTCAAGAATTCAACTTGTCAAAAAAAACACACAGGCATGAATGTAATTGATTGTCAATCTTTGAAGATAAGAAAAATAAATAAATCCCTGCCACGTGAAAACGTGTCATCAAAACAAAAGAGTTACGATCTAAGGATCTAAAGATCTAAGGATCGAACATCGTTGAGATAAAACCCATAAAAAATACTCGAAACGGCTACGTGATCTTAAGTATTTCATCATCCACTTTTTTGATCAATTTAACAAGTTTTCTCCACTCAGTAACATTAAGGGAAATCCCCTTTTTACCAGGAGCCATCCCGTTTGCTCCCATATACATTTCTCTGATATCGATCAATGGTTTGCCCTTAAACTGTCTGACCTGAAACAAAACAAATTTATTCAGTCAAATTTTGCTCCAGTATCTTAAGAACAGAAAGACTAAGCAACAATTTTGATTTTAAAGTTCAAGTATAATTTATACAAAGTTTGAAAATGAGCCTTGGAACTATATACCTAGATGTAAAACCAACTAACTAACTAACTAACTAACTAACTAACTAACCTGAATTCTGCGCATCCGTTTCTCCTCCAGCCAGTATCCTCCTGGCTCCAGTCCCCTGCTAGAACAATCATCAAAGTCATCATCTATACTTTCATCGCTAGAGGAAGCCTCTTTCTTAGCCTTCTTTTTGGGTGCTGGTTTTGACTCTACTCTAACCTGGAGCAGGTTATATTATTACTCATAATTATGATATTATTTTTTATATTTTATTTATATTTTTTATATTTTTTATAAGATGCAACCTGCCAAAACCGAATTAGTTACACTAAAATAATGAGACCAGTAAAATGATGAATAATGTCAGATAAAAATAAAATTATGAAGAATTAAGATTATGAAGAAATAGGATTATGATGTTCTTAAGCATTAAGGAACTGCTAAGTGCTAATGACTTTTAAAATAATTAGAGAGTTGATAACACTCTGCGAGAATCCAAACCTCTTTAGTAACTGCCTTTTCCTTGTGACTAGGTTTCTGAAAAATAATGGGTTTAAGAGATCTACTACTTAAATTTAATAACTCTCAAGTTTGGACTCAAGTTATAATATGAAGTCTAATAGTTCTGTATGTAGTTTGAAGACAATGTTAGGAGTTACCTTACTGATGGACACCTTAGAAACGGGCTCGTCTGAATCGTCTGAAAGACTGTCGTCACTCAAGTTACAATCTCTTTTGGGCATCCTACCGCTACAATAACAGTAACTTATCAGATTATACCATCTTACAGGGAAATATAATAAGAGTCTAGCAAATCACAACAAAAGTAATAAATCATGGTCTTGTGATTAATAGAAAAGTATTTATTGGTTCAGTATACGAAAACATGTTATCAATGATAAACGATTTGAATTAAAATATGACGTTTATTGTTAGGAAAACAACTGGCTGCTATAAAAATAAATAATATTTACATCGATATAATTACATGATAGACATTTAAATTATCTGTACACATAAAATTAAATATTCGAGAAGCAAACCAGTGCTACTCTGTCTGAAGCAAAATCTGAAACTTTTAATCGAGCATATATATAATACGCTCTTACGTTTTATCTAATGAATAAGAACTGAAATATTCCTGAAAATCAAAAAGGACGACTTGAGACGTCGGATACGTTCATGATAGCCCTGACTCCCGAGCACGAAACATGTTTCGAACATGATACCCGGATATTCTCTCCATTTATCATATTTAAGGCGGCGGATATCTTCAGAAATCTATGTCGTCACTGTCGTCTTTTTCATCGTAGTTCTCAGAGTCTGTTTCCTCGTCTTCGTCATCACTGATGGGCATTTCTCCCTCTCCTGCAAGTTCACTACCAGAGGATATGTACTCACTGCCCTCCTGGTGGGTGGTATTTTGTTAACAATTTGTAAATAATTTATAACAGGAGATGACGTCATCACTCAATTGGGCGAACTATTTTGTTAAAGAATTGGAGTTAAGTTAAATCATATTATAGGAGATAAAGGATGATTTCTGAGCGTAAAATGTGTTTCGAACAGACCTCGGTTTCAGTATCGGAGGCCTCCATTGCCCCAACAATCCTCGGGTTCTTACTCTTTACTTCTTTGACCTCTCCTTCGCTATCATCGGCAAAGTTCTCAAACGTGTCCGTTTGATTAAACAGTTTCTTTTCTTCTTCACGCAACTGATCTTGCATTCTCCTCAATTGCTTCTCTGTTTCCTGGGGAAATGTGGGAATTTTTAGTTCGCATAACTCAAACACAAGGAAATTTCTTAAAAGAAACTTCAATTATATTAATTAACAGCTCAGCAATTGTCTGTGATTAGAAACGAGTCTCTTCCGTCCGAAAAAGATGATGATAAACTCTTACCTACTATGAGACCAATGTGATATAGTCACTTATTGAAATTTAAGGAACAAAATGAATCACAATAAACTTCTTAGAGGTAACTGACACTGGTAACATCTAGTGAAGAACAAGACGGAATACTGCAACACAGTACACATTGTAATACTTTCAAGCTTACATTGAAAATAAATAACGCGACAGGAGAAGGGTCAAAGATTAGATTCCTGATCGACATTTAAAGATTTAATATGATCTTAATGGACCTTGAGAACAATTAACAAGAATTGCTGCCGTAGTTATGGGTTTGTGAATGGCATCTGTGTTTCCCGTCAACGACTTACGAGTTCAGTTTTAAGTCTAAATTTGAAATTTTAGTTAGTAAAATTCAAACACAAGGAAATTTCTCCAAAGGAAGTTCAAGAATTTCTACCTGTACATAACGAGTTGTCTATGATTATATAAATGGAGTCTCGTTCGTCTGATTACCATGACGATAACTCCTTTCAGTATGAGACCAATGTGTGAACACACATAACAACTATAATGTATAATAATAAGAGGCCCCATTGTGAGGGTGCGACTGACGAGGAAACTCAGGGCCAGACATGAAGGGTCTGTATATAATACATAACAATAACGCTCTGTGCAAAACACTGCATTAATATGCAGTATGTAATATGTATGAATCACAATGAACGTGTAAAAAGATCTAATGGTACGACTTAAAGGATTTCTCAAATAAAGGTACAATTCCTACATAAGAGAAAATATCAGAGATTAATCGTCTAGATGTAATATGTACATACTGTATATATCTCGATGTAGAAAATATTCTAAACATTGACAATAGTCTTCTGTGGCAAAAATGAGAACTAATCTGACAAATGGCAGTGGAATCTGAATCTGGCTTCCTAGTAAGATTCAACTGTACATGTATGTAGATTGAGTTGATCTTAATTTCGGTAATTGAAAGAACATGCACCAACCTCTACTTTGACTTGTTGCTGACGATCGTATGCCTCCACAATCTGCTCCAAATATGTCAGATTCCTGAATTTCTCCATGTAAACTTCGTACAACTTCTTCAGATCTCCCTCCAGTTTCTCAAACTCGTCCATGAAGGCAGGTCTTACATTCTGCAGACTTTTCAGCCTCTTGTTGTTTCGCTCCAGTTCCGATTTCTTCTTCTCTATCTTAGCTTCAAGATTCGCCTCGTCGTTTGCTATGTTATCCAGCTTATTCTGTGTCCCTTTGATCTCGTTCTGCAACAATTTTCAACATTAAAGTCATGTCTTGTTTACTAATACGCGCTAAAATGATATTACTACATCATCATGCATTAATCAAAGTGCAATTAAAGGTTGTCTACCTCCATGGAAACCACTTTATTCTTCATTCCCTGCTCTATCTGACCCATCTCAAGAGGTCTAGCAACAGCAGCCAGCCTCAACTCTCTCAAATCAACCTCAACAGCTAACAGCTCGTACAGTTTCGCTCCACTCATCGTTATTTCAGTCGCCAACTGTCTCGCTTGCTTCAACTCCGAGATCTGAAATTATAGCCACAAGTTAAATTCTGTCAACATCATGATATCAATTTAGTACAATTAAAAAAATACAATTAGATTTTTTGTAGCGTTTTCTTAACATATTTATAAAGCAATAGATTATGTCATTGCTCATTGTGAAATATGACAGTGTATCACAGCACGCACTGTTTTGGGCGACCAAGTCATTATATTGGAACTATCTAATATATTTGAAATTGAGCGCTAGAACCCAACGACAGTGAAAACTTGCATAAGTACGCAGTCAAATGTCGGCTAGTAAAAAGATACAATGTACGGAACGCGCGAGGAAGGCCACTCTCCCTCTGCACCTACTGCCCATTTTAGTTCAAATCTTTGAATAGAAGTGTATGTACAACTAAATGTACATTAATATGCTAGAAATCTATCTCGGCTGCACAATTTCTCAAATTCACTAAACAAAAAGTAAACTATTACCTTGTTTGAGACGTCGAATGAGCGCTCTGTCACATCTTCATTTGCCTGGTCTGCTTTATTAGATCTAACTGCGTTGTACAACATTGAAACAACTTTCAACATCTCTTGAACACTGTAACCATCTGCCATATACAACTTTTTAGGGTTCAATTTTATCCTCGTTTTCGTAGCCTGAAAAGAAATGGTCATTACTCATTAGAAGTAGCAAGGTTTACTGATGATTTATGGCGAGATGGTGCGACCTATTCGCACGAGTAGATATGCGGATGAAATAAAAACTCCTGGAATATTCGATAAGCATTGAAATTTTTGTGAACGAACCATAAACTGAGAAACATATTTGATGAATATCACTCTGTCATCTTCTGTATCAATGTCGTGAGGCAGACTAGCGTTTGGTTCGTATCTGAAGATAAGCTCTATAAGTTTAAACTGCCTAAAAACTTATTAGCGAGATTTAAAAAGGGTTGATCTGGTATGAAATCTCACAAAATTCTTATCAATTCTAAAGTCTAGCTAAGGCTCTTTAGCCGGGCATGTCCCCAACCTTTTTACTAGCCACATCAATATTTCTGCGACTAGAGGGAAATTAGGCTGCCGGAAATTCTCCATAGAAATCTGACGAGGATAACCAAGTGCTCGCATCATTTCCGTGAAATCTGAAAAAATGTCAAATAATGATCACCAATCTCAAAATATTCAAAATTCGTCCTCAATTAAAAGTAAAGTTTAGCTCAGCAGACTCAAAATAAGGTAATAATAGTTCATTCTACAGTCTACAAGGATAGAAGTACTTACATCTGAGATCTTTAAACGACATTGTTCAATCCTAGTCCTAGGGAATAAAATATCGATCATATAAATGTAGATTTAATTATTTACAAATTACGTTTTATAATTCACGAAAGAAGAATAAATTGTAATAAATAATATAAAACATACAGGTTTGGGGTTTATTACAATTAAACAACTATGATACGTAACATTAAATATAGATCTTATGTAGAAAATTAATTAAGGTCAAAAGTCAATACATACTAGGGAATCAGGGATCAATAAGAACAATAAGAAATAGAAGCACAACATCACGAAATTGAAATAAAACTATTAAAAAGTGCTCCAGATCATTCTACGCCCCACCAGAAGAGATTCCCCACCGAGCAAAAAGAAAGGCCGTGACACCAACACTCTCAATATTGTTCTGAACAATCAGGCACACTGCATCTTTGAGAGACATCTGAAACTTTGTCACCGGTACCATCGACATATGTGGGGCATGAATTTTAAAATGATTAGTGACCTCAAACAGGAGATTCATAGCTTCAAAAGGAGATATAACAGGAATTATCTGAGATATGTTGAGCATGGGAGCAGGTATCCACTCCACCTTGCTCAGCAAATCTAACAGTTTTACTGTGTTCTTCAGATGAGGGGGAGACTCAGAACATTTCTTCACACGACTGGAGGACCAGAATGAGATCAGGACCACTAACATGGCCCTCACTATTACAACTAAATCTGAGTTTTTTGTAGAAAGTGCTTCCTCAAATATGTTCCACAAAATTGGGGTGCGATCAAAAGTATTCATAACATTGAGATCCCGTTCAATGGCAGCTTTAATAGCAGCATTGTCTGGCCAAGGTGCCTCGAGATTCACATCAGGACACAGAAAATCGAGTAGGAATTTACTGAGCTCCTTGCCAGCTTTGGGGGAGTTACTGATGATGCTTTGGAGAAGGTTCATAACACTTTGTACCACTAAAATGTTACTGCAGCCTTTGTTAGGAACCCTCACCAGCCTTCTGATCTTCCCTCTGTGCACATCTTCCTCGCTCTCAACAATAGCAGATTTCAGACTGCAGATAACTGAGTTTTTGTTGCTATCATCGTCAACAAATTTCGCTGTTTTGCTCAAATCATCCGTAGTTAGAGACGTCAATAGATTGTGAAGAATTGTAAGTCTGATGCAATCTTTTATAGGACACCATTTGATGACATTTCCTTTCAACTCACTTATTGATTCAAGCAATTCTATATCAACATCAGCAGATGTGATTCGGTTAACAAATGTGATGAAAACATCGAAAATAGTATTTGTTATGTAAATAGTGTCAGCAATGTCAATAGCCCTCGGCTCTAGAAAACGTACGAGGAACGAAATAAGTTTATAATTGTCAGTTTCATGAAGGATAGCTGCTATCTCAACCATATCTGTAGATGTCAACTCGTGATGTCCATACAATTTAAGCTTATCTGAATTTTCGAAGAACAAAAATAATTCTGCTTGGCCACCAGCAAGATTCCTAACATCATTCAGAACCGTTTTAAAACAGCTAAAGCTGATGTTAGGATACAACCCCTTGATGTCATCTAGAAGAGCCTCAAATCTCTCCAGGGGTTGAGTTAAAATGAGTTCTGTGATAACAGTTTTGGCAACACATAGTCCTTTGTAGATGCAAATGATGAAAAGACATTTCAAAATATAAGGATGTTTGTATGGTTTCTGGTAAGTCAAACATTTACAAAACATCTTTATGTCTTCAGAGCTTGACATATTTTCAATGAACATAATGTTCTTGTCCTTAGCTTCAATCACTCCATAAACAGCCAACTCTAAGTTCAGAAGTATTTTCTGGAGAAGACTAGGTCCAAGGGAAGTGGAATCTACATCTTGTTCCAGCAAAGACATGACAGTGCTGTAAGAATTAACTTGAGAGTGCATGAACAGTTTCGCCAAATCATCTATCATGGTTGTACTGAGGGCTTCTTTGGAGCTGTTCATCAGCTTTTTAAACGCCTGACTGTCATTGAGAAGCATTATAGAAACAGGTTGAAGAGCAGGTATGGAACACAGGACATTTAGAACAAAACCAACTTTCTGATTCACCGCACTCTCTTCCTCTAACAGGTCCATAACGGCCGTGCTGACTAAGTTACAGTTGTACTTGCTTAACTCAGATATAACGCTCTTAAATGTTCCAAAGCTAGCAGTTTTATTTGTGAAAGCCTCAAAAGACCTTCTGACAATTTGTGACGTAATTTTGGGATAGGGATTTAGAACTTTGACAAGTATAGTGGCAGTTTTATCTGAGGGAGAAGGACACTCTTTCGAGAATAAGTCGAAAATCTTTTCCACATAAGAGTCCTCATCCTCCTTGTACAGGGTCTCGGCGGCTGATAGCAGCATTTTATTGACAATAATGAGAAGCTTCAACATTTCACCCACCTGGGTCAAAACTTTGAAACACCATTGTAGAATAACCAGAATCATGTCCTGGTTATACTTTTTATGACCCATCTTGTGATATATCACATCTAGTGACTTCTTAATGTTGTGCTCCAAATCCAGCTTGACAGGGTCTCTTGCAGGAATCATGGCCCGTCTGACCTTGTGTTCCAAGCCCTCGCAGGACATGACAAGATAGAACAAACGCTCTAAAGCTGCAGAGTGGCCGACAGAGGTCTCATTTAGTACCTGGTACACTGCTTCACTACAAGTTATTAGGTCTGTTGATTTGTTAGCGTTACAGTACGCAATCTTGTGAAGAGTTTGGTAGTTTGACATGTTGTTTTCTGACCATGGGTTGGTACCTGTGAATATTATATTAAATAGAGTATTTACATCTGTTTGGGGGGAAATAGGTAAAATGTTTAATTCTATGATAAAAGTATAATTCAATTTATAATCTATATTTTACAGTCAAAACACCTCAGCCCAAACTCCAAAACCTTCTTCCAAAAAACAACTGATTTCATACAAGATAGTAGAAATATACCAAAACATGGCTTAACCACAAACTATTGGCGCTCTTTCCTGGGGGCCAGAGAAATAGACCAGAGCACGTACAATGTACATGAATGTTACTGGTTTTCATAATCTTACAGTACAGTCAAATTATGCTACTTGTGCCAGTTGTATATTTTTGTATTATTTAATGAACGTTTTAAATCAAATCAAGATAGCAATAATTCAAAGCATGCAGATAAGACGAAGCGGGACTTCACATCTCCTGCAAGTTCTGTAATTAAGAGCGGAAAAGTTTAGAGATTTATTTTATAATCAGGAAATTTGAGTAGATAAGACGAAGAAGGACTTCACATCTCCTGCAAGTTCTGTAATTAAGTGCGGAAAAGTTTAGAGATTTATTATATATAATCAGGAAATTTGAGTAGCAGTTTGAAGAATCGAATTGAGTTCACGCTAAGATAACGAAACAATTTTATATAAAATATTGCATCCGGTTCTTGTGTCCCTTTATAAGTTTCAATTAATTTATGGCCGGAAGTTTTGATTTCTCTGAGCTGCATCATTATTTTTTATCTTGAACAAGTGTTTGTGTTAATCACGTTTTAATATCGCAGTAGTAACCAAGTTCAGGTCAAATAGTTATTGAACCTTGCCACCAAACTAGTATAATTTGCTTGTAAATAACGATTGTTTCATCACCTTTTATTCTCAACTTCTAAATCGTGTTAACAGTGGTTACATTCATCAATGTTATTGGAAATAGTTAACATTTTGTTCTCACTTGCAACTGATTTTTTCTCCTAAGTTATAATCAAAGATAACATTTTTGTAATATCTTTTCGAAGGATGAGAGTATTTAGGAGTATTCTCTACCTGTTGTTTGTACACACGGTGTTTGCAAAACACTATGACGACGGGAACCGTACACCAGTGAGTATCTATCATTAAGTCAATATTCTACATTAACATTTTACTTTAACTTTAACAAATGAAAAATTCTTTTAAAAGCATTACACATAACTTTAGATCGTTATTTCTAAATCAATCCTCAGATGATTTTATCAAATATATGCAATTTCTAACAACTGAAATAATTGTCAATAGTAATCTCACTATGAGATCCTGCAGCAAATTTGTTGAAAGTCCCTGCTGACCAAGTGTAAACTTTCAGGAAAGTTATGATGATTCATGGATGAACGAAATACGGAAACCAAAGTCAGATGATAAATCTAGAAATGAACCTGAGGAAGGAACTGAGGGTGGCAGTGAGATGCCAGATAACCTGGAAATGGAACGCACTCTAGTGTATATGCCGATTAAAGGTAGGTCTATAACAGATAACACAGCTGTTAGAACTATTAGATATTTGTTTTAAAATCAAGTGGCTTACAAACCCAAAGGGTAGACCAACACTTGAAACATAACCGCAACAGTCTTGATATGATTTGAGGTAACAAAATTAAGACAATCTAACAAAATGGATAAGGACCAAATGACACTTTCCTTAATTATAATTAGACTTATGCAAAATTACAAAATTCACAGAATAGAGCTTTAAATACAACCAGCTTAAAGGGAGAGCACTTCTAGAATAAACACATTATTAGAAATATTAGAAATATTTATAATAAAACAAAATTCCAGTATCAGATGTGTGTGTTGAAGAAACGGATGAGAATGGATCAAGGTACAGAGGAAACATATCTGTGACGGTATCAGGACACACCTGCCAGAGATGGGATTCTCATACACCTAATTCTCACAGTAGAACTCATGACAAGTAAGGAAGTTTTATTAAAATATTATTTATTACCAGTCTTAATAAGGGCATTGAAATATGCCATTCAAAATAGCCTGAAGCTCACAGCATCAAGCTTGCTTGATTACAACAAAACTTCGATAAGCTGATTGAAACTGTTTTATCACATTACATTAGATTACAATTTAAATGTTATTTGAAGTGTTGCATAATGCATATCTTATACATATCAATTCAAAGTTTTTCAGCATCATGACAATATTTTAGTAAAACAAAGTTTATGACAATATTATTTTCAGTTACCCTCATGCAGGACTGGAAGAGAACTATTGCAGAAATCCAGACAAGTAAGTTTTCTGATCCAAACAGTCATGTACAAAGTTGGGTCTGCAAAATCTTTATTAGATGAAAGTCTGCATTGAATGGGTAAACATAAATTATACGTCATTTCACTTTTCCAAAGCTCTGAAGTAACATTTCAACATTTGTAAACTGTTCTCAGTGAGGTAGCACCCTGGTGTTATAATGGTGAAGGAAGTGATCCTCGATGGGAGCTCTGTGATATACCTACATGTGGTAAGTGCAGTGGTAGTGTGTAAAGTGGTACTATTCAAATAACTAGACTTATTGTTAGTGTAAATAATTTCTTAGAATATGCTGAGTAATTCGAGTATTCGACGCAAGCTGAATTATAAAGAAATGGTAAGAGGTTGCTCATGATAAAACTAAAATAATAGGAACGTTTTTTGCCATTGAACAAAGATTTGATGTGGTTAGAGCTGTACTGGTTATTTGATAGTTGGGCACCACAAATACTTAACATAAACTATTTATCCTTGAATACATGTAGAGGGCAATATGATTGTGCCACAAATTTTGCCACACTACTCACCCTAGGGCTGTGTCCCTCAAGTCACCCAAATGCCTACTTCAATGGAAAATACTGCTGTGCTTCTAAAAAAGAGAAAATGTATGCGCCACAAGGAGAAGAGTGTGATGGAAGTCTAATTATAAGTTATAGCAGTGAGTGCTGTGAAGAAGATCAGTACATAATATGCCCTTATCTGAACTGCAAATCTGAAGAATTGAAAGCAGGCAAAGACGATCTGAGCAATAAATGCCCTTTAACTCATCCTAATGTTTACTACAATGGACAGTACTGCTGCGCTTCTAATAGAGAGAAATATTATGAACCTCAGGGAGGAATGTGTGATGGAAGTCTTATAAGTTACAGTAGTATGTGCTGTGAAGAGGATCAGTACACCAGTTGTCCTCAAAAGCACTGTTTGCCAGTAAATGCTGAGTCAGGTGAAGACATTGCATGAAATTATGTTGTAACCGTATTTAAGACTTTTTACTGATCTTTTTCATCAGACATGAAATCTAGACTGAAGATTTATTTGGCTGTAACAATCAATTTGTGAATAACATCAATTATCCAAGTCTGACCATTTCCACAGACAATAAGCATTCCCTAACATTTAAAGCTAGGCAAGAAACAAGATTTAATATGTTAAGTTTGGTTGATGGTTGCATTCTCTGATTGTTATTTGATCAATCGTTAGAATCACCATTACATAGTGGATAATAGTTCTAAAGCTTATATTAAGATTGAACTATCATAATCTTCTAATTTGTACTGTGGAATTGATAGTTAGGTATGATTCCAGCAGAAATAAGGTCTTATAAAATATGAAGAACATGATAAGGATTGTAAAACTTATCTTAAAGTTTTGGTTTGTGGGTATAGTAGTAACAGAAGATTGAACAGAAATGTATAATACTATAATTCGACAAAAATACTAGCAATATTGAAATCTGCTAAAAACATACTTTGATTAATTGATAGTATTGTATGTATATTTTTTACTAGACTAAATGGAATTCCTCTTCAGGATCAGATTTTGCAGATGACATGCTCGAGAAGCTAGAGAAGGAAATCACAAAGAAGATAAGAAAACTGAAACTTGGACAAATTAAAAAATATTTACAAAGTGATGAATCCCTAATAGTATTCCAATGGCAACTATTGACAGACTTAAAAGAAAAGGGTCGCCCTGTAGACCTTGAAGATGAGACAATTTCCTGGATTTTGAACGACCATGATGCACTCGAGACACTCCTCACTAGTGGGGATGTTGAGGACAATAAATGGAAGGAAGCTGTTGAAATTGTTGCAGAGATAATAAGGCAGGATCAAAATGCAAAACAGGGTCTGAAACTTCGGCTTGCCATAGCAGTAGGTTTGACTTTCTCAACAGATGTTTTCTCAATGGCTCACGGGGGTTCCATTGATGGAATAGCAAGGTATCACAGTTATGCTCAGTGGGCAGATGAAAAACTTCTACTTGAACCATTTTATACTTTAAATGCATGGCAAATGAGATATGTGGTAGGATCATGGGCAGAGGATGATGAACTGATCTGGGCAAGAAACAACGCATTGGAGGACTTCAGGGACCCAGACAAGATAGGTTCTGTAACTCACAGCATGGTAGAATACAATCTTTACAATGATGATGGCATCAGTGTACAAACTTCCGGCTACTACTATGGGAAACCTGTCACTCTTGAGTGGATACACACGATTGGAGGAGTGTGTGGTGCAATATCAAAGTTTGGAGCTGGAATGGCACAGGCATTTGGCATTCCTGGACTACCAGTTGGTCAGCCTGGACATTGTGCATTTATTTGGCTAAAGAATGGTACAAATTGGTACCTTGGTAACGACATAAGTGGTTGGGCAGAGAGCACAACCCATTCTGGAATACAATATTCATGGAAAAGTCAGGCACCATTCTTTCCTGTGATGAATGAAGCTCAACTGAATCCTGATGCATATCGTCTATCTGAAAAGATGAGAATTATAGCGGCAGCATTTTCTGATTCAAAATACAGATTCACAATTCTTGAAGATGCAACTACAATCTGCCCTCAAAATTATGATCTTTGGTATGACATGAGTGGTGCCTTATCTGAAGGAACAGTTGATAAGAAACTTTTGGAAAATACACTGAGCCCTATTTTGCTGGAGTATGAAGAAAACAGCAGAGAGATTAAGGATGTCGCCAAAGGAAAAGAGGTCACTGCTAGTGAATATCAAAACCTTGCATATTATGTGGCCAAGGATGGAGGTGAATGGTGTTCAGACAATACAGTTGCTTGGGTGGAAATAGATCTAGGTGGTCCTTGCAGTATAAATGAATTTCAGATTCATTGGTGGGGGACATCCTACAGCAATGATTATGACTTGCTAGCTGAAGTAGACGGAGAATTTGTTCTGGTTAGGACTGAAGACGATGAAAACAGAGATGAATCTTACTATAATCCTTGGGGAGTGCTTCAAGGTTGGGACAAGCTCACATCAAAGGTACGAGTGGATATGAGGGATGGCAATATTGACCCTTGGTACGGTAAGTATTACTTTGGAATTCGACAAATGATCATCACAGGTGTCGAACATGGAAATAAAAATGTTGTATCATTAAACAAGCAAATAAAAACAAACAAGCCTAGTGCAGGGCAAGAGCTAATAGACGGAGATATAAGCACATACTGGACCAGCGATGAGAGTTCATCGTGGATAAAGATTGACCTAGAAGGCCTCTGTGTGATAGATCATGTGATATTTGAATGGTTAGACAACATACAAGGTCGGCAGAAAATACAATATCTGGTCGGAGGGAAATCCAAACTGCAGAAAAAGGGTAAATTCAACAACATTCATTTACCCGGGATCGCAGGACAGCTATCAATTAAATTACAGAAGTCTGTCACATACTCTATCCGGGAAATAACAGCAGTTGGTTCATGCTATTCTGCCAGAGACATCCTGAAAATAAAAGTGAACATGGGATTTAATAAGCCGGATGCATCATATAACTTGTACGTTATTGGTGATATATCTGGAATCATAGAACAATTGGAAATTGGAATGTGAACTTTGTTTTTAGAAGCAACTGAGAAAAACTGTATAAGTATTTAATGTTTAAGTAGCAATAATACTTCAAACTAAGCATAGATTATAAAAGTCAGTGAATAGGGAGGGGACAACATCTGAATTTATCAATAGCATTTTAAAGGTTGTGTTGATTGTATTGATTTGATTTGTGTGATCCATAAAAATTTACCTTAACATTAAAACTATTCCGTTCAAAATAATCGTGCTCATTCACTGGAAATAAACATATTAACTATTTAAATGAAAAATATTACCCCTAATAAGCATAGATAAAGGTGTCATAGACTCCATGGTAATAGACTCTGGCCATTGACTCTATAGGGGTCTTGGTCTGTGTAATCCTCTAAAGAACTGTGAGGATGCTGGACTGTCCAGTGACCCCATGAGCTCTAATATAAGTAGAGGCGGCCCAGCATCTTTGGTCTTCTCTCGTATTCTAGCAGCTCCATGGCTTCAGAGATGTTTGGCACAGTCCTTGGAACAAACTTCCACCACTTATACACTGCCTTCAGTTTTCCAGCAGCGCTATCATTCCACCAAGCATTAAAAACTAACAGTGTGAAGCTTCCTTTCTCCACTTCGAGAACCCTTGCGTTGTTACACCGTTTTTATAAAAATAAAATGTTTCGAACAGTATACAGGTAATTTCAGCAATGGTAATTGTCTAAAAACTTAACAAGCACTCCATGGCCTGTTTAAGGTTTAGGAGTGTTGATCAGGTTAAGATCCAAATCACTTATTGCCGTGGGTGGAAGAGTTTTGGTACCTCCTTTTGGATAGAGATTATACAGGTTCTGAGTAAATCAAAACGCAGTCTGCGTCTGACAAATGATATCACATCACAATACCGTTGGCCTTTCTTAAGGCTGATCTTTTCAGCGAGATGTTTTAGGAACTGTGAAGCCTCAGTTGCCATTCCTCCTGTAGTACTGAACACCAGTGGCGTGAAGGTAGCCTTTTCTACATTGAGGACTCTTACACCGTTTTTTCTCATTTTTATGGAATTGGTACATCGCTGGCATCGATTTACTTGCACTGAAGCTAAGTAAGTCTCACATCGCGATCCTCATTTCATTTCATTATTCAAGTGCTCTGCCAATTGCAACACTTGAATTACTTTATTGTATATATATACTGTTTGACACTTTTCTTTTTAAAGACGAAAGCCAAGTAATGCATATGGCCGGCCTTGTGCGCTGAGGGCCCACAACGTGGGCCAACATTACTCTGATCATATTTTGTAATATTTGTTTCGCTTATTGAACGGCAATAAGTTGCGTTCAATAAGGGACCTCAGGCTATTATGTTCATAGAGATTCGGCGGAATGACAGGCTGAGCGCGGCCCAGTAATAAGTTGCGAAGCAGTTCGGTGCATGACTTAGATGGTTTTAAACCTACAACTGTACACGTATTTATATTTGTGGTTTATTTCACTGGGGATCTCAGGCCTTTCTGTTTGTAAATTTATAACAAAAATGGGTACTCTTCCATACAGTCGTCGACTGGAAATCCTCAATTTAACAACGCTGGCAGAGCGGCAAATACGTGGGGACCTCATTGAATCTTTTAAAATGATAAGCGGTTTGGCCAATTACGGAGCTGGTTTGTTCAGTATGAGCAGATCTGGTCTTAATGTGGTATCAAACAGTATATGCAGTAAAAGTAGCAGTAAAATGAAGAAAGTCCACAGTTCTTTTCTTCCGGAGAGGATGAGACCATATTGCATTGGAACAAACTCCACTCGGATGTCAAGAATTGTGGGACTGTGTTAAGTTTTAAAATAAGATTAGAGGCTTTCAAAAAAGAAACTATTTTAAACGGATCTGTAAATGATAGTCATTTTTGGTATGTTTCGGACGAAGTATTAGGAAAGATTGAGGGATTAAATTATGCTACTAATAAAGAGAAGCACAATTTTTTTTTTAATGTTGGGGCACCCACTTTACCTCCCTATTGGGAGGCTACGTCCGTCGGTTAGTGACTAACGTCTATTGGGGTTCCTCTGGTTGTAGGTGTCAGTAGGTTTGGGTCACTTGGCATGGGCTAGTGATCCCGCCCCTCCAGAGGATAAAGCCTGGTGAGCGACGTTTCCCGTAAGGGAAACTGTCATAATGCTCGTTCACGGGAGAACACCACCCATGCCTGGATGTTCTCCCGGGTACTCGATAGAACAGGCTGCCCCCTGTCATTCTAGTGGGCTGACAGGAACCTACCAGGCATGCCTGAGCCTATGATGTAATTCTCCCATATCTTTGTTGTTTTTGTGTTATATCTTTGTCTTTGCGCGGCTCAATTTCCGCGCAAAGACGGAAAGTGCTGATTCACGAATTTACATGCTATATTTGAATTTTGAGTAGACCCTTTTTTGTCGCAATTTGGCAATTTCTTTGTTCACGTAATTATTGCTAATTTTACGTTTGCTGGTAATAATCTAAGTGCTATATCTCCAATAGCTGGCAGTTTGTCTGATTGTTAGATCCCCTCTAACTGGTAGCGGCCCTAAGGCTGGCAGTTTGTCTGATTGTTAGATCCCCTCTAACTGGTAGCGGCCCTAAGGCGGCATGTGAGTGAATGAGTGAGTAAAAGTGAGGTGTAGGAGAAGTGGGGAAGAAAACATGAATATGAAAGTATGGTACACTGTTGCCAGCTGACTCACCAGCAACAATGCAAGTCCAAGAAGAAAGAAGGAGAGACACTGTCCGTTATCTGGGTGTGCCACCACCGACAGTGCTCCCACTTCTGTGGGGCCGAGGGTGTTGGCTCCAAGAACCAGCCGTGAGCGAACAGCGCCTGACCCCCTCTATGGTTAACTTTAGAATAACAGGACTATGCTTTTCTCCAGGCCAATCCGTTCAGTAACCAGCTGACCCCGCACCACCTCTGATGGAAGATGTGGTTCGGATTGGACTTCGCTAGGATTTGTCAGTTTTTCTGTAGACACTAATGCTCCCTCGAGGAAAGACATGAGCCCCGGCGAAGCTGACCAAAAACGTGGCAGGGATTCTCACCCTACAGAGAAGCACAATGAATATCTTGTGTGTAATCCTCATGTTGCTAAAAAACGCTTTATCAACTTATATAGTAGCGGAAAGTATGTAAATTAAATGTAATGTAAATTAGATTCTTTTTAACTTGGTTGTCTAGGCCATTAGATTTAAGATAATTTTTAAACTTTAGTTGATATATTTTTGATGATGTGTGATGATGTTTGTGTCATGATATTTTGATTTGATTTTGATTTGATTTACCTACAAAGACGCGCGTCGAGTTGGACTCGTCGACGGTCTAATATGTAAAACAAATATTTTAAAGGTATCCCCCGTTAATTTTTTGTTAATGAATATATTAAACGAAACAAATTGAAGCTACACGGGAATGTCAGGCTGAGCATCATTTAGTGTTTAGTAATTTCAACCGCGTTTCATAACCAGAAATCAATTCAATCCAACGTTTTATTTTCAGTCAAAGTTAATATTGTTTTCTTTAAATATTGTATATGGTTGTTACTCTAAAAGTAACTATTTACAATTAAAATGTTTAATTGACGATGTCAATTCATGGCAGCTCGGCGCGGCACAGTAGCGCATCTCGCCGATCTCGCTGTGAGAAGCCTCATTGAGTGCGCGGCGCGGCACAGTAACGCGCATTGCGCTACAATTTAAATGTGGGCCGTTGTTTACTTTGATATAACCAAAACCCTTTCGCTTGTTATAGCGCGCGTCCTCCGAAGTTGTTGTTGTGACATGAAACTTAACGGGTGATACTCGTAAAATATCTGTTCCATATATTGACCGTCGACGAGTCCAACTCGGCGCGCGTCCTGGTAGGTTGTAAACCTACAACATGAAACAAGCGCGTCGCGTCACCATTCACGTAGTATGCGAAAGCACATGGTTAGGTGAATGGTGGAAGCGGTTTTTCAGACAAACAAACAGACAGAAAGAAATTTTCCAATTGTTACTTACTTTGTTACTACTTTGTAGGGTTTCATAGAATCCTCTATCGGGCCATCGAAAAAGTCGACCCCCCCCGGGACAGTGTAGAAACTGTTTTATCACCACTCCAATCAAGCAAGGAGTTTCCATTCCGACGGCTGTATCCTGGAGCTGGAGGCTCGTCCGGAAATGACTTCACAAAGTTCGTTAAAGCTTTGTAGCGCAATGCGTTACTGTGCCGCGCCGCGCACTTAATAAGGCTTCTCACAGGCTAGATCGGCGAGATGCGCTACTGTGCCGCGCCGAGCTGCCATGAATTGACATCGTCAATTAAGTTAAAGCTGCTTTGAATTGCATAGGATACTCAATGGTGTGCATATGTGTTGGGATTACATTCCATAATCGAGGTCCAGTGACCGCAAATGAGTTGTCGTGTAGTGCTTGATTACGTTGACTGCTGGACTTAGCTATACTGGGCACAACTGCTTTTTGACCATGTCTGAGAGTCACCGAGAACAGGATACCAATATCATTAGGGCACTTGCAATGCAGAACTTTCCACATGTTGATGATTAAATACCGTTCTCTTCTTCTTTGCAATGACATCAGATCTAGGGCCTTTAATGTTTGCCAGTAGTTGAGATGCTGGGTGCCATCTATTTTCGATGTAAACGTACGCTGAATCCCTTCTAGCTGTTGGATGTCCTTGTTCTTAGAGCAATTCCACAGAGGACAGCAATACTCCAAATGGCTTCTAACGAGAGACTTGTACAGAGTCATCATGGTGGCTTTGTCTCTCGTTTTGAACGCACTTAGCACCCAAGAAGCAACTTTTCCTGCGCGTTCAGCTATCCTGTTGACGTGTGGGGTCCAGGACAAATCAGCGGAAACTGTCACTCCTAGATCTTTCACCGTTTGAGTGGGGTACAGCATGTTTCCGTTAGACACTTCATATGTTTGAGCTTGGATGGCGAATGGATGATCAAACAAGGAATTCTTTGGACAATGCTTGTGAACAAGAAGCTCAAACTTATCCTCATGAAGGGCCATGTTGTTGCACTTAGCCCAATTAACAACAGAGTTGAGATCATCCTGCAGGACATCTGTCAAACTGTAGATATGCCTAAGAATCCTAGTGTCATCAGCAAAGAATCTGATGACAGACCCTTTAACACATAGCTTCATATCATTTATGAACAGAATGAATAACAGTGGCCCAAGAACGGTGCCTTGTGGAACTCCACTGAGGATTGCGTTAGACCAAATTATTTAGAGTTAGACCAAAAAGCCCGTGGTCACAGGAATTAAATATTCTCTCATAGTTAGTGCAATTTTTGCTGCTCATGTGATAAGCCTTAGAACACGTCAGAAGAGAAATAGCAAAAATAACATGAACACATCTCATGATTTTACATTTCCTCGATGTAGCGTGCGACTATTGAATTTTTAATTATGTTTATTTATGTACTAATTGTTATTAGACGTATTCTTGAATTGTGTAAATTTGTTTTGATCCCGTCCCGTTTGATACGACAAAGAAAAATGGTTTTATCAGGAAAGGAATTAATCAACGTTTCAATGTTAAAACATCATATTCATGATCTTAATAAATGTAATAAATTTGTGGTGTTGTGATTAGTTTTGATTGACGATGTCAACCCTTCCAGATCGTTGCTCTGCGAAGCAGAGCATTACTGGGTCGCGCTCAGCCTGTCATTCCACCGAATCTCTGTTTATGAACATAATAGCCTGAGGTCCCCAGGTAAAGCAATGCAACGATCTTGTCGTTGCAAGCAAGAATTCTAGTTTGCGCGGCGCGTCGAAGCGCCGAAGTCCTCCAATAAATAGTTTAAATTAAAATGTTTGATTAGTTAGCTTAATTAAATGCTTTTGATACAAGTTACAACAATTAAACAAATAATCAACAATTAAACAAATAATCAAAGTTTTAGCACATTTTACAGCATAAAATTTAAACAAATGAAAACATATAATGCTCTTAGTGGTAAATGGCCGTTTGTTCTGAGCTGTATGATTTTTTGACAATCAACTAGCGGGGCAAGGAATGTACTGGCTGGTAGCTTTTGTACACACCAAAACGCTAGTCTGGTTGATTAATGACCAAATTAGAGGCGTTGATAGGAAGGCATTATAATTTGTGATTGTAAGAGGGAATATTTGGCATGCATTATTCTAGCAGCTATTTTGTAAAAAGTCTTCATGTTATGTATTTTGGGTTTGGACAGGATATTACATTATTACCGTTTAAAATATTTCCAGCGCGATACATAATACTCAATAAATGTACTATCGACTTGTATTGGACAGAGAAATGACACGATCTTGTAACCACAAAAAATCGGGAAAATATAAAATCACTGCTGACACTAACAACTAAATTCTTTTCACAACATTTTAACTGACTCGAGCACTTTCACATCATCTTGTTACTAGATAAACCTCAGTTCTGCTTATTACAGGCAGGCTGCTGATACGGGGAGAGGTCATCGCCATTTATCATTTATTGTTGGAGGTTCAAATTTGCCATTGAAGGCTGATAAAATGACAACAATGGCAAACAGTTTTCATGATTTGATCATTCTCTAAAAGATTCTTGAAACTTTTCACCTCCACAGGCCTTTGTAATTCTTACGACTTTTAATGGACAAACCAGAGAGTTTAAACATCTGTTTTTGCAGGTCATAAAAACATATTGCTCACTGTATAAGCTGCTGCACTCATGTTTGTTCTCTGGTAGAAAGATTGAATATGGAGCAGTAACTCCTATAATGCCAGTGTCAGGAATTTGGAAGGTTTCATTGGAGCACAATGAGATGTGTTGACCCATGCTAAGAGAAATCTCAGGAAGACAGTATGACACAAATTTTGTTGGGAAACTGGCAATGTCCACAAGCAGCTTCTTCCACAAATTAGGTGTTCAAACCATTACACATACTCTCCAGTTTCACAAATTCAGTGGTCTCTGGCCCACACTTGGAAACATTTTCACAAAAATAGCCTTCTGGCAAGTAGCAGAATGAAGTGCTTACTTTGCAGGTCGGCCAGAGGTTCAGTTCATCTTCCCCTCCAGTGCAATCCTGAATTCCATCACTAAGCCACGATATTGGTAGACTTAGAGGCATTTCATGGCAATATCTGCGGGCACACATTTCTTCAGTCATTTCATGACATATCTTGTTATTTTCATCACTTTGTTCAACACAATCAAAATTGCCACCACAAAGTTGATGTTTATGAACTTTGCATTGAAAAGAAGGTCCTCTGCACAGTACATCGAAATCGTCATCACAGAAAGAATTGAGAGAAGAACTGTTAATTCTAATTCTGTTGCCCAAAAGTAAACTTACACAAATGACTGTAGAAGACAAAGTTGTCATGAATACGTTTATAGGACATGTCAAGAAAGCAGCTTTCTAAGTAAACTACATCTGTCGCGTTTGTAGATTTGCACTGACGCCTGACCAATCGTTCAGTACTATATAGTATATCAGTTGGGCTCTGTTTGTATACCTACTAACAATATACATTGTCAACAACTCGTTAAATATAGATACCTCTTTAATGTTGACACTGCATGGTGAGGCTTCTGTAATGAGTTTTTGAAGGATAAAGCATACTCTTTTAGAAAGGACAATGCCATTTGTCAATTTTGGCAACTAAATTAAATAACTACTGCTCCCCAAAATAGTGGGAGCTTGTATTTAAGTTGAGTTTATTGTTGAGGCTAGTCAATCTTCGTAACATCACGATCATTGTGACATTTCTTATTAATATCTCTACAAATAAGCATTTAATGGTTTGTAACGCTTCAAAAGTCGTACATAAATACAGCTTTTAAGGTTATTTCAAGTTAAAATCTCTACGACCTTCAGCTTCCCAGCTCAAGTTACCAAAATACAGTCCTATGTTTAGGCTCACTATTTAAGCAAACAAACAGTTTTTGTCAATATCTTTAAAACAAAGAACTGTAAACCTTATGATGCATCATAACCTGTACATAAATATTAAATATGGCTTTTGCGGATATTTTTAACTAAATTTTGCTCTGCAGGATTAGGACTATAATATCTAGTGTATCTAGATGATTTTGGTGCAGAATGACCTAAGGAATGACCTAAAGTGCATACTGAAATACACTCTGTCACTAGAGTACAGTATAGATCAAATGAATGTACTACGGCCGATTTGATATGTTTGTTCAATTTGCTATATATTTGCTACTTTGTAAATAATTTAAATTTATAATATTCAATAAAACTTCATTACTGTTAATGCACAATAATTATGTAATGTAAATATAAACATAAGTTTATCTACTGTACAAATGGAGAGTTTGCGAACATTATTTTGTTTCTTTTTAAAAGTCTAAGTTTGCATCCATTTCGCCAAAAGTCAAGCCCCCGTTTTTTCTTAGAAAGTTGCATATGGAAAAGTTTTGTAGTTTCCTGGCATCATCCACTGGACTCGTTTCCCATCTGTGAAAAAGACATGGTGAATACAGTGCAGCAGGTAGGCATATTAATCAGTATTACTCCATCCCAACCAAAAGATTGAATAATTTAATGACATTTAATATCTTAGTCATGTCGGGTATCTACACACAGATAAAAATGTGGCAAAAAAGCATTATTGTCTAGAAAACATGACAAATGGCAGTAATGTCCAAATGATGGAAGCAATGATAAACCTGTCTGTAGGATTAACGTTCACTTTGCACTGCTTCACTAGAAACACCACCACATCCATTTGCTCTGAAATTGTTATTTTTAATCGTTTTTTATGTGCGCAAAAGATGGTTACTAAAGATACCTGTCAAAGATTTTGTGATTTGTGAACTGAATCATTTAAGACCAGCAGCTTAAAGTTAGTTTTTTAAATCATTCCTTGAAATAAAATTTTTCTTTAAAATAGTTTTCTTTCTTTCTCTTCTTAAATAGTAGAGAAAAACTAGTGTTCTTCAAATTCTGATATTAAGGTAACAAGTCAAGATATCGATTTTTCTGAAGTGGGTGTTACCTCCACAAACAGCTAGATGGAGAGCTGTCCTACCATCATAGTCACTCCAATTAAAGTCAATATTATCTGCATGGTATCGGTAGAGTTGGCTCATGTTCCCTGTAACTGCAGCAAAGAGAAGAGACATCATTTGCTGCTCCTGAAACATTATTTTTCATTGGCAACCGCACAAATTTAAAAGATTAAAAGTCTTAAATTTCTATCGAAATGAAATGTAATCTGTAATTACTGATGAACAGGTTATTATTGATATGACATCTACAATTTAATGATTACTTTAGTTTCTCCAAGTTTGCTTATAGTAGGATTGAGCTTGTCATCATTCTTTTTCAAGTTCCTTTCAAATAGGTGAAATCTGAAGCGCTCAATAAACTTCTGAAATTTAAACTGGATGAGGTTATGTTTTATAAATTTTGGCAACAAGATCGCGACAATTTTGTGTCAGAATAAATATGAGCATTATATACAAAAGGTGATAATTATACAAGGTGGGTCACACACTCACATAATTTGAGTTAATTACATATATTATGATAAAATTGATCAAATGTCATTTCCTTATCATTGTGGAACAATGTATATTGTTTCCATGTGATCAAGGGTTAAATGGCAAATTTATCAGCCATAAAATAATGTAATTTATCAGCCTTAAAATATGAAATGAGGTATTTATATCCCGCTCATATGAGTAACCAACAACACGTACACAAGGAAGGTGGTTAACCATGCCAGAGCGGCTGTCTGTGAGTGATGTGAGCAAATGTGTAAATGTGAGCAAAATGCAGCTAATCCTTATTTTATATTATCGAACATTTAACCAACTAACCTTGCAAAATTGAACACCTTTAACACTGTTGTTAGTACTATTTAGCTGTGGCGAGAATATGCACATGCCCATGACATTTGGAACAACAACCATCATGAGCCCCGCAACGTTACTCTTAGATGGTAAACCAACCTGTTTAAGGCAAACGTAATGTTATTTTTTAGTGCTCACATCGCATTTGGTGGTGATGTGAGTTCATAATATATAGTGGAGCTTTATTCCATCGCTATACGGCACAATACTTTCTTATAATACTCCTAATGGGGTATATGACACTTGAAAGGTATTAGGAATTGAGATCGAATGCAAACCTCTCTATACCAGGTTTTTTTTCTATACCGTGCACTTTTCGTGTCCCCAGAGAAGCCCAGTATAGAGAGGTTTGACTGTATAAAAGTGTTTTCCCTAAACATTATTGATATGCTGTTGATGCAATTTAAATGGTATTTACAACAAAACTCTAACATTACCTCAAAGGCATAGGCACCAGAGTAGTCATTCATTCCACAAGACATCATGAGACTCAGAGTATCCCTCACTGAATTCGGGGAAATTACCTGTAAAACTCCTCTGGGTCATGTGAGTACTGACACGGCACCAGTAAATGACCGGGATAAGAATTTTGAAATGGCCGGGACCAGGACCGGGATTTTTTATCCAATTTGAAATTGGTTGGGATCAGTCAAATTTGACCAGGACCGGGACCGGGATTTTAGCTCTTTTTGGACACAAAATTTAGCGGAATCAACTATTTATGCAGAAGTGATCCATGTTCAAGATATTCAATTGTTTTCAATTTGAAGTTTAAAGTCGAAAAAGTGAATGTGCTATATAATTACTTTTCTCTAGAAATTTATTCCCGTCACGCTGCAAATTTTTTCCAAAATCTTTATTGAAGTTGTATCTTAAATCGCGGTACAAATCGCGGTAAAATTGGTATTTTGGCCGGGACCGGGATTTGGTAAAAAGTCCAATCCCGGCTACGGCCGGGCCCCGGTACTGGGATCACGGTCGATCTTTGCAAGGCACCAAACTCATCATAAATTGTCAGCCAGCTAAAATATTTTTAATGATCGCAATTATTGGACCTATCATTGTTGGTTATCATCTACGAGTTGTAAGTTATATCTTTAAGATATAAGGACAACTTTAACATTAGTATTTAATTTGTTTTTTTTGCATACAGAATGGACGTAAAATTCATGAATCATTCCCAAAACATTTTTTCCCCTTTTTCGAAAAATAAATTAATATACATTCAAGTGAAAGTGAGAAGGTGATCCAGTTTACTGAGACTGCTGTAGAATAAAATAATGCTAAATTCTTTCAGATAGTTTTTTAAAGATTGTTTTGACTTTTCTAGCGAAAAAGTGGATCATGTCCCACCTTTACCAAAGTCTATTACGATTTGTATTATTATATATACATATGATGGTAATGGTGTCTTCTTTTTGCAATATCCATGTTTCATCGCCATTACCAATTGTGTTAAGCTACTTAATGTTTTTGACAGCATACAATCAAAAAGTTAACAATCCCTCAGGTGAGGTTAACCTATCAGCAACACAATGTTAAGTAATGGAATACATTATCAGATGATGTGAATGTCGTAATAATGACTTATGTATTCGTATATGGGACACTTAAGAGGGATTTTTGGAATCATGGATATCTAGCCGGCTGTGACTACATAGGAACTGGACGTTTGGTTGACAAATATCCGTTGTTGGTAGATCCCCAATCTGCTATTCCATTCCTTCTCAACCGCAAAGGAAGCGGACACGTATGTTTTTACAGATTATTTTAAATTAGTCCTGGATTCTGCGAACTTAATTAGAACTTAATTGCCAGGAGTATTTAATTTCTGTAGAGGTGTATATTTAAATTCATTATTTATTAGTCTGCTCCTTTTCCTCACAACACTATCAACAGCAGGTGGAAGGGGAGATATATTTGGTACCAGACGAAACATTAGCAGACTTGGACAGACTTGAGGGGTACCCTGGTTGGTACAACAGAACAGAGCTGCCAATCCTCATTACAGCAGACCCTGAAATGAGCAAACCTTATACTATGACTTGTTTGGTCTACATATTGGACGAGTAAGTGAAGTTTAAGTTAGATTTGTTTTTTCGCGTTGGATTAATAAAATAAATATATTTTATAATATCATTAACACTAAATTAAAGTACTGAAATTTTGCTCTTCAGCTCTCCAAAAGTACAAGGGCGGGAATCGAAGTTTTACAAGAACTATGACCATTCACACCGGGCTAGAAGATCACTGGGTTAGATAAATCTTCTCTATCTCAAGACATTAGATCAGATTTGTGAATGGGGTCGGTAGCATGATGCAGATAGTTTTATTGACGTTGTTGTTATGACGTTTTAAGAAGGACAGTGTTGTTAACGACCAATTGACTCACTTAGTTTTTTCAACATCACCAGTAAGATCTTCACAGCACGCTGTTGAAGATATAGTATTATATTATTGAGTTCGAATATTGAAAATCTGGACAAGATGTATCATCTATATTGAAAATGCCTTACGGGGAGGGGGAGGGGGTTGTTGGGGGGGGGGGGGAGAGGTTGGTTGGGGTAGGGGGGTTAAAATTAGGTTATGTAATACAGTATGCTAAAACCACCTCTAAGTGAATTCTGAGAGTTTTGTTTTTTTAGCTATTTCACATATTTTTTTACAGAAGACCGCAAATATTTTTTATCCAGAATAAACAGTATTCAATATTGCTTTGAAAGAGTCAATGACTTGTTTTTCAAAGCAGCCAAAACTTTCTTTATTTTTAAAAAGCCTTGGCAAAAATAATAGCCTCTTTGTGATCAACTTTTTTAGTTCTGTTGATTTTTATTTCTGATTGTATTGTGTCGTTCAACTGTTAAACTCATACATTATGTATCTAACTAATAGATTGTGTAGTGTTATGTATATCAACATGAAGTTGGCAAGTTGCCCAAATGTTTAAAATGTTTCTCCGTCTCTGAACTCTACTAAAAGATTCAAATATTATGTTTCATTCTACAATTTAATTACTTTCCATAATCCTAAATTTTACGTTATGAATGGAGTTTCAAGCTAGAAAAACAAATTCGTAACGTGTCCTTACCATTTTGAACCTATTTGTTTCATTAATCAATGTTGTTGTTTTATTGCAAGATAAATGTACCTTCTTATAATTAAGTGGGCACACACCCCCAGAAGCGAGAGTAGCTGCAATAATAGAGCCTGCATCAGTTCCCACATTGATAGAGTTGAGATGCATGTACATCTCCACCGTGCTATCCAGTCTATCACTGTGTGGTAGAGAGCTTCTTTCTCTGAGGTGGTGTCCAATACCGTACAGTTCATTGTTATTGTTTAACATGCTGAGACAGAACGAGTTACTGAAACCAACCCCCGCTTCCTCGCCTGTGAAACTTCTTATCTGCCGGAGTTATTTATTGAAATCTATAAATAACTTCCTAGATAACAGATAATTATAATGGTTATAAGAGAACAGGAGATAAGACACTGTTATAATATATAATGCAATGCACGCTGTAAATATTTAATATCGACTAGCAAGTTATTTTATTACCTTAGTGTACAAGTGCTCGAATGATTCGCTGGTAGACTTGTCTTCACACAGAATATCTGTCAGAACTATTCCTCCTGCGTCCGTGAGTGGGTTGTAGGGCTTACCTGGTTTCAGACAATTAATTAATTACCTGGTTAATTAATTAATTACTCAGTTTCAGATAATTTTGTTATGATATTTATATTGCTTGCTGTTCTAAATAGGATAGCGGCAAAGTATGCTTAGTTTTCATTACAACTTGTCAACGCAGCATTCCTTTAGTGTAAGATAGCAGCCGGCACATCATGTATCATATTTACAGGTGATTTATAATATGCTGGCTAAGTTCCAACAATGTAATTACCTCCTGGTCCAAGTTGGAAACTGCCATCAATTGGTTGGGTTTCTTTTCCAATGAACTGGTGAACATAGCTACTGGTAAACTTAGTCACTGCAATTCCATACAACAGGGGTAATACACTAGCACACAGTGGGATGTGTCTTTTGTCTTCGCCAAATGATAACATCTGAAATAACAGCAGGTACATGTTCTATCAGTACGTGATTTTGTATCATGTACAAAGGCAGTCAATTATCCGACTTTCTGTGAAGGTATAGCACGTACAATGCTGAGTCATAATTGCATTTCATAAGATTTACAGACTAAGTTATTAAATTTAATTACCTGTCCGTCAACTGTACATATGCTGACATTAAACGCTCCTTCCTGTCCTTTTAAAAACAAGTTGGGTAACTTGCTATACACCTGCGATATTATCATGAAGTACCTTACCTGTATAGTACCTTAGTGTTCAACTCGCACATTCAATCTGTAAACTTCATAGGTAAGCACTGAGCAGTGAGCATGGGTGCAAATTATATAACTGAACAATTATTATGTGACACACGGAGTGTGTTCAATGTAATTATATTAATTATAGATATAATAAGATATTGCAAATATTGCAATTCTAGCTGAGCGTATCCTTAAATTGTTGGGGGGAGGGGGGGGGGGTGTGACACGTCTATCTATGTCCGCTTGTCTCATAGAATCCAAAAAGGACAGGACATTTAATTGTCGGACATTGGTGGACATTAGCGGACAAAAGTGGACAGCTAAATTCGCTAAATTTTGCTAAATATTGCTAAATTTTGTTGAAATTTAGGCGGGTAATACTTTTTCAAAAAAAGTCTAATTTTATATGGTTCACCCAGTAAATCCTGTTTTAAAGGTATTTTGGGGCACAAAGCAAAGTGAGATGTCGAGGACCGTTGTTCATGGATACAAGATGTATACTTATCAGAAATGCAAGGGTGGCATTTTTTCTAAAAAGCTATGGGCTTCGAAACAATACCAGCTGAAATTGAAACGGGCAGAAATTCTTTGATTCTATGATCCTCATCAAAATTGTTATGGTTTAAAAAGACGAAAGAAAAATAATGGAATACGAGGTCAGAAGAAATAACTTCACTACTTATACTGGGTATCAATATCAAAACAGACTAAGAAGTAACTGACTTACTGGTCTGTGTGTGGGTATTTATAGACATGCAGCCCTGGAGCGAATCAGAATGCAGGATCGATAACACGTGACCATAGGCAAGCCAATATATCCACTACAATCTACATTGGTATCACGTGATCTACAAACACATGGAGTGGTTCTGGCGTTCTGCGCTTGACAGGGCTGTCGGCAAGCAGACAGTGTCTGGAACAGTGCTAATCACCGTCTAGAGCTGAGTCACTGTCTAGAGTCCAGTATGGAGTCACGTGACGTTGATTTCCCGTAAAGGATCAGAGAGGAGTGACGAATAAACAAGCACAATGCTGGTAGAGAGGGAATAAGTGGCGAAATCAAGAAGAGAAGGATAACATAATCATGATCATTGATTTGTTCAATCAAACACACAAGAAGAAGATTAAGGAATCTGGATATTTAAAAAATGTTTATGTTATCATAATAATCAGGTTAGCATGAAACGTAAACAAAAGTAATTTTCAGAAAAAGTGCAAAGGGGAAGCTTCCAGTCCAAAATCGTGTGTCTAATGGTAGGCTTTGAAAAAATATGTTCGGCTCATAATGATCAGGGTAACCTGAAACGTAAACAAAAGTTGTTTCCAGGATAACTTTGTAAATTTTTTGACTCTGTCCGAGACCCGAGTCATCTCGATACGTACATCTAAAGGCAGAGCTCCCGCTTCCGAGTTCGGTTTGCAAAGGGGAGGCATGCTTTCCGAGATTGAATCGCAAAGGGGATGCCTCGATAGGTTGTGAATATAGGCTCCTTATGAATATAGGCTCCTTCCAATTGTCCAAATTATGTGCAAAAAATGCTCATAATGTTTGTCAGCTTATGTCCGCCAATGTCCGTCAATGTCCGCTAATGTCCCCAAGTCACCCACCCCCCCCCCCCCCCCCCCCCCCCATTGATACTTTTAATACTAACTTGTCCTTCGTTGTTTTCAAGCATTTGATTGTATATTTTCTCACACTCAGTAGCAAACGACAGCCACTCTGAAATGATCAAGTTGCCAGCAAATATCTTGTTAAGAAATGAGAGGTTCGGTCGAATACACCTGAAAATATATTGAGAGGTGTTTTACTTCATGAATTGTTACATGTTACAAATTGGCGTAAATGTAATCGAATCAGCAAATTTTCCTCGAATATCACTTCATTTATGGTTTCGATTCCAACAGATAAGACTGCACAATTCCAGAAACTTGAAATAGTGAACAAACCGGAAATACTAAAGATAAAGATTATGAATATTTAGGATTTCTAACCTGCACTGTATAGTATAGTGTATACACTATACATATTACATATGTACATACAGAGTGTTTCAAGACTCGTGTTCAAATTATATGAAATTATAATTTTTCTATTTTATGAAGGAGCAAATCAAATGAAATCGGTTTGGGAATGCTTGTTAGGTCTTACATTTTAGTTATTCCTTGCAAAATTGTGTCAAAACCCATTTTTTACATACCTGTAAAATTCTTCAATCTCTAGAGTCTCAGGGAACTGACTGGAATCATTAAGCTGCTCCGATTCATCATGTTTAGTCGCTTTTAACAATGAAATAACATCGGTGAACCTCGGATCTGTCAATGGATGAATTCCAAACTTCTCCAAAAACTGAAATATAGTTGTATACACTGTAGTTATTGTTGAATTTCCCAATTCAAGGCGCGAGAAAACAGGCCTGACAAATGTGGTATTACTATTACATTTATTATTGTTTATATAAAATAAACAATAAAAACAATTACCACATTTGTTCCGACCATTCTCGTTTACAGTAGTGATCATAAAAGCAGAGGTAACATATCAGCAGTAGGTACGGAATCGCACTATTGACTTAATACCGCACTTTATCGCACTATTGACTTAATACCGCACTTTATCGCACCATCAGCCGCGGCCGTTATTCGTTCTATCAGATTTGTGTACTTGGTACTGCTGTGTCCATTGTACAATGATATAAGATCGACTTGCCCATAAATTGTGTAACTTGGGTCAAACGTTTTTCATGGCGGAACAGCTTAGCTTATAATACACACTATGTCTTGAAATCTAATGTTATATAAAGTTACATTATTGAATACTCAATTATGCTCATCATAGTTCAACTAGCCTCAGATATCCTGCATTCCTACCCATCTAATTGTAAAACTTCTAAAATCTATAAATTTTCGTTGACGTAGAGAAAGTCTCATTATTAGTGTAAAATGTAGCAAAGTTTTTGGAACAAATTTAAGCAATTGTTTGTCGTCTTTAATATGAGGTTGTCAAACAACATATAGCAAGATATAGCAAGACATAGCAACATATAGCAAAATATAGCAAAATATAGCAAAATATAGCAACATAGCCAGTAAAATGAGTGTTACCTTAAAGAATTTAGGAATGGAGACCTCCAGCTCTGTATCGTCATCAAGAAACATGTTCAAAATACGCTGATCTATTTCTACTCCTAGGTAGTCTGCCAGTGATGTCGACCTGAAGTTCAGTTTGTTAATTGAGAATTAGTCACAGATAATATTATACGCTAAATATACGGCACTGTATTATATCGAGTTCACCGTGAAATTGGCCCTCGCTCAGTGTTGAGAAAGTTTCCACGGCGGTGCGTTGTTCCAACTTGTGCTGATCACCATCACGCAATATTCACACAATATTCAACTACAATTACTACAAAAGTGACATGTCACTCTATTTAATTTCTCCCTAGTACCTACATGTACATTGTACATTGTACATGTATGGTATATATCATAAATTTTCGTCGTGCCGTATATGGACGATTCCGCGAAAAGGTAAACCAGTGCCGAAAAATAAATCTAACAAAGAAGTTCCCTAAAGAATATATTATTGTGACACAGATTTGTTTATATTTGAAGTACGTTCGTAAGAGATCGTTCACATATTATTACGTAATCACTTTTTGGACAATTTTTAACCCCCCTCCCCGCTCCGTAATCAGTTTTACACATAGCTATTGTGTCAAAATTACACTAGCGTAATCATTTGGAAACCCCCCCCCCCTCCACCCTCGGCTTATTACTTAATAATAATATGTGAACGACCCTAAATAAATTTGTCCGTTGGAGCACTTAAGTTGCTCCTAATCGAATTTTCTCAGTAGGCCTTTTATTATTACATTTTGTAGTAAATCTTATGAGTCTTGTTTTATTTAAAATATATCTGTCAACTTGTTTCGAACTGGGCTATTGTTTGAAGGCCAGCCTGGTTACTTAGTTACATAATGTAAAATCAATTAACTTTTATAATAAGGGTAACTGTAAATATATTACAAACTGATACAGCTGCATTTCTTACAGTCCCCTATAGCACAATCCCCTTAGCCATTAAACAAATCCTCACTATAATGAACAACGTCCAACAAATAAAAACAGTACTACTGTTCTTCCAGGACGATGATTTAAACGATCATATAATATGACGGGTGTAGGAAGAGGGGGGGGGGGGGTATAATATTAACTAACTGACCCGTGGGTGCTACTCCCAGACACAGATGTAGATTTAGCCGTCCTTCTACTAACTTGAAAACACTCAGTCTTTTGATCGGATCTTTCCATTTTATGACGAGGTCAACAAACAATAGCAGGATGAACAGCAGTGTGTTCTCTAAGTTTTCCAGATGTGGTTATAGTGACAAGTTATGACATGTTGATGATTTCCAGATATTTTCTGCTGATTAGATTGATCATTTTCAATTTTCATGACCAGATTGAATTAGCTTGGTTTAATTTGTCACAATAGTCTTTCTCTTATCCAATCAATTTTAGTGTTCTCATAGCAGCCCTCTTAGAACCATATACATTATATAGTTATATAACGCTGGTTCTTTTATTGTTGATATTATAATATTATGATGAATGGTGAAAATGAGTATGAATTGTATACTGATGCAACAATTTGTAATATATGCCATAAAGATAATGAGATTGAATATGCTCATGAGAAGTAAGCTTCTCTGGTCTCCTCTCCTTAATAGTTTTCCTGTCACCATTACAAATTAATCACACACATATCTGATTGTTCTATCAAGATGTCATAAAGCACGAATTAAACAGTACACTAATTAACACAGTACACTAATTAACACAAATTAAACAGTATTCTCACGTACCCTGACATCTATTATAGATTTTAGCTATGTCACTGGAAGAAAGAGCAACTACAGGATCAGCCCTCAGAAGAATTTTCAAGAAGGTGAGATATAATAACGGGTGATGAATAAAAAATGGGACTACATGTTTTAAATTCCTCAGCTTCCACCTGAACAAAATTTTGATATTTTACCACAACCACCAGTTACTCTGAACGATACTCGAACAGTTTCCGCCCCCATTTGATCAAATTGGTTGATCTTTGTCCCCGATAATGGTCTCGAACTAGGGGAGGGGTCCTATAAACATTTTACAGTAAAGCACTGTTCACAGAAGTCGCCTCACAGGTAGTTAAAGCTTCCATACCAAAAACAATTTATCAGAGAGTATGCCTAAACTTCCTATCTATCACATCCTAAAGCGATTTTAGCAGCAGAGGTCGGTAGCCAGAGCTACAGAGACAAAAAGTTCATCCTGTATTATAGCACTTACGAAAATGACCCAATAGGAACTGCTGGTGAGCCACATAACCGGCACCCTACCAAGATCCCTGGTGATCTGTTTTGGCTGTACTCTCGGTTATATTTCCAGGGCAGTCACATGACTAAATGTTTGTTGTCTGAAAGGTGTCAAAGCCCCTAAGATTAGAGATAACACCCAAAAATGGGAAGTCGTGAGCAAATTCGAAAATATGTATAATCTTGACTAAACGCTATATTTTGCTATTGTTGAGAAGAAGTATTTCGGTCTGACTGTTGTCCATACGTCAAGAAGTAGGGAATTGTATGCTTAAGACTAGGGTTCAACACCCCTCAGCGTAGCTAAAACCAGTCAGAAGATATTTGAGCTCAAAACCACCTGAGGGGTAAAATTTTACCGTGTGAAAGATCGAGGCTAGGTCAAACTATCGGCTTTAGTATGGTCTATAATGGTACCACGTAAAAATCAAAGTGCTTGGAGCCTTGCCTGGTGTTGTTCCTACAAGAAAATATCCCCAAAGGGTGGAAGGTGGTTCGTTAGGATGGGGCTAGATCGTATTTTTCTGCGAAAACCACATCTTTACTTGCAGCCCATAGGGTTAATTTCGTCCCAAAAGTGATCGACCAAAGTAAATTTTGACAATCTCAACCCATAGAGGACTTCTTTAGAGTCCTGGCAACACATGTCCATGCCCGGAATATGGCTAGCAAGCATACATGGGCCTTAGGGCACAAAAGAAGAGACTGCGCCAACACGATTTTAGGCCCAACTGTACAGACGGATTTTTGAGCTTGAAGAAAGAAGCCCTCCTGAACCAATCAAAATGGGCTCATGGGCGCTTGTCATTGACCATACTTGTTCAAAATTGCCCGCTTTACAACGCTGTTTCATTGGTTTGAACCAAAAATAGTTTTATCGACACTAAAAAGACCCTTGAAAAAAGTCCCATTTTTTAGTCATCACCCGTATGTAACTTCACAACAGGATTAAAAGTGTTTGGTAATATGAGTAAGCCAGTAAATTCTTGGTGTTAAATTAAATATCGAATCCTTTTGTTACATTATCTAATTGACTTATTTGCCTGTTTGAATGAGTCTTACTGTTTAAGCCTAAGGGGGTATACACCAAATTTTCCAATCCACATGACCTCACAGGAAGTTCACTGTTCAGTGACCATCTAGCGCACCGTTTCCACACCAAACAATTTTTTTTGAAAACACGCATTTCTGTAATCGAGCATTTTCTGGTTAAAATGCATTTCTCGGAAAAAATATTTGTTTTATTGAGAAGCTATAACTCAAATAGTGTTCACATCTTGTGAACATACGTGTTAAATCTTGATATCTATACATTCTAAAATGTCGATAGGAATGTGGTAGAGACTTCTAGACAAGTGCAAATGGTCACTGAACTTCCTGTGAGGTCATTTGGGTTGGCCGACACAAAACCCAGTTTTGGTGTATACCCCCTTAAATCTTAATGCTGCCTTACAATTGCTTATTCTTCCATCATCGGGCAAATTGGCAATATTTTCAAACATTTTACCCACTTAATCTCCCTTATTTCAGTATGCGATAGAAAATGAGCAAGGCCAACTAGTGATCCCTTCAATGGTCTTTGTGCGTGACTTCCTGCGTTGGGACGTGTCTGATGAAGCTGTGTCCCTTGTAGCCAGAGTAGCTGATCTCGGTAACTCTGGCTCGATCACACTCGACGAGTTCATGGCTGTAGAGCGGATTATGAGGATGCCAGATGCGCATTTCAGACTTGCGTTTAGGATGTGCGATAAGAAGGGAAAGGGGAATATTACTGTTGAGGATTATATGGGTGTGATGGAGGCAACACAGGTACTTTGGGTGTAACTTAGATGTTGCCTTGAACATTTTATACATACGTTTTAAAGAGAACTCCATATTTATGCTGTTAACAATAATTTGCGAGTTTGCAAACATTATGATTTAAACTAGACTTCTAACTAGGATAGTACATTTTCAGGCGTATAAGGAGGTTCAGTTTACCAAAGACTGTAGCTGGATGAAACTGCACTTTGGGCGGAATCTTCAAAGACACATGAGACCTGACGAATTTCCACAATTTATTGCAGTTAGTTTTAACAGAACTGTTTCCTTATAATTCATATTATCTTTGTGTTATGTACATACTGTCATAATGTTGTCACCCAAAAAGTATAAAAAATAGTTTAATACTATACACTATACAGTTGCATACTGTACACATAGTACTATTAACTATTAACTATTATTAATTATATTATTAGCTAGAATTTCTCTTGCATCCTAAGAGACTTTTAACCGTCACATATTTAAAATAACAATTGTTTTCAGAGTGTACCTAGGGAGCACATTCGGCAAGCTTTTCAGTCTCTAATTAAAGATTCGACGGATGGCAGTATTGATGCAATGGCGTACTGTGATACCCTGGCTAAACTTAAAGGACCTTCTTTCACCAAATACTTGAGAGACAACCTGCTCGGGGTAATCATTTAACTTCTGTTTATAATAAATAAACATTATAAGTAAACAGACATGTATATTGTATTGTACATGTATATATAATATATATAAGCTAAAAGAGAGCAAGGCAATGGACCAATTCTTGATGCTGATTTTGGAACTGTTGATAAGCCGTGTCCAATGTACCGATACTGATCTCGTAACTAAATCTGATAACTCGATTCATCTGTAGAGCGATTATAATAATCACAACCTAATTAAAATGGAAAAATATTACTTAAGGATTAAATGTGTGATGAGCCACGTACTTGGGTAACTAATGGTTAACATAATAATCATACAAAAAACTCCATATTACTGAACAATAATTTGCGATTTCAAAATAATGGTTTACTATTCAATGGTGTACATTATCCAGCTCAAAGATTCAGGTTTACCAAAGTGTACTGGTAGAACCCCTCTCGAATCTTCAAGACACTGACTTTGTCGCATTTACAATTTATGCAGTTATTTAACAGACGTTTCCTATAATTACATATAATCTTATGTGTTAGGAATTATAGGTCATATGGTCACCAAAAATATAAAACATAGTTAATATCTAAAAATATATATATATATATCCAATACAAAACAGACATGATCATGTTCATGTGTACTGTAATAATGAATGCTGGATGTCGTCCAAACTGAAACCCGTTAACCTCCTGAGAAATTGACATATTATGGAGCAAATATTTGCTTAAAATACGCTTTTCATATCGATACAGGGCACAACTTGTACAAGACTTGTACAACTTCTATAGTTAACATACCATCCTAATTGTAAACAGTGTATCGCATGTATAGTGTATAATACATGGCCTGTACAGCATGCAGCGGTATAGTTTCTACTTTAAATATCTGTCTAATTGAACAATTATTCAATTAGCTAAGTGTTCTAACTGTGTATTAGTAAATCAATGTATACAGATAATGACTGCGCAGACGACCCGGATAAGTTATTCTTACTTCACAGCACTGAACGCCCTGATACACAACATAGAGCTGGTTAAACAGATCTTCTCTAATGTGGTGGACAAGTTGGAGGAGAAGGAGATAACTAAAGGTTAATTATCCCCACTGTGTAACTTTACTTTAACCGTACTATGTTAATTATGTTCATGATGTTTGATAGTCTATAACTAATAACTATGTATTTTTTACGTTTCGATAACTTCAGACCAGTTTGACCAGGCAGCCTGGCGGTTTTCAGAAGCTATAACTCCCGTCCAAACCACGTTGCTATGGCGACTTTTAGATCACGACAATTCGGGGTTAGTACCTGTTTTTTATTAAGTTATGTTCTAGAATCCTTCGTTACATAACTAAAAATACCTTGAAGTCATCTAAAATTAATAAAATCTGTGAATGTAATTTTGGAACATTTTCAGGAAAATCGCTCTAAAGGATTTCGCTCTGCTGATTCCGACTATGACTGTATCTAAACAAACTAAAGCTAAAGAGGTGATTTTTTATTATTATCATGTATACACTATACAATCTTTTCATCCTAATTTGCAAGCTATATTTTTGCTGGTGCACAAAAAAAAAGAATAATACCGCAGTAAATCGGGGTCCCCCGTAAATCGGGGTGTAACTGTACTAAAAAAATTGCAAATTGTATAGCAGACCGGGGATATTCTGGCATTGAGTACAGACTGAGAGTTATATCAACATTCCAGGGTAGGGTAAACCTGTTGGGCCTCCCCCTGTGTCCGTGAAGTGGTCTGGAAATGTGCCAAAAAAAACTTGAAACTTTCCTGTTCGCTAATATAATCTAATACCCTAAAGTCTATTAAATTATGCCCTTATATCTGATATATATGGGTGTCCAAGACATGTATCACATATTCTGATAAATTAATTACTGTACACTATTTTTAGAAGGTCAAATAACAATGCCTCATAATGGATGTCGTCTAATTTGACCTTGATTTTGCAGGAAGAGTCTAAGCCGATAACAGCTAGTCAACAAGTGGCGGTGCAGGCGTACCGTTTCGGTATGAGTTCTGTCGGAGGAGGTAAGAAGCTGTTACCAGTTCCACAATCTGCAATTTATAACACTTCAGCTCACTATCCAGTCAATGTCGAAATGCGTGTAATCCTAACACGCCGCTTAGAACTAACACCTCGACTGGATAAAATTTTACGGAAGGCGCGATAACATGAAATTATTTATTGAATTCTTAGCGCGATTTTGACGCGCGGATTGTCGAGTCGCGCGTAATTCAAATGACATGCAGACTCGATATCTAGCAACACGTTCTGTTTGTTGTTGACCGACAATGCCAATCCTTCGCAGCTCGTGGCTAAGCTTAAGTGGCTTATGCCTTAGCTAATTAGCTCACTTAGAAATACAAACATGCACTCATGCTTAGCGCAGCTGGGTAGTGTAGTGTGCTACAAGTTACAACATGTCCTTTTGGCATTCACCGCTAGGCAAGCATCTGAAGGACTTGACCTCAAACCCCTCACCTTCGCTATCACATAAAAAATTATTGTAATTGGTAATTATTGCTGCAAATCCTAACTCGTAGATCTCAGCGGCCGGAGCAGCGACAGTTTACCCAATAGATTTGGTTAAAACGCGGTTACAAAATCAAGTGACAACCATCGCGGACGAAGTTCTTTATAAAAACAGCTTTGATTGTTTTAAGAAAGTGCTTAAGTTTGAAGGCTTTAGAGGTTTATATCGGGGTATTCTACCCCAACTCTGTGGAGTTGCTCCAGAAAAAGCTATAAAAATGACGGTTAGTTAAATTCTGAGTATTACGTTTTTGAATGTGTTTTGTTCCTTCAAAGAATGAAATGCAGATTGCGCGCATTGTCGGGCTCAAGTTTCAGTTTATGCCCTAATTATACAACTGGTTGGGATAGAGTTATTATGGAAATCAACACAAAACAATTTTTTGAGTTTAGCAGAATCTTAAAATGGTGTATCCATATTTTCAGACGAACGATGCTGTCAGACAATATTTTACAGACCCTAAATCAGGGAGCATCCCATTTTATGGCGAGGTACTCGCTGGAGGAATGGTAAGATTACGACAGTGTCTTCTTTAATACAACAGGTTGCATGCTGCCTCCTCTCTGTAACTTATTAAGTGTCAAGTTTTATCCAGAGATAAAATGCAATAGTTATAAACTGATAATATATTCGATACAGTAGAATCTCTATATACCGGGCCTGTCGGGAGAAACGAAAAGTTCACGGTAGAAAAAAATTAGTATTGGAAGGTTCGCCCGTTCACAGGCTCCCTAATAACGCGTCAAACATCTCCCAATAGGTCATAATATGCACGTATTGTGCCGTATTGTGATGGAATACAGCTAGATATGTACTCAAATCAGCACCAAATACGATATGAGCTATGATAAATCAAATTTCTTGCACAACACGAGCAAACTAACTTAAAGTTTTGGAGAAAGAAGAGGCCCTGTGTATCGAGGTACCCGGTATAGAGAGGCGCGGTATATAATAGAGATTATTTATATTTGCTGCTGTACAGGGAGGATGTGCGCAAGTGATGTTCACAAACCCGATAGAGATTGTAAAGATAAGACTGCAGATAGCTGGGGAGGTGGTTTCTAATAACCACGTGACAGCTATGCAAGTTGCTAAAGAACTCGGATTTGCTGGTCTCTACAAGGTTTCTATTCAGCTAGCTCAAAGACAAATCAATATAATAGTATAAAAATATAAAAATTATTATAATAACAGCTTTATTACAAATTTAAAAATTATTTGCCCCCCCCCCCCCCTTCCAATTACTACTATCTAGGGAGCGAGAGCTTGTTTATTACGTGATGCACCGTTCTCTGCAATCTACTTCCCAACCTACGCCCACTTGAAGAAAGGATTTGCGGACAGGGAAACGGGAGTGACCTCATTTCCAAAGATCCTGTTATCGGCCACGTTAGCTGGTGTTCCCTCCGCGTCATTGGTTACGCCTGCTGATGTAATAAAGACAAGACTGCAGGTACATAGTTATGGTACTCCGTCATCATAAAACTAAGCAGGAGTCTTGGGTGCCCTGCATGTCACTTGTCAATAATCTGTCACTATGACATAGTTAGAATGTTCTGTAAATTATCCACTCCTCCACCTTTCAGGGCTTCATTTGAGTTTTGCTGTAAATTTGTACTAGTTCCCAAAAATATTACTTATAAGAACGATAAAAACTACGCTACCAATCACATTATTTAACAGTTTAGTTATTTCAGGTGAAACCAAAAGAGGGCGTGAAGCCGTACACCGGTTTAATAAGCTGTGCTAAGCGCCTCTACCGGGAGGAAGGCATGGCTGTGTTTTGGAAGGGTGCTCCTGCAAGAATGTTCAGATCATCACCTCAATTCGGCGTCACTCTTGGTGAGTGCAAACTGCACAGATATTAGCTCATATTCTTACTGTAAAACCACCTATTTAGCGTACAGTGTGGGGGTTAATAAACTAACGTGGCCTTGTTTGCTCATCTGTTAAGATGAATTTACCCCTGCACTATTATTATTATTAAAGTTTGATTTAAATAAGAATAACCAAATTCAATGTCAGAGCATAATCAATAAGTCTGACCTTAATACTATAAAATCAGGTTTTTAAAATGTTGAAATTTATAGATTTCGCCAATAAAAAACAAGTGGCGAACACTTGTTATAACTTGGGTAATTTGTTGGTTTAGCATGCGGGATAATTTAAACTATTTCTTGCTTCCTTAATGTAAGAGAAGTTTAAGTTAATCATGTATTACAAATAATATTAGCATTTCAGACACAACAAGTTTTTAATTTGATGTTAAACCTGGAGCCAAGTATTTTTGATATTCTCACAGTTATTCCTTTAAAACCGACACAGAATATCTCCGAAATAAATGGTGACATTCCACAGCCGGGAAGGACAAAAACAAATAGACAGTTTATATTTCTTCTTTTTTTAGGGGTATACGAGATGTTACAGCGCTGGTTCCCGTATGGTCCCGCCAAACATATCGAACCCCCAAAAGCCCAGAAAATAGGAACGTATATTCCTTACGGCGCAAATCCCGACCATATTGGGGGTTATCGCAACACTGAGAGAACATTTGCAAATCTCGAGCAAAAATTAGGTTGGCTAGAAGAAATAAAACAATTTATTTCTGAAAATTAATTGCACAATTTAGCATTACATCCTCTTTCTTTTAACAGTATGATCGTAATTTGAAATTTAAAATTAACAAGATAATCCTCGCTTAATCCCACTAATACAATTTACTCTAGATTTACTTTCAGTCTTATCAAAATAAAATTAATTTCACAGGTCTCTGGTTCCCCAGAAGCGGGAAAATCGTCAGCACAGAAATCTCAAAATCAGGAGACTTTAAAATCGTGATGACGGAAGGTAGAGGTTGATAAATAATTCCATCTACTTAGTCTTATTTTATAATTAATTATTGAAGTTCATGGTCATTTTAATGGTAAAAGTGTTTTTGAAGTAAAGTATTGTGCCATGCTGTATATTACAGCGATTTAATTTTTCACCCGTCTTCACAATTTGAAGAGTCTGATATTGACATGTTGGGGAAAATTGCTTATTTATTCATCGTTCATAATATGTAGGACATAAATTCTTTAAAATATAACAAATTAGTGTGATTAGTATCGCTTTATTTCAGCAGAAATCAAAATTTTAACGTAAACTTTGTTGATATTGAATATATCTATTTATAATTTTGTTTTCGACATAATTTGACTTTGGGTATAAAATACAAATACACGTTATCTTATTATAAATGCTGTTTAAACGATTCAAATTGTAGTTAAATAACATTACTAAACGCTTTTGTAACCCAGAATTTAATTTGTTTTACGTTTGAAACTAATATAAGTGTAGATTCACATCTACACGTGTAATCGGCTAACCATGTTAAAAATTTTCTGCCAAAGTTTCAAATATCAAAAAATACGCAATCAATTTTAAACTGTCTCTATCGTCAAAACCGTGGCAGTGCAAAAGCTGTACAAATCTCAAGTTCGAGACAATAAAGTTTTAAGTTCAAGCTAAGCCCTGGGAGGGATTGGAGGAGGTTTGCAAACTTTAGGTGGAATTGGTGGCGGTCTCATTGGGTAATTCTCAATGGTGTCGTAGGATTCATCAGGTATATCGTACTCTGGGGGCGGCACTGCAACTCTTCTACGGAGTGTTGTTTGCCTAGTCTTTTGTGGCAGCGCTGGAGGCGGACTTTCCAGACCTAATTTGCGTGGTACTTTTGACTTTGAACTGTTTGCTCTGCTTCTCCGTACTGAAATTAGGCGCGTGTGTTTAAGAATGAGTGTTGATATGTTGCCAATATTTGGGGCAAAGAAACGATATTGACAAAAGGCGAATAGTCTACAACCTGACATGTTGACTGACACAAAGTGAGTCAACTTTCAGTCAAATAGTGCCCAGTACTATAACAAAACTTGAAGTCATGATGACAAACTTACAAGGTGGTGAAGGTGACGCTTTCCCTGTCTGAACCGTGGATCTGACAAAACTGTTTGGAGATGGTGATCCTACGTTCTTCTGCAAGTTTAACAGTTTAAAAAATAAGATTATGTAACAATGATATAACCTCAGCTGTTTTGGGGCGAATCATTCAATATTCAAAGGTTCCAAAGTCCATATCGGTTCATTTCCGAGTTTAAAAATCCAATACCTGAACGACTGGTCTCACATTAGGTCTCACACGCTGTTTTGGTTTGTCTTGAGGGGGCGAATTCTGGGCTTTTCTGGCAGGATTTTGCATCTGTTCGTAAAGCTGAGGGACTTGAGCGTAGATATGAGCAGCTTCTCTGTACACTGGTGAATTGTGTCCATAGATTGGTGAATTGTGTCCATAGACTGGTGAATTGTGTCCATAGACTGGTGAGTGGTGTCCATAAACTGGAGAATTGTGTCCGTACAATATAGGGCTGTTCAAAGGAGAACTCTGGATATAAATTGGCGAACCCCTGTCTCCAATACCGGCGGTTATTGGTGGTCTTTTTTCTGGCAGCACATACATGTCATCTGAAATTAATTTAATTAGGATACAAAATATCACATGTTTTGATAATAAGTTTTTATCAATAAGGTCGATAGCAGAATGCAGATAGTCTGTGTAAAATCAAACTAGAGTATAAACTTGAAATTAAACTGCGCGCGGCGCATCATGTTATGATACTGTGAACTTGAAAGTGATGACGATGTCAATGTTTAATAACAAATAAACCGTTCAGTTTTCGCTTCAAGCGGCCAAGTTGAAAAGTTCAACACTGGATTCACTTACATGGGCTTCTGTTCTCAGTGTTAAAACTCCGACTTCGACTCAAACAGTTAGACTTGTTGATAGCCGCTACTCTAGGCGGTAGTGGGGGTGGTTCATCTAACCTCCGGCTGCAAAATGACTTTGACTTTGTCAGGGTCGATCCTTTTCTGACTGAAAATTACAGATCTTTAGTCGTTAATAAGCAATGCTTTAGACATGTGTCTAATTTCAGAGAATTAATCCGCAGCTGAAAATAAATGTTAACGGACAATATAGATGTAACAAACTACTCGTCTTGTTGGATAGTTGCGATGCAAGAAAGGGACCCCGCCAACATTTCATCAATATTTGGTTCTGCACTGAAAAGCCTAATAAAACAACTTACTTCTGACTGGATCATCTTCATCTTCACTCTCTGAAATCTGCTCATGTACTTTCTTCGCAAAAAGATTGAACTTTTCTGTAGCTTTATCAACACTTGGTCCTCCCTTGGGTTTGACTGATGTGCTCTTCCAACCGAAAAACTGAAAGAAACACGGTATCAGTCCCATGATTAGATAAAATTGTTTGGAAAAAGTAATGTAACGAATATTTAAACGTGTGCAATCAGAATCATTAAACGGGCTTAATATCCATAAAATAGGGCCTAGAATCTGACCCCATTTGTTACACAGAAAAGTTGAAATTAGAACAATTGAAGATGGTGAAGAGTTCTTAGGAGATGACAAACACTTCATGTGCAAAAATATTATTTTCTAACGAGTAAACACACGGAATCACCTACATAATCATGCCCCTTCGTCGATTTTACCGGCTTGATAGTTTTGTTTTTTCCAGAAAACCTCAATAACTTCTTGATATTAATAGATTTCTCTGTCATACTGAAACGAAACTATCGCAAATCTAAACAAAAATGACGCAAAAAGCCGTGATCAATAGCAAAATAAGGTTAAAGTTGCCGCATTAGATCATCTGTACCCAGGACGGGGAATAAGGGCTGCAGCAGAAGAATTGTATAAAGCACTACATCACATGTCAAAGTCAACAGGAACCTATCAAGTGCAGTAAACTTTATAATTATTTAAACAAAACAAGCTCTCTGTAAACGTAGCCCTTCTCGATTGGTTGAAAGTAACTGAACAACAAAGTGATGACAAAAAGAGAGAGTTTTTAACTTTAGTATCACTACCAACCTGTACTGTGCCTAAACAGACGCAACAGGCCCCGACATGATAGCGCTAATATAACACTATATCGTTGTATCTGGGCGTCAGGGCGCTGCCTTTTTAGTGTTTGTCAGGGGTCGAATTATATAGATTTTGGTTGGCGCAGAAAAGGTGAAGAGACTTCTATGGGTGTACTTATCAGTCTTAGTCGGAGAAGACTAGAGAGAGAATAAAGAACCCACTATTTGATACATATCATTAGTGTAGTCTATACCCGAGAAAAGAGGGAGGGGAAACCCGACATGTTTCACAGTCACTTTCCGGATAAAAGTGATATTTGCTTCACATAAACATTACACATGAAGAGTTTTGCTCAAGTGTGACGGAATCAAGTCAATAATAAGCGTGATGAGAGGTGTAAGTCTCTTTTACAGAGTCAGACAGGGGAGCAGGAAGAAGAGAGCTAACTTTCTAACTTGTCATCAATGAGATAATTTTAAATTACTACCAGATCTTACCAAACAACTAAAATTGTTTAGTTTAGAATGACTAAAGCAAGACCCGTACAATAAACTTGATTTTGACACGAAATCAATGGATATGACGTAACATTACAAGTTCTGTTTACAACAAATCCTCACCAACCTCGACTGGGTCCCAGGACAGATCGTAATCAGTAACTCTCTTAAAGAAAGAAGGAGGACCATTAAAGGGTTCCACCGTAAGACTCTTATCATAGAGATCTGAGAGAAACTCTTTTCTTGTTTTACGCTCGTAAGGGCACACTTCAAGCAAGAACCCCTGGAAAAGTTGGGACTAGTAGGATCATTTTATCTACTTGGGGGCTGTTTTGAAAATCAAGAAAATGGGGTTTATTCATTAAGTACATTTTTCACCTCTTCTACCTTTACTGAAGCATCTTATCAAGATGCTTTGTAAGTATCAACTTCCAGACTATTTGTTTCCATACAGAATAAGGCTCAGATATTTGTGTTGCACTTAAGAATGTTAGTGAGAGGTCAGCTGTAACCTGTAAATTTACCCCATTTTCTTAACACCATTTCTTGTTTAACAAAACAGTTTCGCGTGCAATATTAGAAATATGATCTTCCAGTTCTTTAAATAAAGTTGGAAATACGGAAAATTAGAAAAACTCCAGATAACCACGTACCTTGATAGATTCCTGGCAGGTAAAGTTAAATGCCCGCTTCTGTAATAACGTGATGTTTTCAACCTTGTCAGACATTTTCAGACAAGCTTCAAAGTTCACTTCCTCTCCATTTACAAAACTCAGATTGGATTCTTTAACAAACCGATTGTACGATCCTGACAGAGTTGATTTAATTGAGTCAATTTTCTCATCCAGATCGAATTGTGCCTTCGTAAAATGAGAAAATTATAAATAACACGACTCAAAATACAGGGTCTGTGATGTTGCGGTTAATGATTATGCCTTGTTAGCCAGATCTGCAAAATCTAATCAACTGTAAAACCACTTAACTAAAATTAAACCGAAATAATGGGCTATAATTAACATGTATTTGATTTATTGTGCGGCTGAAAACCTCGACACGAACTTTTTATGAGACAATATTCTGCAGTCTCTAATTACAAGTAATTAGTACTAAAATAACCTATTAGTGGTATAGAAGGGGAAGTTTCTGATAATATGGTTTTCCAGTAATCCTCGTAATTATTCTTGGGGAGGTCTTCGATCTGAAACAGTAGATTTTAGTATTTATTGAGGGCTTTTAACTGTACTAAACATAGGTACCACCAAAGTTAGTAACTGTACCTTTTTTTCAAGAATTACGGGGCGTCCTAATAAAAGCGGTTGTCCTTAATTAATTAATTAACCTTTTACCGTATGAAAGCAAATTAAAAGTCATAAATTTACAACACTGTTTCTTTCCTTAAAAACGAGCACTTTTTCAAACTGCTTGTTTAACTTGTTGTTAATTTAGTTTTCTACAGCTTTGCTGTTTCCGGTTTTCCACAGGATGTAACAATACCACATGTAACCGCCAAGTTCCCCCAGTTGAAACCAATTAATTCAGCTTACCTTTGACAGCGTATCCTTGAATTTTAACAACAACTGCCGCATCGAATGCTTCAGTCTGTACAGTTCCGCACTTTGTAGAACGTTGTACACAGCCATCAGTCCACTATAGTTCCGGATACTGTGAAGTGACTGAGAAGTTAAACCGTATTAGACAAAAACACAGTTCACAAAAACGCAGTTACTGGTGGATTTAAATAATGTTATTAATCTTATTTCAATGAAAATATCAACTCATTGCTCGCAAATTTTAACTTACTTTCAGAAGGTGAAACATATTTCTAAACATTGCTGAGCGCTCCTCTAAGTTTCTACTCTCAACAATTGATCGTCTTATCCACAAACTGTATCTGTCTTGGAATTCTCGCAGTTTGGATACTGCTTCACCTTCATTAACTGAAATATCGTGCTCGTTTATAACGAGGTAACATGTAAATTGTAAATATTACTACAATAATCTCATTATTAGCAAGGCACAGAGGAAACAGGGAAGATATGAGGAAGAAACTACTGATGCTGCTGGTCTACAGTTGTACTATAGTAACTTATAGTAACGAAGGTAAATTCAAAGATAACTCACCTATGATATCAAATAGTCTCATTTTAGCAAAACAGCTGTGTTCAATTAAAGTAATCTGCCTGGCAAGTTCTACTGGGTGTAGCTGAAACAATTTATATAAATTATCTTCGGAGCCAGAGTGAATATCAAGGAAAAACAAAAGTTATTTGTGCTTATAAAAATATAAGATTTTGAAGTGCAAACACTACAAAAATATAGCAGGAAGAAACGTAAGAAATGTTCGTACAGTAAGTAAGCTGTATTTGATAGGTGTTTTGGTCAGATACCACAAGGTATCGGGAGGAGGTTCTTCTTCGTCCAGTAAACATGTGATACTGTCAATTGTTCCAATACTCATTATCTTAGTGCTGTTGGTCGGGTCCTCTATAAGCTTTTCTATCAGTTTCACCCATTTTAGCAGCCAGGGTGTCTTCTTACAACTGAAATCGAAATTTACAGTTCAAATCCTTCAGCTTCATCTAAGAAATCGGACCTGTATTTTAGCATTTTATTACTGTTAATCATATTCAAACCTCAAAACATTTACAATATGGTATCACCATGACGTGGCACGTATTGCTGTAATTCTCGGAAATTCTTTAAAATATTGTTTAAACGCGACTATCACGAGATATATAACTTTGTATCTTCCAGTTTGGCAGAGAGTACGGGTTAACGAAGTGATAAACTACGATCTTGAGACAAATCCACTGCTGATAAAACTCGACTCAACGTTTTTCGAATCCCCTAGAAGCCTTAATCTTGCTCTTTTCACCGAAACATTGGGCCATATAACCGTTATAAAGCTCCACTTCAAGGAATACGTCACTCTACAAATTGCCCACTGCATAGAAAATGAGGTTTTAACGCAAGAAGTAAGGGGGGAGGAACAGCTGTGGAAGGTAACTAAAGACGAAGCTAGCTTAGTGATATACTGTGACCATGTGGAGCAGATAAGACTAGTGTTTGGTGAGAAAAGGGGGAGGTGTGAAGAGAAACTCTCGCTGGATGTCCGCAATGTTATATTTATTTCGGGAAGCACCGGAGCTTATTGGAAAACCGTATCTGAAGGTCCGTGTAAGGCATTCTTTTTCCTGTATTAACAATTTACACACATGAATTAATTTGTTACCTCATCAATGCACTATTTTTTGCGAAACCAAAGTTGAGTATAACACCAATAGGTTAAAAGTGTTGTTAAACATTGCGTTCAGCAAATAAGAGCCTGTTTAACATTGCGTTCAGCCAATGAGAGCCTGTTTAACATTGTCAGGTGACAAGAACTGTGTTGGATTACCAGAAAAGTGGAGTCTCATGAGTACAGACTCCCAGTTTCCTGTTGCCTCCAGCTCAGCAGTGTCTCTGAAGTGCGGAGAGGGATCTGTTCTAGTGGGGGATAACAGTGTTTTGTGTGTTCAGCAGCGAACATTCCAGTGGGTCCTAGAGGAGCCTCACTGTGTCAAACCAGCAATAGTGCCAGGTTAGTTTGCTCACTCAGTAGTGCCAGGTTAGTCACTATCAGATTAGTATTACACTGCCTGCTGCCAACATGGCCATTCTATCGGCCACACGAAAACTTAAAATCGAGCCTGCCAAACAATGAAAACGCGCAATGAAAAGACTTCCTCAATTCTAACTAATAGTTTCCTTAATAAAGATATCAATGTCTTATACAGATGAACCATCACACAGTATACTGAAATAAAACCTGTCTAGGAATATCCAGAGGTTTGATCCAAGAAGCCCATCCCTTAAAAAGTCTGTCTTGTCAATAAGAATCCAGGTTTTGAGAATACTGAAAACTTTTAACTTCTGAGTCTTCTCTGTTATTTCCTTGTCCTACAAAATAAAGGATAAATTAATAATCCGCCAGTAAATATTCCGATAGAACAGCATTTTATAGAATGAAAAGAATACCTAAGTTTTCTCGAGCACTTGAAAGATTCATACCTTGGCATCTTCGATCTTGTATTTGTGAAACTTTTCCTGCAACAGTCCTAGCAGTATCCCCGAAGTAGTGAAAAGTTTGAAAACTGTCAGAAAATCTTTAGTAAACCCTTCATCTGAAGTTTACGATTTATTCAATATTCAGCAAAGGAAATTCAGGTTTATTAGTTTGGTAATTTTGTATTTACCAAATCTCGGTATTTCAAAATACGTCTATTTCAAAAGAGTCCGTTTCCGAGAGGCCCTAGAATGAACATTACAAAAGTAAGAGACACCCTACCAGTGACAGCTCCCTGTACGAGGCGTTCCACCAATGAGGAGAGGTTATTGTTGAGTACAGGTTCAGAAGTGCTCGGACCGGAGTAAACTTCGTCGTACTCAGAGTACATAAACCGGCCCATGTTGAGCAGAGAGTTACGAGTTTCGGGGACAAACACTCTGTGGAGGGGGAATGTGAGTCAGATGTGTTAGAAATCTAGTTGTGAATGTAACATGATTGATGATTGCTAAATTTTTGCAGTACGTTTGAATTTAACACAAGTAGCAAGATCAAGGAAGTTATTACCAGTAAAACTAAAAACACAACTTTACAGTTCACAGAAGATGGCAAACCTTCGACAAAGTAGGACGGTTAAAGATACCACCACATCATTCTTATCTTCAGCTTTAGCCGGCAGCAGATTTATCACTTGATCTTTTAGATTGACACTGAACTAAGAAAAGGTAAAGTTTAAGTTTATCACGAACAGGTTTATCATATTTCTGGTGTATGCAAATGAACTGAACATATCGGAGCATATTTCACTAGTAAAGGTTTAAAGATTTGGTATTTAAAGGTTGTAAATGTATACACTATACATATTACATAGTCGTTGAGAGGCTTTACAGGGTTGAAGTAGGTATTAATGTGTTTAAATGAAAATATAAGGGGAATGTTTTTGTCGTTAATTCTGTGTCTAGGATGTTACCTGGTTGAGATCATTATGAAGATCTTTGACAGTTTCAACTTCAGTTATCGGAAATCTTTGTTTCAGTAAAATTATGTCTCGGTTTTCTTTATCCTGAGAAAGGTTTTGGATGACAGCTACATTTTAAAGAATTTAAACAGTTGAGTCACTTTGTCAAAATGAAACTCGATGGAAAAAGTGATGAATTATAACACTTAAAGATAAACCTCAATAAACCTCAATAAAGACAATTGAATGAAAAGACAATCGAATGAAAATTCATCTAACATTTTTAATGAACCACAAAAATAAACAGCTAAAAAATTTTGAAATTGGTTGAGGACACTGGACAGCTCTAGTTAGGCATTACTCGCCAAGTATTACACCGACCCACCATGTATATAAATAAACGGGAGATATCATTCAGCGCACAATTTAAACATGTAGGTTTTGTTAATTAGGTCACATTTATCACCAGTAAAAATAGATTCAGGACAATGCATTCAGACAGTCAGAAGGTACAGGGCTTATGACTACCAACTCTTTCGCAGAAGCCGTAAACTTGATAAAACTTCCAACTATATTTGATAAGGTAAAACATCTTTTAGTTCGATTTGGGGCTCAGAGATGGTGTTTTAATTTCAAAAATTTACGTCGAATAAATTCCATAAATTTAAAACATAGCTCAAAATGTAACCAGAGTGAAGCCTTTAAAGCAGCTCACCACTTAATATATTTAATATTGCACCATATCAGGGAACATTTGAGCTTGCTAAAAACCTGAAGCCAGGTAGAGACTAGTTTGGTAGTGGTAAATGAGCACTGATCTGGCTTCGTGCCAATCAACTTACCAACATGCTGATTGTTATGGTTTCCTCAGTCACTTCCACTAGTCTTAGCTCCGCCTTCTTCTCCACGATCATGCTCATGTAACTCTCTGAAAGGTCGCGTGGTCACAAACTGGTCACATGGTCACGGTTCCAATCTAAACGAGCCACTATTTGAACCCGCGGTATTTTGTAGAATGTAAACATGAAATATTTGTAGGAGTTGGGGTTTACTGAGAAACAGAGCCGAGTTCTAAAGTTGTCATACCAAGGTAGTGTCGTAGCGTGTCAACACCCATGTAGTGAAGCAGTGGAACGCATGAATCAAGTTGGTCACGTCTAACCTATAAATCTCATTACACTTTAGAAGCTTTTTTAGTAAAATATTTTTGGTGAGATGACTGGTCAGATCACAACACGATTGGTATATATACCAATGTTGCTATATATAGCAACAGTCATTATATAGCAACAGTCATTGTCTCTCTCGGAGAGATTTATACTACAGTTAGGTTAACATGTCCCCTTGTAGGGTTGTAAAACTTGTACATTGTTTAAAACTGTAGGTAGTTGCAGCTTGTAGGCGAGACTACTTAGATCCATTTACATCATTCACAAAAAATACGAACTTTTCCCAGCGCTGTGACTTTACTCAGGAATGTACAGTTGAATTGTAAAGCTTCTAATAATGACATGATAACAAACTTACTAGAAGCATCAAATAACAAGGAAACGATTCTTGTAATATCATAAAAACAAGCAAGACCCCTCCCCTGTAACTCACTGAAGAGTAGCTGAAGTGGGTTGTCACGAGAAGGGCGTGGCACTAGGTAGAGTGGATAATATCTGTAATCGTTATAGAACTTGTCCATTACATCCTGTAAATATGGCTACTTTGTCTTCGATCAATAAACCGAACTTTTAATTTGAACTTTCAAATTTGTCATCCAGCCCTTGTAAATTATAATATTGATCTAAATAACTATTTATTTTTCTAACCTGAACAGCAGACTCCGTATTATCCAAGAAATACAAAGCTTCTCTGAGGAGATCTTTCTGGATGGTCGCGAATTTCTCACTTTCAGAGTGTAACTTAGACAAGTTCTTCAAACAACTTATCAGATCCTAACATATTTTATGGTGATGTGGCGTAATATTTAAAATTCATCTGATAACGCGACAATCGAAATTTGGGATTCCAGTGATTACATGGCTAAGAAGGTGTAAAATATGTCAAAGTACCCGGATAGTGTCAAATACGTAAGAGATGTGTTGTATTGGCTTGAAGAGCAGAACTTCCAGCAGTATCGTTACTGCATCCTCCGAGAAACCCAACTTCACACAATCTTCCTGAAATTGGAACCTCGTGAAGATTTTAAGTTTTCTGATAAAGAGGTGATGTTGTCACTCCTTATACAAGTTTAGGTAATAATCTTATACAAGTTTAGGTCATAATCTTATATTTTGCCAGAGCAGATTTGTTCTAGTTCTGATGTCGAGATTTCAAATACGCTGAAATCAGGCAACTTATCAATCAATGAAGGATTAAAAACGTTGACTTAACGAAATTTAGAAAAAATTATAATTTATATTACTTTGGAGGATCATTGCCAGATCATTCTTCCTTTTAATCAATAAAGGGTGTATTTAAAAGATTTTGCAACTGTCGGCAAGATTTTAGCCTTGAAATCACGCTGAAGCCGTTAAAGTAACCAAGATCAATTGTCCATTGTGCAGTAAGCTGGGCAGGACACATTATTGAATACCATATAAGGGCATATAACGTCACCAGGTGATGTCATGAATAGATTAAACTTCCATCCGAGCCCGATTCTTAATTAACAGGTCATATTTGATCATCTTATAAATTACAAGAAATCAATTCGTCGTGTGCGATTCGTGTCACACTGACAAGGTTTAAAAGTCAGAGGTCAAATTTCACCGCCTCTTATCACTGATACACTCTGCCAGACCAAAAATAAAACCCCCTAACGTTAACCTACACCGTGAAAAATATCAATATTTGTGGCTTCGTGATTCGTCCACCTTCAGGAGAATAAAAAGGGCTTATCAGTTTTTATAAATTCATTACGATTCTGACAGCTGTCAAAATCTTCTGAGAAAAAGGTTCAGTCTTTAGTAAATATCGAATTTTATTCCGAATGTTCTAGAATGTGGAAGTGCTACTTACGAAGGAGTATCTGAGGTTATCTTTTTCTGTTTTCAGCTTTTCCACGTGATTCATTGACATTGCATAATTGTTGCCGTAGTAAACGTACACCTCCAACTGTTCTGACTAAAAGATAACAGATAATTCACTAATGAATATGAAACTTTATTTGCACACGGTTATAGTCACTTATCTATTCACTTTAGTTGATCTACGAACACAGAAACATTAACCACAAACTCAGGGATGTATAAGATTTGACACTCAAAAGTTAAAACTGGGCCCCCTGTTATCACGTCTATACAGGTGAGAAAGTAAGACTCCTAGTAATCACTGTTCTTTACCTTAGCAAAGTGATTGAAGACAGACCCCACTGGTAGCAGCGTGTCTGAGGTAGTGATAACTTTCATTTCCTCCATGCAACTCTGCAATTCTAATTCCACTTTTACCAACTCACATACGTTTCCAAATATAACATCCACCGTATCCCCGTTCACGCCTGAAATTAAAACCAGTGTAATGTTTCTCAGCTTATTACATGATACATAAATGTTATGTTATTTTACGGATACCATGTCAATATCAAAATTTTGTTCTGTCGATTTTCTACCTGCATAAATAAGATAAGATGAAATTAGGGCCAGTGAAACGCTAGTCATATTATAGATTCGATTTCAAGAAAATAAAATATATGTTAAGTTATTGAAAAGATACTAATTTTGAAAAGCATCTAATTTAAAAAAACCTGATTTGGGGTTGTCAAAAACAGGTTTTATTTTCTCCGCCATAATCTGTAACTCTTGTATGTAGCAATTCTGTTCATTTTGAAATGCTTCCACAATCTGAGGTATCACAACGTTTAAACGGGGAACTATTCCATTTGAAGTATTATAGGGATATTGGACGTTGGTTTTGGTAGCTAGATTGTTGTAAAAATACTCGGATAATTAATTGTTCAATGGAGTAACATGATTGGCTTACAGCCAACTTGTGCCGCCTCCCTACTATAGCCCACGTCTATGGAATCCGGAAACATGTCAGAAATAGTGACAAGGTGTTTTCTTCAAAACCAACCTCATTAAATTGTCTGATCTGATCGAGACTTTCGTCAGTTTTAAACACTTTTCTCTCTATAGTCAACATGAGAGCATCAGTCCTAAACAAGAGTAGATTGGAGGTATTCACTTTGAAAAAATACATATTTAGGTGCTATGTTTCAGTAAGTGCTGTAAATGCTTAAACAAAAATTATACGGTGATATAAATTTAAACTTAAATCTTAAAATATAACAAACGAAAATTTAATACTACAAATACAATGGTAAAGACCCAATGCACTGATCATAACGGCACAAAACGAAGCTGGTGTACAGACACACCCCCAGCAAACCTTACTGGCTGGGCGTAATACTAGAGGTGATTGCGTCTTCACAGCGAGCGTCGCGTTAAAGTTGCATTTCATGCTCGCACAAGTTTATTGCACACGTGACGCATTCCAGCTTCACGTGACACAATTCAACCGATCAGAGGACATGAATTTGCAAAGTTAAAGTTATGAACCTTTATTTGGCCCAAAATGAGACTTTTCACGATAACTGAAAATCTACATTGTTTCAAATTTTTTCTTTGAATTTACGAGGCGCAAATTTTGCAAAAAACCGGAAATATCTTTTATTTTCGGGGATAGGCCCCAGCCAGTAAGGTTTCCTGGGCCAGCATAAATGTACTTGATTGTCTGCCTATAATGGTGCACAAATTTTAGATGATTTACAGTTCAAGTGACAATTTGAGAAATGTTTTCCAATAGCATTATACCTTGTTGGGTTGTTAGAACATATTCTCCGAATCTATCATGACATGGTCTATACATCTCTCATTCAAAAAACTGTTCAGATGTATGGAACAGTTTACAATCTGCCTGATAAACCACACATGAGCACATGTCCCGTTGGTGATAAAAGATAAACTTTGCAGAAAATTCTCTCTTTAGAGAAGTAAAAGGATTTCACCATTGATTTGTTTTGAGGTTATGGACCCCCGAACTCAAAATAAATCGACACAAAATAAATGTATCTACAGAAACATAAGTTGAGTTTGTATGCCGCAGTAAAGCACAATAAATTATACCAGCTAACTCAAGACTTGAATTGCTGACAAGTACAAATATGTGTACTGAAGGTTACCATTGGAGCATATTTGGACAGGAGCCACCTTCTCATTTGGCTGTAGATTGCCATATCAAGTTTTCTTGAAAGTTTTAGTAAAACAAACATTTTTTGTTTTCTTTACGAATACGATTATTGTAATTAACAATAAAGTAGTGAATGTCCTTGCTGTACGGCAAGTTAAACAAGGAACTGAAACTACTAGGTTCCGTACAGGCTCACCTCTGCACCCATGTCAATATGTTCATATGCAAGCCTCTTGGTTATATAATAGGGGAATTGGGAAGATAGTGATAAATAACTATGTAAATTGTACCGGGAGTCAAATCTAATATTTGATGTCTACAGGAATACAAATTTATCATTAATGAATATATATTCTCAGAATAATTTAAGGATAATTTGGATATTACAATTTATTTAATATTATGAGTAAGTATAACAAAGATTTAATACACGATACAACAAAGATGATATCAAATCCTAAATAGCATAACTTGTATGAAAAGCATAATATCTACTTTTCAATTATAATTCATATGTCACTGTACTGCTGACTGCTCAAAGTGATAATGCAATGACGTATGCATATACAATATAGCACAGACTGGAGTGCAAATAATACTATCATGCAGCAGGTAATAAAAGGTGAATATTAAATATAACCACATTAACCCTAAAACCCGTGAGCAAGGCCGCGCCTAATTCATAATTGTTTACTTAATAATCACACATCATTTTTACTTACCTTTTTACTTAGTCTCTTGCTCGTTTCCCTCACATATGCAAGAAGTTTGAAAAGAGAGCCGCGCATAGTGCATAGGTATTGTCGTGCTATGTAGACATTGCAGGCATGAGGCGTAAAAACAAATCCAAGTAACATAATTCGTAATTTAACGGTACTTACTTTAACCATTAACGAGTGACACTCGTAAAATATCTGTTCCAACTCGGCGCGCGTCCTGGTACCTTAATTCCCAAAAATTTGGGCGACAAAAAATTTGAGCGGGCCTCTCGCCCAAATTTTTTGCAGACCAAATTAATTGCGTAAATCTTTTCCGTCTGCTAAATTTTTTGCTAACCAAACTTTTGGCATTTGGCCTGTGGCCCTGAAATCTATAGAAAGATGGCTTTTTCTTCATATCCAAGTGAAATAATATTTTAAATTTTAGTTTTCTAATCTGTCATTCATGGCTTGACCAATTAAAAAGGCTTATATTTTAAATGAATAGAAATTACTGGAATAGCTAACAGCTACTAATAAAACAAATGGCTAGAAGTACGGATAGCTAGAGATTTTCAGATTTAAACAAGATCTGCAAATGGATTATCATCCACCGTAAAGTCTGATCTACAAGCATCAGTTATACCCGACTTCTCAAAGCCTTTCCTTATGTCATCTGGCCTCCCTTTTAAATATACTATCTGATTGAGAGACTAAATATCACTATTGTATATATCTATCATTTTGTACTGTGCCATCATCACTGTATTTTTTAGTAGTTACTGGGCAGATTTTATAATGTGAAACAACTCAGACTACCACCTACATGCTTAAAATTGAAAGCAAAATGACTGGAATAATAAGGAATAATAATGAACTAAGGCAAATATCTAACTGAAATTTTAGTGGAAAATCGTTCATTTTTCGAAGAATTTGTGCCCAAATTTTCGGTCGCCCAAATGAGTTCAAATTTTTTGCCCAAATTTTTCGGGCTCAAATAAATTGTGCTCAATTTAATTGCACACAAATTTTTGGGAACTAAGGTAGGTTGTAGTGAAACAAATTTTTTAGTGAAACAAATTTATAATTTTATCCTTTATTTTACAGTCATAATATAATAATATTTAGTGAAACAAATTTTAGTGAAACAAATTTAAAATTTTATCCTTTATTTTACAATCATAATATAATAATATTTATAAGCCTCCGTTTTGAAAGTTTTAAATTTTAATACATTCACATTTCTATTTAAAATTCAATTTTATGTACAAGTCAATACCTGGCTGCCAAAGCCGCGCATTCTTGAAAACAGGATTAACTTGATTATAGTTATACGACTATGTAAATTTAAAACTATCCGTGGTTTTTTCTTTAAAATAAATAAGTTATAATTTTACCTAAGTCCAAAGCCAGCTTTGAAAAATTTACTATTAAATCTAATCATAATATATCGTCAACTTTAAATATTTACAATGCAACAATTCATTAATCTGTAAACACGCGTACTCCAGCCCCTAAACGCATAAATTGTTATGCGGCGCGGCTCAAGCCGCGCACGCACGTATTATTTTATACTGTTTGCTTTCTAATAAATATCGTGCCAATGTGTACGTCTAAATTGTAAACGTTCATGTTTTGTGTAAAGTGAATCCAATTGGGACTAGTGACAAGGATAAGGACCCAAGTGCCTGTACGGCTTTTTCGGACCCCTGTGGACCACTACTCTTGAAATCACTCTACAACATTGAACATCTATATCTACTACGTCATTTGGCAATTATTGTCATTAATCTAACTTTCTAATTAATTGCCGAGGGGGAAGAGTAAACGCTTCACATTAAAATTCAATATACAAAATTCAAAACCATCAATACGGTATTAAATATTATGGACAAATCTATAGATCTATTTCGTAGTCATATATTCACATGATTTGCTTTATATTGTCTTAATACTGTAATGAAGTACAGTAGGATTTGTGTTTCGAGAAAGAAAGGTTGCGGCCAAATTATTAACAAAAGTAAACAAAAGTCCATCAGGGACTCCGTGGAGTCGAAAAAGGTACACGGCCGCTGTCTGGTGCTGCTAGGCATTTATTGATCAAGATGTTTTATTGTATTGATTTATAATGATTATATTGTTCGTGACTAATCAAGTTCTAAGTGGAGGTATAAAGTGCTGCTTAAGATACTTCGTCATATCATGTCCAGTATAATGATTAAGATAGTATACAATGCAGTTTTAGTAGTTGACTCATACAGTTAAGTCCGTCATAACTCACAATCGTTAAGTCGTCGGTCAATTGTCAAAGTCGTTGTGTGTTTATTCGTTGAGATAGCAGTAAGATAAGATGTTACGCGCGCGCGCGTTTAATCCCGTCGACGTGAGATGTGACAATGAAAACGCCATAGAATTATTATTTTCGCGCGTTACGTAGAATTTACCAGTGTGTAATACTAGTTAACACTGGGTGTACACTGAGTGTAAGTGTAAGTTTCATATACAAGCCGTTGAATATTTCCAATTTTGAGTGTATCGTGAGCATGTTTTACAGTGCGATTGCTCGGTACTAGTGTGTTTGTGTATATATATATATATATATCATTTGCGGAGTATGGTGTAAGTAATGTTTTTGGCTGGAGTGCAGTGGTTGTATGTATGAGAAAAGATATATGGTCATTTTAGTAACTCACATAAATCAGAACTTGAGCTCATTTGTGGCAAAATTAAGCTCACACCAATCAAGTGTATCATGCTTGAATTGCAATTCTCGTAAGGCAATTTTCAATATATTCTTAAACCCGTTTGTCGGAGTATTAAAACTTATCTTACTTGATGTTTGTCGACAGCTGTTCCACATGTAGGATGATTGGTAGATGAATTTGGAATTGTGAGGATGGTTGTGATGTAATGAAATAATCCTCTCGTCGTGGTGACCTGTTAAATGATGAGTACAGTGATAATGGTTCCTCTAACTTATTAATTTTGAATAGTTCTAAGAGACAAGTGTACTTGTACAGATTGTGGACCGTCAACAACCTGTGGGTTTTAAACAAGGGCTTGGAGTGTTCTTTTTGGTAAAAGTCCACCCCCAGTCTTTGCTTATCAACAGGTCGTGTTCGGGCACACGTTTTAAACTTCTCTAGGTAAGCTTCTCTATCCCCAAACAGAATTCTTATACACTTTTTCTGTGTTTTAAAGATATGTTCAAGTCGGTTATTGCTAATACCACCCCACACAGATATTCCAAATTTATAAGCCTCCGTTTTGAAAGTTTTAAATTTTAATATATTCACATTTCTATTTAAAGTTCAATTTACTGTATAAGTTAATAACTGGCCGCCAAAGCCGCGCATTCTTGAAAACAGGATTCACTTGTTTATGATTATACGACAAATAGAAATAAACTTAAAACTATCCGTAGTTTTTAAAAAATAAATTATAATCTTCAATCTTACCTAAATCCAAAGCCAGCTTTGTAAAATTTACTATTAGATCATAATATATCGTCAATTCTAAATATTTACAATTGAACATTTCATTAATCTACATACAAGCGTACTCCAGCCCCTGCACACATCCGTTCTTATGCGGCGCGGCTCAAGCCGCGCACGCACGTATTATTTTGTAAACCTACAATACTTACTGGGCAGCGCTCACCCTGTCATTCCGCCGAATCTTTAAATGCTTATGAACATAATAGCCTGGGGTCCCCAGGTAAAACGGTATGTGCTAATTGGTTAAATATTGTAGCGCGATCGCGATACGTTACTGTGCCGCGCCGCGCACTCAATGAGGCTTCTCACAGCGATATTTACCAAATATTTTGATGAATACGAACTGAGTTTTAAATAATTTAAGGTCAATTTAAATATTAAAACTAGCTTGTTCATCAATCATTGTTTAAAAAATTAAATTAACTAATAACGTGGACCACAATTGGTCCACGCGCGCCGAATTAAACTCGTCGACGGTCCGGTCGATCTTGAACAATATTGTTGTCAAAATAACGAATAATAAATATTGCATCCAAATATGCATGTATTGCTGTTTAGTTTGCTCTAACCAGATAAGAGCCCTTTTGCTTGCAGTAGCGCGCGACCGCTTGTGAAACAAGCGCGTCACGCAGTACGCGTAGACACATGGCTATGTGAACTATAAACTATCAAAACAGCTTTAAGCGTGAGCACCTTGTATTGCACGTCATGACCCCCACAGTTTCACCTAACCATGTGCTTTCGCGCCACTGCGGGCGCGCTTGTTTCACAAGTCAAGGCGGGCGCGCGCTACTGCAAGCGCAAGGGCTCTGGATAGGGCATCCCACAGTCGTTTCTTACGATACAGGGGGAGCCGTGCACCCGTGCGCGGCGAGTCATACAACGTATGACAATGAGCACCAGCGACTGAATCTGTCCGACTTGGCCTCTCAAGTGCGCGTGCAGGGCTATACTTTGGTCAATCATGGGTTATGCTTTGTTTGTGATTGAAAAATCATTTCATTGACAATACAACATGATAAAAGGTCAGGCGATACAAATTATTTTATTATGCGCGCACTGTTAACGTCAAACGGATGATTACGAGGATTTAATAAAAGCATTAATTCAGCTTCAGCAAACTGTTTATTTATCATTGGGCATTGATGGATGTTATTCGTCTAAATTTCTTCGAAGTAGCGCGCGCCGCTTTCTTCTCGAAATGTTAGCGCGCGCTGGGCCAGATCATTTACAATGGTCAACATTGGGCAACGCCAATGTATTATAATACTTTTTTGTTTTTTCTTCACCAAATTTTGGCGCTAAATAACAACATAATAATATTATTATTAATATTATATACCTACAATATACATTTATTTATACAATTATATGCTATGTAATTTACAAATAATATACAAATAATATACAAATAATATACAAATAATATACAAATAAACTACAATGTATACAGTCAAATCACAACAACTTTTTGTACTAAACCTCTGTGAATCGAGCGCTGTCTTTTCCTGCCAAGAAATTTAAAATTAATCCTGTTCAGTGCTAGTCATCGATTTATTGGGGGACTGGTCCGTAGTACCAGCCAATGTTTACTCAACAAGTAATGTATATAATTGCAATAAGTTAAATATTCATCTCCGAAGGGCACGCAGATTATGATTGTGATGATATCTATTAAAACTATTCAATTAAAATTTTATTGGTCGATTCAACTGGCCCTGATCTTCAAATATATTTGATATTTATAACTTGATGATGCTGCCTCGCCGCAATTGGGTGTGTTATCAGTATAGATATGCGTTGTAGCGCGATGCACTACTGGGTCGCGCGCGCATCAAATAATGCTTCTCGCAACCACCTTCGGTAGATCGGCGAGATGCACCACTGTGCCTCACCGAGCTGCGAAGGATTGACATCGTGAATCAAAGATATGCGCTATGTGGCAGTGAAATAAGGAATGTGCTGTTAGAATGGCAGGTGGTTTGAAATGTTGTTCTGATTCAGATTGTTTAATTTGAGTTGTATGAGTTTGGGTTTGAGTGATTATACACTATGTTCTTTGTGATTTACGTAATCCAGGTAGGTTGTGGAGTAAAAATGGTGGCCATTCGTCGTTGCAGCCAGCACTTTGCCCGTCTAGTAGTACTTTTTTTGACGAATTCTTATATATGTTGATGGAAAATATTAAATATAAAATGTGTCCAGTATGGCGCAAATGCATAATTTGATAATTTCTCGACGCCATCGTCGGGGTGAGAGTTATCTGAACCAACTGCATGCCCCTACGATTGCGTCACCACTGGTGAGCAAGCATTTGTTTGTTGTTTAGTTGTGTTGAAAGGGAACATTACTTGATTAATTCATCCATTCGGATTTTAATAACGATGAGCTATGATATACCGTTCATCTTAGATTATTGGATCAATCTTATTATATGATTAGATTTTATAAACGAACTTGGCACACAAAAGATTATAATGCGGAGGTTGGCTGGCTCTTCTATAATAAATACGACACTTCAATTTACAGAATGCTTGCTAGAGATAAGACAAAATATTATCAGACTATACATGCAGCATGAGTAACCGGTGGATAAGCCTTCGGTAAAAACGGATCCGGAAAAGTCAATGCAGCACTCGGGTCCTTGGTATTGTCGTCGGTATATTGTCCATTATCTACGTCCTGCTTTCGTAGTTTAAACAATAGTGAGTTCTAAATATACAGCTTTAAACCGATTAAGTATGAATGAATGAAATACCTGACAATCCGCACTCTTATAATCCAAAAGCATGAGTAACTCGTAGTGATGTATGATTTCTAGAAACTTTAAATTAAATTTGGCGCTCACAGGTCCTCATGAATATGTGATCGCCGCATAAGGTTCTGTAAATGCGCAGGGCACCTTCAAGCTTAAATTATTCACCTTACTGAGGCAGTCAACCAACGCGCGGCTTTATTTTTATGATATGATATGTTTTGATTGTTACTAATAAATACCAAAATTTAAATTTGTTTTCAAAAAATATATATATATATATATACTGGATGGGTAACAAACTAGACATATTTCGAACTTTGTGCAGTAAAATAAGTGCGTTTTTAACGATAACCCCTTGAACGGTTAAGACCTCGTTTTCGTTAAATGCTAGTTTTGTGTGCTCTGGCAGTTTTCCATCAAATGGGCTGTATAACATCACTGATGACCCTTCTTATTCATGCTTCGAAATTATGACTGATTGCTGAATATAATATTTAGAAGCAACTTTTCCTACAGCAAACAGTTATCATCGGAGTTTAGATAACAAAATCCAAAACGAGGAATCTAGTTCTGTGTTGAATCAACTATTTAAAAAATCTGGCTTCATTTGCTCTGATCAACTATTTGTTCCATAATTTAACTAATAACATCGTGAAAGCGTTCTTATTTATTGCCCCTATAGCCCAATTCTGCTTTAAAAATTGTGTACTTGTAGCTGGTTTAAAAAGAGGTGCTGAGATTGTCCACTTGTTTGTTAGATTTCCTTATTGAGCTGCTTTAATTCCTTCACTGAGCTACTTATTATCATTGTGCAGAACATTTTAGAATTGTACTTTTCTAGAATTAAAAATATGTATTATTTTCCCTAACATTTGTTGTTTTGTTGTTTTACTGAGATCGAGAGTTAGAATATTTTTCTCGATAGACTGAGTGATGATTACAGTTTCATATTCAAGTTACATTATCGTATTAAACTGACAACTCTGCTTAGGTATGAGTATTGATCATGGGGAGTGCCTGCATATCGTAAACATCTGTACATCTGAGAAATATAAACTTCTGTTGGACTGCTTTGTATCTGGGAGGTCTTCGAAAGAGTTGCTTTTGCGAAGTGAGTTTTTATACAGGGCCGTGCAGGGGTATGACTTTCTATTATCACTCACTCGATCAAGGAATATATCAAATCAAATAATAACTATGTTCATTTTTTAGATATTTTGAATGATTGGATTAATTCAAATTGTAATGGATTGTTCTATTGCTATATGATAATATTGAGTTTCTAGCATGTTCGAAAACAAAAGTATGAGCAATTCAATATTGAAAATGAGTATTTGCAGTATATTACCATCTCAAATATTAAACATGGCTATGTTAAAAGATCCAATCCCTGTAGACTGTTCATTTGTTTGTGATAGATTTTACAGATCATATGTGACATAATTTCGGGCACAATTTCTGTTTATTAACAGTTGTTTTTTAAAGTGCAGTATCCGCATGTTCTCTGCACGGGTCTGATTTTGAGATTTTGCATTAACTGTACCTCTCACCAGGTAAATTGAAAAAGTGCTCCAAGTGCAGCGACAGTTCCAGTTGGACCTTCCTCTGCTTGGAATGTGGCTACTTTGGATGCCATTCATCTACAAACAGCCACAAGTTTTCACATTATGCTTCAACTAACCACAAAATGTTTATGGATCTTAATAATGGTTAAGTTTTGATTTTTACAACAATGAATCTCAACCTTTGGTTGATTCTGTTAAAAAATTCTATTATTTAAAAAAATCAGTTTAAATTGCATGTAACAGTACAACACACCATGCTTGTCCGAAGGCCATCTTGGGATGTGCCCTTATTCATTATCTACCATTTACAGGCCATGTGTGGTGCATGAAGTGTGAAACATTTGTGTTCAACGAAAACCTAGAAAGTGTCAGAATGTGGCTCAATTCGGAAAAGCGTGGGCGTATTCCAGCGTTTGAAGATTGGGAGCCTCCAATTGAGGACATCTCTCTTCTCGTTCGCAGGTAATGCGCTAACTCTCCATTTAATTAATTTGATTACATCAATTTATGAAACTTTCTCTTCCAAATTGCACTTAACTCTTTTAACTAGAGTATAATTTATTCATTTTCTCTTACAGTTCAAAACGTCGACGGATAAAGTCAGGAAGCAGTATCGGTTTGAGAGGATTAACAAACTTGGGGAGCACCTGTTTTATGAGCTGCATTTTGCAGAGCCTCCTCCATACCCCAGTTCTCAGAGAATACTTCCTTTCTGGTAATGATAATGACCATATTGACCGCTTGTATGACTTAAATATACATCTTTGTTGGGTATATTTTAATGTCGAAGCGTGTAATAAATGTTAGTATTTATTTATTTGTTTATATTTTTCATAAATATTTTACCAATAATTATTTTATGGTCATTATTAAGCTGGCCTCTCATAGTTCATACAGCATAATCTAAATTGGATCAAGTGTCAGCTGTAAAAATTATTCTGCTGACCTAAATATCTCAGCCACTAATTTTCAACTTTACCAGAACAGCACCACTGTACGGGAGACGAGAGGAAACAGTGCTTGGCATGTGAAATGGTCTGGCTTTTCCAGGTTCGTCACATTTTTATAACAACAAACAGTCTCAATATCTTCACTACTTTGATATAAACATATAACACACTTTATTTAATAAGTGTGATTTTAGTTGCTCCATTCTCCATCAGGAGATGCTATCCGGACAGAAAAACCCCATCTCACCCCACAAGATGCTACATTTAGTGTGGACACAAGCTCGTGTACTTGCTGGCTACGATCAACAAGATGCCCATGAGTTCTTCATTACCTACCTCGGTAATCCATTTTACATACCTCGAAACTACAGCAAATATAAAATACACAGTAATTCGCTTCCAAAACTAGACAGCAAATATATATTAACTGAACAACTATTTCCTTTGATATAGCTATAGAAGTTTGTTCATCAGAATCTTTGCGAAATCGCTGTGCTCTTGCATACCCCTGCATATGAGATAGTTATCACCGTCTTATTGTTAATATGACATGTCGGCTAACCTGTCACTTCCTCAGATTTACTGCACCGACATCTCGTAAAACAAGATCTGATAGCGAGTGGTTTAAGTAATGGAATTCCTCACACTCCTCTGGATTGCTCCTGTGCCATTCATCAGATCTTTACGGGGTCTTTGCAATCTGATCTAACTTGCACTAACTGCAGCAACATCTCCGCAACTGTCGAACCATTCTGGGATATATCTCTCGATCTCGTTCCAGTAAGTACAATGTACATAATACATATAACCTACATAATAGATATAACCATATTGTAAGGCTACAATCAGAATATTTTCATCTGCCTGGATTGAGTTAAGTATTGACAAATTTTTTAAAACAATTGTCAGACAGTTTTTTGTCGGAAATGCGAGGTTAATTTTCAAAATAACAGAGATTCTACCACGCTGTTAAACCTCATGATTTCCATTTTCAATGACACTATGCTATAGGTAATAAGTATTGTCACCTGCACCGTGTGATCGTCTAATTACTAACACCTTCTCCGCAGAGAGATAACGGAGACAAGATCTCGGACAGTGCCAGTGTGTGTAGTAGCATCAGTGTGGACAGTGAGCCCAGTGATGATGAGCCTCCCGTCACTCTGGACGAGTGTCTTGAGAGATTCACTCGACCTGAACGTCTCGGCTCTGAGGCTAAAATCAGGTAAGACCGGTTTTGGGGCTCAGAGGAATTAGTATATAATGGGTTTGGAGAGTAATGTGACATTTTAATACTGGTTTACAGTTAAGTAGTTTAAAGTAGTGAAGTCAGTGTGTGCGAACAAGCACGCATTTAATCGTTTTAAATACTTTAAACCTGATTGCTCAATATTGCTCAATACCTTGCTGGGATTATGAGCAATTTAAAATTAAGCTTCGACTGCTCCAGCTTATTTTAGGACCGGACAAATGAAATTGCATCGTCTAATACAGCATGGCATATTTAACGAACTAGACAGGCTTTTCATATGCTCCAAATACGAGATATTATCAAGGCATGAAATGAATTAATGAGATTGTCCTTTTGTTTGAGAAGATTCGACTGCTCATTCTGTATAATCTTGCGCCTCCAGTCTTTGATATGAACTAATTTTCTAACCTAGCTGAGTTTGCTAAATTACTGGACAAGTCGACAAGATGGTGAATTTTTAATGATGAGTTATTCAGCCACCCCTTTAAATTAATTTATATATTGAATAACAGTTATTTCTATGGAAATAAGCACACCCAGATGATATAATTTAACGTCAAGGTGTTCGTATCTTCGATTTAAAGGTGGATTTCTTGATTACATAAATTAAAAATAAATCTGTGAACCACGCCCAGATGCAGTGTGTGCGGTATTGCACAAGAGGGTACAAAACAGCTCTCATTGAAGCAGATCCCAGTAGTTGTTTGCATCCACATCAAGCGGTTCCGACACAGCAAAAAAACTCGCAAACTCGGCAATCCTCTGGAGTTTCCCTTCGAGATAGATCTTTCTCCTTATCTGACGTGTTCTATCAACAAGACAAACAAGGTACAAATTAATTTTTATTCTAGAATTTAATTGAACGTGATGGACGATGGTAGTTGTTTATAATTTAGTTTTTTTATAATTTAATGTAACAAAATTGTAAGTTGAACTTCCAGTTTACGGTAGCGGCCAGATTCAAAATATTTCAGCTTCGCCCGCTCTTTAGCGGTCATTAGACCGATTGGCGGTTATAGTACTCACCAGGGGAGATGAACTTCCAGTAACCTCTGCTCAATACAACTTAATCAGTAGTACTCCGATATACCGGGAATCTTTCAGATCCCCAATAATAATCAATTAAATGTATTTAGTGTCAAATAGAAAGCCTAATTTACCGGGATTTTATATTTACTTGGAGGATTAGCCCTAAATTACCCTCCCCCAATATTTACCATTCGTATTGGGTCTTGAGCATGATGTAACCCTGGCTCAGTGCCAAACACCCCTCACAACCTCCCTCCTCAGGCTCAGCAGGAAGTGGGAAGGTACCGGTTGTTTGCTGTAGTTAACCACATGGGCACAACAGACTCGGGTCACTACATAAACTACGTACTCCACGCTGGGGAACAATGGTTCCGTTGTGACGACACTTACCTTACCAAGTATGTTATCTACCTGAAAACTTTGTCTGCTTTCGTGGTATACATACCCCTGCAGACGACTACTGCCCAAATTTATGTGTTTTACTGATCATATTCAATTTTTGTTCACAATTTGACTTATTACCATGACTAGGCTATCCATTATCGGTATGAAATCTTTTATCTAGATAAACAGATAAAGATTTAGGTTTTATCTAGAGATAAAACCGATAAAACCGATAATTTTTATGCTGAAGGCCAAAGCCAAAATGTTTTCCAAATTTCGCAAAAACTAATTGTCGACTTTTATTACTGTTTACCAGTAATCTTTCTAAAGTACCACTTCCTTTCTTTTGAAAATATTAGAGCATCAGTTTTCTTCTCCGGGGAGCAGAAGTGCACCAGTTTTCTTCAAAACAGTAGACAAACGGTTTTCTTCTCCTAAGAACAGTAGTGTACCAGTTCTCTTCAAAATAGTAGACAGACGGTTTCCTTCTCCTGAGAACAGTAACTACTCTAGTAGCAGGGAATAGTTGAGTGTGCACTTCGATGTATACGATTTCTGACAACACAGGGTTGTTTGTTACATCATTCTTAACCAAAATCGTTTAGGTACGCAATTTGTGTCGCTAGACATAACCCTACAGGGCAAATTTTCTAAATTACCCTCAGTCGCGTATACGGGATTTTTGTATTTCAGCTCCTGAAGGTCATAGAGACTTCAATTTTAGCTTAAAATTACCGCAATGGCCATATTTATATACAAGTTATGAAGCAACATAAGGTCTCCAGTGCTTTGTTTTATAGATATTGGCAAAAAAACTGTTTTTTGTCTCAGCGAACCAAAAATGGGACTGAATTTTGATAACTTGAACTAGGAAAATCGTAGAGACTTGAATTTTAGCTTAAAATGAGCGCAAACATCACATTTATATACAACTTATAAAGCAATATAAGCCCTTTAATGCTTATTTGTTAAGATATTGACAAAAATCGGTCATTTTGGCTACACGCGTGAGGAAAAATACCAAATTGGGCAACAACTTTGGTCTTTTTTTGACCAGTTTTGTGCTCAAGTAATTAAAATGTGCTTTGATGTTGTAGATCGGGTGTTTTCTTCCAATGTGGGTTTCGGTATAAATCTGGAAGCACCCGGTTCATGGGTGATAGGGGTTAAAAACCCTAAAATGTCAGGTGATGGGCGAGACAATTGTCTGAATTTGGTTATAAAAACACTTGCACTCTTTGCTAGATTTTGCTTTTTTCTGCTACATCGATCCGATTTCTAACTACTAATCATCCCCCTCTACATCATTCTCTTTTAGATACATGATTTCTATAAGTTCTTAAAGGTACATCCGGCATGATGTAAAGTCTATATCAAAGCATTTTAATGTGGTCTTAACAAGTTGCAAGATATTCAAATTCACTAATATAAAACAAAGATTGTAGGTTATCCTCCTTTTACATAATATTGAGTAATTGTGGGCTTTTTGAGGGGGAGGCTATAAAATGGCGAATATAACTTTAACGTAAACGACCCAATAATAATATTAAACGTAGAATGAAACTACTTAAAACTTATACAGATTCATGGTATCCTGTTTCAAGACGCTTGCTCCTGATTTTTAGCAACAATATCAACTGACCCCACGACGTTGTAACATAATTGTGAGTAGGCAATCACTTGATCTATAAGTTTTGAACGGTAGTTTGTAAAAATAATTACATTCTACAAACATTTTACGCTCCAACTATGCAATTACTAGCCTCTGGACTAACTCCCTATCATCTGTCCATATAATGGTGTTTCTGGACAGATAGATGGTGTATGATGCCCTCATGCTAATTTCAGCGATCTTCATGCAGGCTTTTTTCTCTTTAGTGTTTACGTTCAAGGTGCAGTGGTTCTTAAAGGTTTGGAGGCTGCAGTTGTGAATGCCTCGAACTCGAACTGCTACTGTCTGGAGCTTGCAATCTCTTCTGTCAGCTGCTGATATCTCTTCATATTCTTTTATCTTGATCAGCAAAGTTCTCCTCATTCAGATGCACCTTCTTCGCTTTATCTGAATAGATCACTACATCTGGTCTCAGTGGTATTACACTAATGTAATGACTAATAATAACGTTCATAAGTGCTAAAATTTCGAACTAGCGGACCATATTCGGAGGAGAAATTTGGGACAGTTTTTTGCTTGGAAATACTGATTTAATCGAATTTTAACCACAAAAATGACTCCCAATAATATTCTTATGGAGAGTGTGGATAAATATTAAATATTTAAAATAATACAGGTTTGACTATAATGAAGTTGTGTCAATAATCATGTAAAGAATAATAGATAACCTACAATCTTAGTTTGGTAAACCAATTTGGTATCTTTCCTGTGTAGCCAAAATTACTCAATATGTAAAACTAAAAGAAGGATTATAACCTACAATCTTTGTTTTATTAGTGAACTTGAATATCTTGCAACTTGTTAAGACCACATTAAAATGCTTTGATATAGACTTTACATCATGCCGGATGTACCTTATAGAAATCATGCATGCGGATGATTAGTAGTTAGAAATCGGATCGATGTAGCAGAAAAAAGCAAACCCTAGCAAAGAGTGCAAGTGTTTTTATAACCAAATTCAGACAATTGTCTCGCCCATCACCTGACATTTTAGGGTTTTTAACCCCTATCACCCATGAACCGGGTGCTTCCAGATTTATACCGAAACCCACATTGGAAGAAAACACCCGATCTACAACATCAAAGCACATTTTAATAACTTGAGCACAAAACTGGTCAAAAAAAGACCAAAGTTGTTGCCCAATTTGGTATTTTTCCTCATGCGTGTAGCCAAAATGACCGATTTTTGTCAATATCTTAACAAATAAGCATTAAAGGGCTTATATTGCTTTATAAGTTATATATAAATGTGATGTTTGCGCTCATTTTAAGCTAAAATTTAAGTCTCTACGATTTTCCTAGTTCAAGTTATCAAAATTCAGTCCCATTTTTGGTTCGCTGAGACAAAAAACAGTTTTTTGTCAATATCTATAAAACAAAGCACTGGAGACCTTATGTTGCTTCATAACTTGTATATAAATATGGCCATTGCGGTAATTTTAAGCTAAAATTGAAGTCTCTATGACCTTCAGGAGCTGAAATACAAAAATCCCGTATACGCGACTGAGGGTAATTTAGAAAATTTGCCCTGTAGGGTTATGTCTAGCGACACAAATTGCGTACCTAAACGATTTTGGTTAAGAATGATGTAACAAACAACCCTGTGTTGTCAGAAATCGTATACATCGAAGTGCACACTCAACTATTCCCTGCTACTGGAGTACTCTAGTAGCAGGGAATAGTTGAGTGTGCACTTCGATGTATACGATTTCTGACAACACAGGGTTGTTTGTTACATCATTCTTAACCAAAATCGTTTAGGTACGCAATTTGTGTCGCTAGACATAACCCTACAGGGCAAATTTTCTAAATTACCCTCAGTCGCGTATACGGGATTTTTGTATTTCAGCTCCTGAAGGTCATAGAGACTTCAATTTTAGCTTAAAATTACCGCAATGGCCATATTTATATACAAGTTATGAAGCAACATAAGGTCTCCAGTGCTTTGTTTTATAGATATTGGCAAAAAAACTGTTTTTTGTCTCAGCGAACCAAAAATGGGACTGAATTTTGATAACTTGAACTAGGAAAATCGTAGAGACTTGAATTTTAGCTTAAAATGAGCGCAAACATCACATTTATATACAACTTATAAAGCAATATAAGCCCTTTAATGCTTATTTGTTAAGATATTGACAAAAATCGGTCATTTTGGCTACACGCGTGAGGAAAAATACCAAATTGGGCAACAACTTTGGTCTTTTTTTGACCAGTTTTGTGCTCAAGTAATTAAAATGTGCTTTGATGTTGTAGATCGGGTGTTTTCTTCCAATGTGGGTTTCGGTATAAATCTGGAAGCACCCGGTTCATGGGTGATAGGGGTTAAAAACCCTAAAATGTCAGGTGATGGGCGAGACAATTGTCTGAATTTGGTTATAAAAACACTTGCACTCTTTGCTAGATTTTGCTTTTTTCTGCTACATCGATCCGATTTCTAACTACTAATCATCCCCCTCTACATCATTCTCTTTTAGATACATGATTTCTATAAGTTCTTAAAGGTACATCCGGCATGATGTAAAGTCTATATCAAAGCATTTTAATGTGGTCTTAACAAGTTGCAAGATATTCAAATTCACTAATATAAAACAAAGATTGTAGGTTATCCTCCTTTTACATAATATTGAGTAATTGTGGGCTTTTTGAGGGGGAGGCTATAAAATGGCGAATATAACTTTAACGTAAACGACCCAATAATAATATTAAACGTAGAATGAAACTACTTAAAACTTATACAGATTCATGGTATCCTGTTTCAAGACGCTTGCTCCTGATTTTTAGCAACAATATCAACTGACCCCACGACGTTGTAACATAATTGTGAGTAGGCAATCACTTGATCTATAAGTTTTGAACGGTAGTTTGTAAAAATAATTACATTCTACAAACATTTTACGCTCCAACTATGCAATTACTAGCCTCTGGACTAACTCCCTATCATCTGTCCATATAATGGTGTTTCTGGACAGATAGATGGTGTATGATGCCCTCATGCTAATTTCAGCGATCTTCATGCAGGCTTTTTTCTCTTTAGTGTTTACGTTCAAGGTGCAGTGGTTCTTAAAGGTTTGGAGGCTGCAGTTGTGAATGCCTCGAACTCGAACTGCTACTGTCTGGAGCTTGCAATCTCTTCTGTCAGCTGCTGATATCTCTTCATATTCTTTTATCTTGATCAGCAAAGTTCTCCTCATTCAGATGCACCTTCTTCGCTTTATCTGAATAGATCACTACATCTGGTCTCAGTGGTATTACACTAATGTAATGACTAATAATAACGTTCATAAGTGCTAAAATTTCGAACTAGCGGACCATATTCGGAGGAGAAATTTGGGACAGTTTTTTGCTTGGAAATACTGATTTAATCGAATTTTAACCACAAAAATGACTCCCAATAATATTCTTATGGAGAGTGTGGATAAATATTAAATATTTAAAATAATACAGGTTTGACTATAATGAAGTTGTGTCAATAATCATGTAAAGAATAATAGATAACCTACAATCTTAGTTTGGTAAACCAATTTGGTATCTTTCCTGTGTAGCCAAAATTACTCAATATGTAAAACTAAAAGAAGGATTATAACCTACAATCTTTGTTTTATTAGTGAACTTGAATATCTTGCAACTTGTTAAGACCACATTAAAATGCTTTGATATAGACTTTACATCATGCCGGATGTACCTTATAGAAATCATGCATGCGGATGATTAGTAGTTAGAAATCGGATCGATGTAGCAGAAAAAAGCAAACCCTAGCAAAGAGTGCAAGTGTTTTTATAACCAAATTCAGACAATTGTCTCGCCCATCACCTGACATTTTAGGGTTTTTAACCCCTATCACCCATGAACCGGGTGCTTCCAGATTTATACCGAAACCCACATTGGAAGAAAACACCCGATCTACAACATCAAAGCACATTTTAATAACTTGAGCACAAAACTGGTCAAAAAAAGACCAAAGTTGTTGCCCAATTTGGTATTTTTCCTCATGCGTGTAGCCAAAATGACCGATTTTTGTCAATATCTTAACAAATAAGCATTAAAGGGCTTATATTGCTTTATAAGTTATATATAAATGTGATGTTTGCGCTCATTTTAAGCTAAAATTTAAGTCTCTACGATTTTCCTAGTTCAAGTTATCAAAATTCAGTCCCATTTTTGGTTCGCTGAGACAAAAAACAGTTTTTTGTCAATATCTATAAAACAAAGCACTGGAGACCTTATGTTGCTTCATAACTTGTATATAAATATGGCCATTGCGGTAATTTTAAGCTAAAATTGAAGTCTCTATGACCTTCAGGAGCTGAAATACAAAAATCCCGTATACGCGACTGAGGGTAATTTAGAAAATTTGCCCTGTAGGGTTATGTCTAGCGACACAAATTGCGTACCTAAACGATTTTGGTTAAGAATGATGTAACAAACAACCCTGTGTTGTCAGAAATCGTATACATCGAAGTGCACACTCAACTATTCCCTGCTACTGGAGTAAACGCAGTAGTTCTCTTCAAAACAGTAGACCCCACTGGTTTTCTTCTCCTGAGAACAGTAACGCACTAGTAGTTCTCTTCAAAACAGTAGACCACCGTTTTTCTTCTCCTGAGAACAGTAACGCAATAGTTCTCTCCAAAACAGTAGACCACCGGTGTTCTTCTCCTGAGAACAGTAGTGTACTACCAGTTCTCTTCAAAACAGTAGACCAAGGGTTTCCTTCTCCTGAGAACAGTAGTGTAATAGTTCTCTTCAAAACAGTAGACCAACGGTTTCCTTCTCCTGAGAACAGTAGTGCACCAAATACCAAATCTCCTCGAATCAGTAAAGCATTTAAAGTGATTCAGTGAACCGTTTTCTTATTCTGTTGATAACTTGGAGCAACAGATTCCTTCTCCTGAAGACAATGTTTCACGCCCAGAACACTTACGGAATTCAATTGAGTGCCCTGCCGGTATTTTTGACTCTTGTTAACAGTAACATGCTCGTTCCCATCTCCAGAATGATTATATAAGGTAAAACGCCAGCACCTCAATACAAGAGAACAATGTCAATAACCTTCTCTGGATTTCAACAGTTCATACAGTTCTACAGTTCCATAGGTATACAAATGTAAATTTAAAACCTCTTAAGCTCACATCTTAGTAAACTACCTCTTCTATTATACTAGAAGACGTTTGGGACTGTTTCTTGGATTACTTGGGAAGGCAAAAACACTAATATTTCTTTACAATTGTACGGTATTGTGGCAGTATTTTCGATAATATCTAGTGAATTTTTATACCGATAAAAATATGTTTTATCTAGATAAACAGATAACTTTTTTTAACGAATTATCGGAGATAATTATCGGTTACGATTATCGGAGTGGATAGCCTAACCATGACCATTTTTGTCTTGATTTGATGAATAATTACATAATCTCAATTTCAACAGGGTTTCAAAGGAAACTGTACTAAACAGCGAGGCATACATGTTGTTTTACCACAAAAAAGTAATAGAGTATTCTTGAGTTTCATAAACTCGCTTTTATATTACAGTAAGTAATTTAAACAATTTGTTTATAAATAATAAATTATTTTATTGTAATTCAAGAATAGCTCTTTTATAAAAATTAGAAAGCTTGGTAATGGTTAAATTGTTGTTAAAGTTAAGTTGGCCTAGAGAATGCTCGAAACTATCAAGTTAACGTGACAAGTAACTTAGATTCTGGAAACACATTGTCATTAACTCAATTCGTTTAACTTAAATAAATAAAATAACTCGACCATTTAGTTAACAACGTCACTTACTTCAACCAATTAATTGCTAGTAACACTTTTAAAACATAACTTGTACTTTTTATATGACTGTGAGCATAATCAACTGGATCATTGCCTTAATTAGTTTTCTCAATTACCAAGGAAGCCGGACAATCAAGTTAGCTTAGTCCTAAGTCTTGCGTGACAGTTCTAACAATTAACAATCATACTTTTAACCTGTTATCGTGGTTGTCACATTTTCTATTAAAAGCAATCCTCAAATTTTGTGGATGTTAAGCGAATTTTTAACCATCTATTTAATGCTTTGCTGAACGCTTTTGAATCTTTACTGATCGGACCGGCCATAACTAGCTAACAACATTAGCTAACAATTAACTAAATAAGTTAACAAATGTTCACATTTCAGAAGAAACGGTCGAGGATTGGGTTCTAAGCAGATACATTATGTTAATAAACCAGGGGAATTACTGTTGATTTGTACCGATGTTGTACGCGGTGTGGTTGTGTAAAGCTCTGTTTGGTATAATCACCTCGATATCTGGAACTGATTTATATACCTGATATTGTGTTCCATATCAGTTTCAAGGCATGATTATTTTTGTCGTGTTTTGGGGCACATTAAAGTGTTTGATGAATAAAATTCCTTAAATTATAGTTATATAAAATATTAAATATTCGTTCTGAAGCGAATTACTACTTCTCAGTCAATGTGTGTTCGTCTTGCTTTTCGTAAAAGCCATCGTTTTGATGATACTAGAGCATTCAAGAAATATTGGGCTGCATTTTGTGGTTCCTGGACTGTTTAAGCAGATCTGTCAAAATCAATATAATGGTTGTCGTGTAAATTCATTACGATTTAAGAGTTACTGCTAGCTCACTATAAGACACTCCCAACGTTACAACTATAATTCCAAGAAACTATCGTTTAAATCGTGATTCAGCTACCATTACATTATGATTTAGACTAAGCTGACTCTTGCCAAGCTTGTATAATGTATGTAGTAGCTCCTCATTTCTTGAATCCTGGCAAAAAGGTGCAAGTGAATCCGTAATAGTTACTTAAATCACTTATGTCATGTCATTACCTAATCAGTTTACAAATTTACCCACCGTTTGAAAGATAACGCTAATTGTGAAAAATAACTCCAATAGATCCAAATTTCAAAATAAAGTGACACATTATCAGGGACGTAGCCAGGATTTTTCTTTGAGGGGGGCTGTCGGCGAGCGAAGCGAGCCGACGCGTCCAATCAAGCTGCGCAGCGAGCGAAGCGAGCAAGCTGTGGTAGGGGTCTGGGGGCGCAGCCCCCAGCGGGGTCCAGGGGCGGAGCCCCTTGGCGGGGGCTAGGGGGGCGCAGCCCCCCGGAAATTGTTTGCGAAACAGGGTGTTTTAGACGACATTTGGCATTAAAGAAATTTGTAGGACAGCAATAAACTGGGATTGAAAAGAATCAAGTACTCACGTAAATTTGGTAACTTCACAACAGCAATCTGCATTCTCCAATCAGAATTAACGACTTACTCAGGCCTCATCGTCTTAAGATTTTTACATTTCCTACGGTCTAGGGGACACTATTGACTATAATTATAGAAGTCTTCTAGAATGTTTGCTTGGATTTAATGGCTGCCGCCCCCCTAGCCCCCCCCCCCCCCCCCCCCCTGGCTACGTGCCTGCACATTATGTAATATGATTACCACAAAATCCCGTTTTCGCATCTTTTTACAAGGGGATTCCGGACTTGCGATTTGTAGTGCCTGAGCATGACGTTGCCAAACTTGTTTCCAGGATCCACATCAGGAATGCAGCCCTTTTCTTGACCGTTCTAATGTAATGTAGGTTGTAATTTGATTTTAATTAAATTCAATATAATTTTGAATGGTCGCATGGGGGTTTGTTGATACTGCTTTTATAGAATCAATATTTTCATAATAACATTTAAAGTAATATTCAAGTTGGTGATGGCCAACTTCCGCGATGAGTTTTTGAAGATATCTAGAATTGACAGTTACAATATTGTGGCTATTATCTATGATTTGATACTCTTAGTGAGGTTTGGTGACTTAGTTGTGTTATTGATATAAATCATTAACCTGTCACCAAACTTAGCGTTACTTTGAAGTATTTTCAATCCCGGATAACCATGAATTTGTCAATTTACTTTTTTTGAGCTTACAAGAGCGCTGATATTATTTTTCTAAAGCTAAAAAAATTTGAACTAATGGGTTTTTAGAGTAACCAGGAACCTGTTAATTTCAGCCTCATTTTTACACGGTATATTGTATTTATTATTTTTTCATGAAAAACAAGTTTTGTGTTGCGGCACTGTTAAGCGTGAAATACTCGTATTTCAGGCGCATGAAGTGATTAATACAAGTCTGCAAATTGTAATGTTATTACGACGATACAGACTGTATCGTCGTAATAACATTACAATATATCATACAGTGGCAGGGTAACTACACCCTGCTACTGGACTATTACGACGATAAAATTCCACACCTCGTTTAATCATTTCATCGTATTCGCAGTCTTGGATTTGAATTTAGCAGTAAGTTTGACACGAAACTATTTTACTGAAGGTTATAAGATTAGAAAGGGTTTATTTTTACTCCGATAACATAGAATTACCTGTCGAACGTCCTATTTTTATAGATGTGTACTCTGTATATTTGCTGATAACATTATATGATTCCAATTTGAGATTAATACGTCATCATGATAATATGTTTATATAAAGTTATTGATTCGCTATAATTTTTATACAGGCCTTCTACAATCTACAATCTAAGCTGGAATGTCCTTAATTACTAATTTTCTGAGTTTTGTGTATAAAAACGATAACTTAATATTTTGCACTTCGTAGAGGCCACTGCTAAAAGCGTCATAATGCAATTTATCATCCAATAACAGATATGTAGCAGAGTTGCCGCCTGCTTTTGTTTTTGCAATGTACAGCGCGCGGTGCTCCTGTAATATATTATGATATCAGCTCAGTCACCAGATCAGGTTAAGACATTGTGATGTTGTAGAAGGTCTGGATATAGATATAATGTATCCCGTTTTGATTAATATGGAAGTTCTTTGGCTTTACGCCAGCAACTTGCCACGTTCGCGAGAACTGGTACGTGAATATGTCTCAATTTGTATTTGTAAATAACATAACTTTCTGGCTTATAATCAGTCTAATTGCGTAGTATTATCGTTTCTCAAGCTGATGTCTTTTAACTTGTTACTTATAAAAGCCCTGTAAAATAAGCTGATACCGAAGAGCATTACAAGAGAGTAGCTCTTTATTGCTGACAGTGAAATGTCGCTAAGTACTACTCACACTTAAATGACTATTATGACATATTATGTCCGACAAATATCGCATATTTTATTAAAGTGCGGAGACATTGCAGCCAGTCAGAGTTTTGTAGCCAATTAATTAATTAATTAAAGTATCAAACAGCTGGCAGTCCAGTGTAAACAAATTTAAGAATTGCACTGTGAAAATTTGTGCTGAATTGAAATAGATTTTAATAACCTTATTTGACTTTCCTGCAATTATTGAATGAATAATATTTTAGATCTTGATATAATATGTACATTTTATAGATGAATAAATTGACCAATTTTAAATTTATCTTTAATATCGTATCTTCTAATATTAGTGGTCGAAAGGAACCCTTGTATGTCTGGAAAAGCCCTTAAACCTACATTAAGTGGAACAAGGAACAAAACCCGCAAGCGAGGTACGTGCTATCTGTTATTTTAGCGAGGTACGTGCTATCTGTTATTTTAGCGAGGTACGTGCTATCTGTTATTTTAGCGAGGTACGTGCTATCTGTTATTTTAGCGAGGTACGTGCTGTTATTTTATAGGTAATTTCAAGCGAGGTACGTGTTATTTTAGGTAATTTCAGCGTCTTTTTTGTTCTGTAATCGAATGTAATGACAAACAGTAAACAGCGTATTATTCCCGCTAATCATATCATAAACTAATTACAAACGTTATCAGACGAAAAGGAGAGGTACGAACCGCAGGTATTCCGAGACGCGATAATAGCAGGACTTGAAGATGTAGGAAACAACCACGATCAACTACTCAAATATCTCTGTGACACCGCCACCGGCAAACTTGACGTGAAAAGGTTTGAGGATTCTTATGTTAATTTCAAACTAGCTTGTGCATTGTTCGTGTTTTTTTTCATAATTAATTATATTCGATTTGAAATAATTTGTACTGCACGTTTACACACTTGTGTTAAAGTATTGGATTTATAAAACATTTTCTTGTGTTTAGGTATGGAGAAACTTTACTGGACGTCTTGTTTGTTGGAGGGATCATCTCTGCAGGTGGTGCCATAGAGGGTAACATTAGAACCAACGTTAGTAAACATTATTATAGTACTCATTACTCATACTCATTGTATAATATATAATATGTACATACCAAAAGTCGCAATTCTACCTGTTCAATCCCAGTCACATTACAGAACTAACGTCCTCATTTCATGGATTTGTTGTATTTAAACTATTTTACTAACTTTTCTGTTTTCAGATTTGCTTAATACGTCAGGAGCCGGATGATATCAAGTCCTTCACCAACATCTTTATCCAGTTCATAAGGAGATATAAGTGGCTGCAAAATCGTCTGGGAGAGGAAATTAGGAAGGTAAGGATAACACAATCTTTCGAATTTCGATCGATGAATTGGTTTTGACATTTAAATACCAATCAATCTCACCGTCCAGGAATGGTAAAATGTAAACAAGTCTCTTAATGTCCAACTGCTGCATTTAGTCATATTGTCCATGTGGCCCACAAAGTAACAAGCTGTGATAACATTCTCCAAACTATCTTGTACAGTGTACGCATAAGCTGACTTTTTGATAATATAGTCCCTCATTTCTAGTAAAATAGTTTCTAGGAATATCGAGCGTAGCTCGCTATTCCTAGAAATTTATACCCGTTTTAAAAATGTATACCCGTTTTTTTTTCTTTCCAGACTGGATTCCTAGCCACTTTTTAAATGTATGCCACTGGGGCGTAGCATGCACTCGAACAATCAATAGAGTCCGAGATAAAACTACAATATTTAAACCCCAGTAACCCAGCCCTATCCTGCAGATAATAATGGTGATGAGAGTATGTTTGAGCGATGAAGAGCGGTGTCTACTCGGCAGTGCTACTGCCCTTCTCCTCATCGAGGGCATTATTCCCCCAACACTTCTCTCTGGACTTACCCAGGACCATCTTCTCAAGGATGGTAAGTTGTTATTTCCTTATTTTGTTTTGTTTTTCAATTTTCTTAAAAAACTGCTGACCGTGGCAGGGTTAATGTAATATTATGTGTTTTAAAATAACGTGATTAATTGTAATTATACACACTGACAATTGACATTTAGAATACTGTTATTTGACCGCATGTGTGATTAATTGGCCTTATAGGAAATGCCCCGTTTATCACTTTTGACGAAAATAACACGGAATTTATATTTGTTGTACTGAGTATTGAGTAAACAATAACACGATCTGCCATTTTCTTCGAGATAATGTAAACATAACAGCCGTTAAGATCTCAATAATATAATAATTGTGGTACTGTGAATTTAAATATTAACATACATTGCCTTCGACTGCAGAAGTGGTAAAACACTTAATCCAGTAAGTTGATGGAATGAATTTTTACTGCGCTCACTTTTTAATTGCTTTGTAATTCCAGCCATGGCCAAAACCAGTTCAACGAACGGTTGTAAAGTTGTCAAGTCACGTGATATGTCCTTTGTGACACGTGACTTGTCTCTCGTCTGTAACTATTACTGTTTTGGAGGTGTGAAAATATTCGGCGGTTTAATTTTCAGCCAGTACTTGGTAATTGTGGTATAACAGGTTAGCATAAAGCGCAGACATTTCAATATTATGATCATTAGCAATAAACTGCTAGAAATTACAAAAAATTAGCTGTTGCTTTCTGCCGTAAAAATGTATATAATCTGATCAGTTAGTATGACCTTCTTCCTATTATATAGCTGTCTTTACCAAATACAATATACATGGCTTGCATCAACATATATAAGTATCATCTGATTCCAGGAAATTATGTAAATTGTACATTGTACTGTCGACCAAGTACCTCTAATTAACTACATATCTTTAATGTTTTGTAATATGTTAGCGTGTTGTAATCTAATGTGGAATAGCCAGTCCTTATTCTCAGGAACTAGTGATCCTAATATAAACTAATTTAAGATTAAATTAACCAGGTTGCGGGTTATTATATTGCAAGTTAGTGTAAGTTAGCTGACACTTATTATTTGTTTGAAGTGAGTGTGCGTCGAAATGTTCTTATAATCTAATATATAATTGTAATATATATTATATAATGCTAATCTGTTCCAATAAATCTAAACGAATGCGCGCACCCACTAAGTCGGTCGATGAAAACTATCAGAAAATATGTGAATATAAATAGTTCCACCTAAAAGAATTAGAGTTTACCGTTTGTCCTCGGTTCAAGTGGTGAACTACACACATATAAGTACACAATGTCGCCGGCGTTTGTCTCTGAAAATTGATCACACTCTGGTTTGTTTGTTAATATATAACAAGGAGACATCAGTAAGATGTATCATTTGTTGTTTGTTACATTATTTACATTCTCCACTTGTAGATGGGGAAGTTGGGAGCCATCTAATTAACAATATTTAGTCCCGTAATGAGGGATATCCGGTATGTGTTCTTCACGCTATCTGAACATTGTGTCATGTTATCTATTTCAGAGGTAAGTGTTATGTACGCAACAAGTCTGTTCAGGACATGGCTCCAGGAGAGGGACATGGCTTCTTTAACTTCTACTCTCAAGAAAGCCTCTCTAGACCCCTCCCTCCAGGTAAAATAATATTCAAGATATTATCAAAATACTGGTCACTCACTGTCAGCCATTTGTTTAATGTTACCCTTTTTTCTGAAAAATGTAATGGCTCTGACTGTTGTTTTCAAACTCGGCGAACGTTTCATATCTTATCATGCTTGTTGAAACATTGTAATTTTAACTAAGTCTGTTATATCTGCAAGGGAAATTTATGTTCGTTGTGATTCTAATAATTACATACTGGCAGTTTTTGAATTAAAATTAAATTATTGATTGTCCTATTGAAACCTGAAGTTGCTCCAACTAATGCTACTATTCTGTCTCATAATGACTTTTTGCCACAGGACATATTCCCAATCGGTCCCAAAAGAAGTCTGGACCACATAGAGAGTTATTTCAAGGAACAGGGACTGAATGAGATGGTCCAACATGTGGTTAGTACACCTTTTTAGTAAATTTGATATTTTCTTCCCTGATTAACAACATGTGTTTCTAGATAATATGTGGTCACGGACTCACGCATACACGTTGTTTTATTACCAGTGGCAGTATTTTAAAAGATTCAATTTTCAGCGTTCACAAAGAGCGAATAACAACCGGAAAGTGTTTGTTTCCCGGATCAAATTGTTCGTGAATGACGACGAATACAATACTTCAGAGGTAATGACCGATTCGTCACTGATGACCTAATTTTTGTCACAGTCTTACTTGTTTCAATCTTGCGAAAACGTACGTGATTTTGTCGTTTATCCTATAGAAAGTTCGCGCGCGGAATGGCGCGTCTTGCTTACAAATTTTGCGACGCGCGCATTACTGATTTTTTCCGATTCGCCTGCGCTGCATGCTCAGTCTCACGTACCATACGCAATGCGCCGTACAGCTAGGCTTGCGACTCATTTCCCGTTTGTGTCAAGTGTGACAGAGTCACACGAAAGCGTAACGACTAACGTCACTTTAAAGCTTTTAAAAATCAATACTTATCTAGTTTTACTAGTCTTGCCAAGTGTATATTACAAATTCCTGGACCGTGAGCTGAATCATTCCAGATGACATATACAAGCTGTATATTTTTTATGAGAATCCGTATCTGGGCCTGCTTGTTTTTGATATATCTTTCATTTCTACGACCATGAACACTGTTAAATCACAATATTTGATATAAGTAATTAATTAATAATAAACAAGTAATAATTCCATGCTAGATTCTATTACAGACTCTTATTTAACGCCGTTTGTTTCAGTTGTCAGTGTACATCAAAGAAGCAACAGATCAAGGAAAGGTGACCCAACCGTATGCAATGCAAACTCTATTCTCAGCCATTGCCAACTCAGGAGATTGGGCTGGATCCGACTCAATTCCTGACGATTTTTACAAGGAACTCAAGGTATCATTCTTCTGGCAATTTGTTTTAAGTGAGGAGAAATTTATCATTTGTCGAGGAGTTTGACTTCAGGTTAAACTTTCCATTATTAATGGCAGTGTTATGCAGCATTCTATTCTATTTCGATCTGAGGCTCAGTATTTCTACCCGTATCAATATAATTATAATCACTTATAATTTAACTCTCTTTTCAGCAATACAGCGCGCTATTCAAGGAAATTGCCAAGACACACAAATTACAAATAGACTTCATGAACAAAATACAAGAGTTCTGTTACGACAACATCAACTTTCTCAAAACATTCCACAAAGTTATATTCATGCTTTATAACGGTAAGATTGGAATACATGCAACCTGCACTTGTAAATGCCATTCTTCCAATCAAACTCCAATATTAACATTCTTCCACCCAAAACGAGACGTCAATCTAACTCTAATATTCAGGAACAGTCTGGGTAATGATGGTAACCTAAATAACAGACCTGTTTCCTCAGGCAACGTGCTGGAGGAAGATGCAATAGTAGATTGGTACAAAAGTTCACACAGCACTAAGGGCCAAACAGAATTCCTCTCTCAGATGGAGAAAATGGTCAACTGGCTTGAAAATGCCGAGGAAGGTTTGTTTATTTTAGTTGTTCACTGACTTCTTTAACTATTCTTTTAAAGAACAGCTTGTTTGGCAACAACTTAACATCTCCGAACTTCTAATTTCGGGCCCACATGTCCCAAGATAAGTTAGATTTTCAGGATTAACCTGGTCCAGAGTGTAAAGTTTCTGTGAATATTAATATTTGTATTAATGTTCAGTTAAATTTCAGAGGAGGACTCCGACGAGGATGAGGAGTAGACCTCTCCAAGTTTCTAGAACTCTTCCGAACTTTCTAGAAGATTCCAGCCCTCTCCGGGAACGAACAACCTCACCCTCCTCCTTCCTTTCTAGGCTACGATTTGAGAGAAAATTATTTCAAGTGTAATGGAAAAGGGGTTATTTATTTGTAGTTTTTTTGGGCAGTAATATAGAAATGTATAGTGTTGCTGTCCGCATCATTAAAACATTGATAATGCAAAGTTTTAACTTAGTATTGATAATTTAGTGCCGCAATTCCGGGATTTTACATTGTATGTTTCTAAATTTTAAAGAGTTGTCACAATATTTCTTGAATTGAGATTTTATGAAGAACAGTAAGATCATGTTTTTTTTGCAGGTATTTATTCAAAAAATTTGTAAATATGGTAGCAACACACCCTGGTATGCTCTCACGAAGGTTTATCCTACACACATACTTTGAGAGGTCTCTATAATCTAGATAAAATACTTTGTGAAATGTTTCTAACTCTTTAGCAAACCTACTACGGATATAACCGCTAGGAGTGGTTCATTGGATAACAGCCAATTTTTACGATATACGTGTATGATGTGCTATTTGAATTTAATTCGAAATTTTAGGTTGATTTTATTGTGGTTCGTTCCCCGTTTAACTTAAGCTTATATTTTATTTTCCGGTATGAAAGCAGCAGCAAAGATTGATATAACCTATGCTATGGTTCTAATATGATTTTGTATTTTGCTGGAGTAATTTATTGATTTTCATTTGGCAATTACAAAGTTAAAACAGGAACTTTAAAACTGAAGAAAATGAAACCAAAATTCAATAAATTATTTTAGAATATAAAAACAGCGGCTAAAAGTAAGCAATTTAATTAAGAATTTCTATTGTTATCTTGGCTTCTAAAACCGATAAAATTGAAAATGTAAAGAAGCGGATGTTAGAATGGACTACAATTAAAATAAACGAATTAAAAATAACTTCAAGTCCTACGATCCTAAGTTTCCATTCTCCAAGAAATAATTCTTCATAGCTAACAGAGCATTGAAACGATGGGAAATGGTGTTCTTTATCTTCTTATCCATTTCAGCGTAAGTCACATCATAGCCGTCAGGCTGAAAGACTGGGTCCCAGCCAAAATAATCCGGGCCTCTCGGGGGAACAATCTTTCCCTGAAATGTACGTATAGATTCAGGGTACTAATTCAGCAATTTTTTCAAAGTGCCGCACATTTCGAAGTAAAATCTGCAAAATCGATTTAAATATATTGATCAGCTCTGTAATAATTCCACCAAAATAAAACAACAAGAAGTGAAACGTGTTGCTCACATGACATTTCCCCTCGAAGATAACCGCCTCTTTCTTGTCCGGATCGTAGTAAGCGAAAGTACAGAGAGCAAAAGCAGACTTGTCCTCGTAACCAGCCAATAATTTGTACAAACCTTCTCTGCCACACTTGTCTAAAAACCACTTTCTAAAACGTTTAGACTTAGTTTTAATACTTTCAACACTACTATATAACAAATAATTTGAGGTTTCTATTGTTAAGTTGTTATCATACACACCCAGATCTACGTTACTGTAGCTGTTTAAGTTTTTCTAAAAACTTACAGTTTATCTTGGGTATAGGACCTTGATTTCATTAGCAGATATGGATGACTTGAAGAAACTGGAAGAAGAGCTCGACCTAATCAACGAAAAGTCCTTTCAAGGTAAGAAAACAATCCACGAAGCAAAGATTTTAACAGATATACCCACCAGCAACAACAAAGAACATATTTTCAAGGTTTGTAAAGAACTATACATCATTGCAACCAGAGCTATTGATCTAGCAAAGACCTCACTTGTCCCCCTTCCGGAACAGGACAGCCAAACTCTAGAAAACATAATTAAGAGACAATTGAGTGAAGTCCTACCTAATCTTCTGAAAGAAGCTATTTCAGTGGCTGCCATTTCCCCTGCGGAATCCCTGCAAGCTAACCTCCCAATAGAGAAGCCCCTGCCAGCAAGGCACACGATTACTATAGCCAAGTCACCAGTGAACGAGGATGATACAGAGACTACTATCACTAACCATGAATGGACCGAAGTTTATCGTAAGGACGTGAAGAAGTCTCTTAAAGGTGACAGCTGGAAGAGTCTTGGGGTAAAGTTTGATAAGTCTCTTACCATGGAAAGACAAATTAATAGTGTCAAAAAGAAATGCAGCTGGACAATGATGAATCTAAGGACGATTGGGCGCTATCTGGATGAAGGAGTGAAACTCATGATGGTAACACAGCTTGTAATATCAAAGCTCGACTACTGTAATTCTCTTTACATGAACCTACCAAAGACACGACTAAACAAGCTAAGATCAACCCTCAATGGTGCCATACGGTTCATCTACAATATCAAAGACCGATCAGAAGACCTACTTCCCTACTACAAGAGAGCACATATCCTTCCTCTTGACCAAAGGATTTTCTTTAAAGTCTGCCTGTTAACTTATAAAGCTGTGCATGGGATTGCACCGGCCTACATACAGAATCTTGTAGTGATTGAAAACCCATTGACAATAGCTACTTGTACAAGATCAAAAGTAGAAGGAGATTGTTACAGACTAAAGACTCCTAAAACTACAAATAGTAAGATTGATCAACGTCGATTCACCAACTACGCACCAACTGCTTGGAACTCACTTCCCTGGGAGATACGATCACTACGCAACGTAGACAGTTTCAAAGGTACCCTTAAACATTATTTATATGACCGTATGTGATTAGTGCTGTTTTTGTCTTTGTTCTTATGATTTGTTGTAGGGTGTATCTTTATTTATTAGTGCAATGTGTATTAACATATTAATAATCCTTCTTTTGATTCCTATAAGTATGTTATGTTACTTTTGAAGAGTTTTCTGGTGGTTTATTGTTAATCGTAGTGTGGTATATATCAATAAATCTTCCTATGATTACTATATGATATATTTAAAGTTTTAATTTTTCCTAAATAGATTTGTTTTTGAGATGATTTAGTTGTTTGTTGCTGGATATTTTCACCTCACCCTTTAGAACCGCTCTGACATGGTTAGTACCTGGCACTTGTGTCAGTTGCTAACCATATGGGCGGTATACAAGCACATTATTTCATTTCATTTCATTTCATTTCATTTAGATGTGAATATCCTATTAACTATTAATTAATAGTACAGGGTGGGCCAAAAGTCACTGGACATACGTTGGCCTTAATAGCTCAGTCACTGAGTGACCAATTGAAATAATTCTTTCTGGTACGACTTACTACCACCACTGGTTCGAGGAATTTGTCAAATCGAAAAATATTCGAGTTCATTTTTTTCAAATGAAGGTTCATTTTTGCATTTATTTGATAGTTTGGATAGTCGGATCGAGCTAAATTTTATTACCCCGTTAACCACCCCATTAAACATTATGGGAATCGTTGAGGCTGCCCAATTAAGGTGGCGTGTCACGGTGTCAGATAATCATCCAGTCAATTTTGTTAACGAGATACACAAAATTCTTGATAACTTCGTCATTTCTAATCTGTTTCACGTCATTTTTTCAGATCAGATGCAACATTTAATAATCTACCGTCTTTATAAAAAATCAGGCGTCCAGAATTTTAATTTTGAATGGGCGTGGTCTCAAATATTCGAATTTTCAAATTTTGACGACGGAATCCTCGAACCAGAAGCTACAGTATGCTATCGATCTGCAAAGCAACAGCTCTCAAATATAAAACACGGCGAAGCTATTAAGACCAACGCATGTCCAGTGACTTTTGGCCCACCCTGTACTTTCTACGATTTTTCCTCGCAGTGGCGTTTAAAAATAAATGCGAAAGGTTCGGTGAATTGTAATTGTATAAAGTACCCTCAATTCTGATCATTAACAACTTTTTAAGAATGGCAAATCTTTGCAGAGATTGATTTCTGGATCCACGTATTGTGGTGATATTATTTGATCCAGAATTTCAATATTTCCCCAAATAAAAGAACCAAGCTGGCGGGGACCTCAATTGTCCACGGCGAGAGCTGTGACCGCCTCCTTTTTATGAATGAGGTGTATCAAATGTAAGATGGCAAATATAGAAATATAGTGTAATGATGTTTGTTCATAGCGGCTTGACTGACTTCTATACTATTTACAAATTAGTAATGACTATACCCTTGAAACCTATAGTGAATGAAAGATACATTTTCACTAACTAGATTTAAACTACACAGTACCAACTACCTAAGTGTCTTACATGTAGGGACCAGGCAGACCATTGAGTGCGTTGTAACAGAGACAAGTATCTTCCACTATCACCGGTCCAAAATTCATCTGAAAAACAAATACATTAAATCGAATAATATTATGTAAGGTCAGCTAGCTGGGGATTGCATGGCTTGCTCAATTGCGCGCCGCGCACACAATTTTGCTACACTAACGGCTCAACGCCTTTTGCCTTTATTATTTGAATGTCGAATGTCGACTAGTAAAAAGATGCAAAACCGTTAAAAAGGCGCCAAATCCAAACGTTATCCGATCACTGATTTTACAAAGTTCAAATGACAAAATCCGGTCAATTGAAGAGAAGGAATTATCAGCAGTTAGTTCAGAGAATGTCATAACTTTGTATGTAATGTTTACCGTTACTGGAGGTACCGTCAATGTTCACATGTGCGTGATTAAGAAGTTTTAAGTAAGTACAAACCATGTGTGACTGGTAACATGGCTGAAATCAGGCATATTTATGAAAATTGTACGCTAAACTACATTTACTACTCGACTTACTTTTTCAGCAGCTAGTAAACATTTTTGTCTTGCTATGTCTTCTGGCTCTCCTTGTAATTCTGGAACTGGAAAAATGTCAAGAATTATAGCAAAATCGAAGAATTTATGAATAATACAAGTTTTTAATAAGTAAAACGTGGAATCTTTAATTTGATTTGTATCCTTTCAAGAGGATAATAAAATCTACTTACGATCAACTTTATGAGCTTCAATCATAAAGGGAAAGTCTTTACCAAGTATTGCAGTCACCTGAGGCAAATAAACTGAGGTTACCAGACAAACAAGGAATATTTGCTTAGGATAAATTGTCAATTATTGTAGGTTCTTGGAATGAATGAAATAATTGTAAAACATTTATGAACATTTAAATTACGATCTGGAACATTACAAGGACGTTATCCATTTATCTCAAACAGGAAAAAACAAAACATGTAGGTACTAACCTCTTCTAACTTTTTAGCGTTTCCAGTGATGAAGGTGATGACTTTTTGAGCACTCATCTTTACGTAGACTTGATTTCTGTTGGCTTTTTACTTCTCATAAAGTCTAATCAGAAGTTATTATCATTATAAGCTCTCTAGTACATGGTGCAAGAGGAAATAGTACTTCTGATGCTTTCAGCAGATTTCAGTTGTAAACACAGCAAAAACTAGACGATATTTTTAAGTTGAATTACAATGCCTTAAAAATGAAACAGACAGGGGAGAAGCATTTAAATACATCGTTAGTTAAATAAAACTCTGGTGTTGTTTTCTTGAAATAAGCTTGCATATTATAGTTGATATGATTAGTGGAACCACTGTAACCTTTGTTCCAAAGTGTTCGTCAATTAATTTCATTATTTTAAACCAATATATGTACCATTAATTTAAAAAGTTATCTCATACTTAATTTTGAGTGGTAGCAAAACTAAATTTCGGGTTAAAGTTACAACTCTAACTGTTTGAGATTTTCAATTTGATGTATATTGTGCTAAATTCAAAGTCTGCTACCATGTAAAAACTGTTCCCTTGGCTTTACGTAAGCAGCTAATTAAAAATTACTTAAATCTAAATTGTTTTATGGATTTGCAACTGTCACAGTTTAAAAATATTAAATTCTGGTAAAAATCTTCTGTGAAATTTCAAGGTCAAATAACTTAATCAGTTAATAGTAATATAATGTGATGTCTGACTAAACCATTTGTACTTTATATACAATATAAATTATAACCTTCCTTTACATCTACTACACATGCAAGGGATCTGAACATCAACCAATCACAGCACAGAGACCATCTCAATCATTTGGCTTGATCTGGAGGGAGATCATTTGTTGGTTATCCAGACACTCCTTCAACTTATTCTCCGTCATGGTCAGTCTCTGCTCTAGAATACTTACAGTTTGTGTCAGTACATCTAGCTGTCCTACCATGTGTTCCAGTGTTGCTGCTAATTGTGGGGGGATGGACTGGGGCTCTAGTGGAGTCGTCCTGAGGGTATAATTAATTAGTTAATATGGGTATTTGTATGCATAAGATAATAGCATAAGAATATTGTAATTAACTGTGATTATCTTATGCGGATATCAGATGAGAAAAGGAAACGGAAGTCGAAAAACTAAAACATACAATGTATTAAGTAATCTCAACAGCACTAGAACTGTAAAATAAAACTAACGTAGCGTGGTTATTAAATATGTTATCTTTAGTGTTATCAGGGTTGGTTCGTTGATCTATCTGGTTGGTTTGGTTAGCAGGCAGGTTGAACAGAGCTGGTCCCACATTGACTGGTTCACATTCTGGAGCTGAACAATCTTTAGGCTGTGCTAGCACTGACACTTGTTTACCTTCTGGGGACACGAGCTTATTAACTGGACAATTTTAACCTTTAAAATTAGATTTCGCCTAAACTTTATTCTCTTCAAGACATTGAAATGGACTTATATTAACAAGAAAGTTTAAAATGAAGGTACGAACCAGGCTGAACATTACTGTCAACATTAAACTTGTGCACGTGCTCTTTTTTGGAGGCTTTAGGAACATTGCTTACTGGCTCGTCTCCTTTAAAGTTTGTTTTCCACACCATCACCTGGGAGGATTGGGTTAAGGTTGGGAGCTTGTCCATTTGGATCTTCACTACTCTTGTATTAAAGTAAATAGCTAACAATCTTACAATATAAAGTAGATCCCACATAATATGACTCTTATCAAAACATTACCTGCTCGTCAGCCCCACCGCTAGCAAAGTATTCTCCGGTAGATGAGAAAGCAGCAGCAGTAGCAGGACCCTTGTGACCGTGGAGTGTGTAGAAGAGACGACCCTCTATAAGGTCCATTATCTTGAGAGTAGAATCACTACTTGCCGTCAGGAGGAAGTTTCCTGAAAATTAGTTGTTGTAAATTTTTGTAAATATGTTAATTACTTTGATGATTAGTGTATAGTAATACAGCTGATTAAAATTCAACTGTGTAATTAAATATTTGTAGTTTACGGTGTATAATTGTATACAAAATGGATGCAAGCTTATAATAGTAGAAGTGATATTTATAGTGGTAATAATACCGCAGTTCGTGAAAATTTGTTGTGAAAATATGAATTAGATTTTATTACCACAGTCATTCCTTAATGACTGATATGAAAGTCTTTCATATAGCTACCGGCACCACTTTTAAAAATTTGTTAAATTATCAAGATGTCTTGATTTATTTGGTGCAAGTATTATAACAAACCAGATGGATGGAAGGAAACACTGTTGACAGTTGAGCCATGAGCTTGGTAATGCTGAAGTAACTTGTTCATTCTGAGATCCCACAGTTTAACAGAATTGTCTGAGTTTGCGGAGGCTATGCACGTTCCATTAGGGTGGAACTCAACCTGGCAGATAAGGAAATGAAGTGAAGACATTGTAAATGCTGAACTTATACACTTGTATATTAATCATTATAGATATTCCCAATTAGTAGAATTATTAATCAACTCACATCGTTGATAAAACCAGAATGTTCGAAGAATGTATGAATACATTCTTTGCTGGCAATGTCCCACAGTTTCAGTGACTTATCATCACTACCAGACCCGACCAATCTGCCATCAGAGGAGAACTTGGCTGTCTTAACCCAGTTCACATGGCCATTCAAAGATGCCTGAAATAAAAGATGAATAAAAATTTGATTTTATGATTATAATATGTAGTATCGCACAAAAAATGTTCACATCACGCTGTATACCTGTATAAAGACGTTTCAATAATATTATATTATAGTCACTTTTTTAGTAATGTGTCATCAAACTAGCACAGAGTCAAAACCATTGATAATTCACCTGAAACTTTTGTCTATGAACCGTCCATAATTTAATAGATTTATCATCAGATGAAGAGAGTAGTGATTGGCCATCAGCAGAGAAGTCGACACATCTAACAGTGTTAGTGTGTGCTTTAAAAACTGTAGATTCCCCTTTAACTGATGGTATCCACAGCCGGATAGTCCTATCTCGGGAGCCTGAAGCAAGAAGGTGTCCAGAAGGACTAAATTTCAGGGACATGACAGCATCTTTGTGTCCCAAGAATCGGTAGGCTCTCATCTGGGGTTTAAAGTTCCAAACCTGGGATATTTTCATGTACAATATACCTTGGCCTTGCCAACTTAACTAATGTAATATCTACATTTTTTAAAAACATTTTAAAAAAATTATGGCAAAGAATCATGTTTTAAAAAAATTATGGCAAAGAATCATGTTCTGTGTACATTCATTTAATCAACTACAAAGGGGTCGTTCACATATTACATAATCACGTTTTGGACAATTTTTAACCCCTCGCCCACCGGCCACCCCCCCCCCCCTCCTCCTCCATCCACAATTTACACACAGCTATTGCATCAAAATTACACTAGCGTAATCATTTGGAAACCCGCTCCCCCTCGGCTGATTACGTAATATGTGAATGACCCCTTAGCACTGCACTGAACCTAGTTTGGCTAATATCACAGATACCACTTACCATGACAGTGGAATCCATACCGCTTGAAGCAAGTTGCTTCATGTTTGGATTGAAATGGCAGCATGTCACTGTATCTTTGTGACCCTTGAAGTGTCTCTCTAATGTTGGATCTTCTTTCATGATACAACTTTCAAAATAGTGTTGTCAGTGCTGGTAAAATCGAAAATTCATCGATTTATATTCTTCTAATTAAGTAAAAAAGTTTGTGCAGAATGGGTTGGATAATGAATTAGCAGTGATAGCAGCAGAACAAGTACGTTTTGTGTTCAAATCCTGCCATCAACAATAGATAAAACAAAGTTTTACAACTTTCAACCCTCAGCCTTTAATGCTTGATCACAGAAGTCAACAATATGAAGCAAATAGATTGTAGATCACTGGGGAGACCCAGGAAGGGGCTCTTAACGTTCAGATTACCAATTTTCAACCACTTATTATTATATCTAAAATAGCTAATAGTTAAACTAATTATTAACTGGCCCCTTTAAGTGGGCAATAACATACACTTCATAAATTATGTATATATATAAATTCAAGTCTATTTATCTGATTCTGTTAAATGTGTTTAGATCTTTTTGGTATTTCACTGTGGGTGTTTCCACATTTGTTGGTTGAGAATACTCAACAAAACATACATGAAGCTTGACTGCTTTATTGATCTGGGCAGGCACCGGGGGCAGACATCCCAACACCAGTGCGTTTGCGTTGGGACATAGTGTTGGGCTGCTTCAGGATGTGTTAGATCCCAGAGAAGCTGCCATCCGTTCCCCTCTACTGCTTTAGCTCAGTGGCAGTATGGGCCCTGGCTTCCTGCCATGCCACAATGGTACCAATGAAAGTACAGAAAAGTGGTGGATTTCGGGGTCCAGGATCCTCCCTCTTTAAGGTGGTGTCTTTTCCCTATCAGATATGTGCAGAGTCTCGGTAATTTGATGTATTTTTTGTATGCTATGATAATGTTTCTAGCATCCCAAGATTGTGATCTAAGGTTGATAGCTAACTGGCATCATATGAGACCGTTGAACTTTATTGGTTTCTAATTTATCTAGTTGGCTAGATCCTGGAGAAATTCATTTTGTCCCCAAAGAAATTCAACTCCCCTACACACCCACTTTAATTAGTTAAATTTGACGAATCTTTTAGGAAATATAACTTTGGCCCATATCTATAATCTCTGAAATTTCTGTGCAATTCTAAGAAGAATTACGTGAGTTATTAAAGGGTTGGGTGTGGGCAGTTACTTCTGGGCCACCCTGTACATTTTACTGTTTTGACTGAATTTTTCTTTAATACTCACTTTGTGAATTTACTGGCACAAAACTTACTGGGCGGCGCTCAGCCTAGCCTGTCATTCCGCCGAATCTCTATGTTTATGAACACGATAGCCTGAGGTCCCCAGGTAACTGAAACCCTAACTGCTAACCCTAACGAGAAATTAGACCAACTTCCTCATAGGGTCATATCACGTGATCGAGACAGTTTTTCGCCAATATCTCGTCAGGGGAGCATTTTAACCTTATGTCATGGGGGTGATTCGGAATCAGCGTCCGAAAATACATCGAATGAAGTTGATTTCAACTGTTGGGGGCCCTTTTAGAACAATCTCGAAGATCGACTGTAGAGTGATTTAGCACGCTCGATGTTGTACGTGGAGACATTTACGATATGATTCATTGAAATAAAAACTTTTCGATTGAGTTGAAAATGGGTGCAAAGATTTGAGATTATTGTAAACTTCGCATTTAAATGAGGAAGCGTGAATAGAGCAACAAAAACTACTTTAAAGGCCTACTATTGTATTGTATTGTATCGAGCATAAAGAACATTTTAGCTTTTAGTGAGATATACATGTCATATTGTAAAGTATGGACTCAGGACTGGGGGCTAACAATAAAATAGTACTACTACTGCTGATGTTACTGTTACATGTCACATGTTAGAGATAGAGATATAACTTATAAATAGTAATACATTTTTTCAATTCATTTATGATAGCTCGGCTTTTTGATTTCAGTCGAGTAGCAACAGCATCAATTTGTCCGATAAAGATACGTTGAACATATAATGGTTTATATCTTGATTTATATTTTATATATTCTGGTTGGCCAGATTGGCTTCCTTACAGACATTGGAAACCAAAACAGCGATAAACACAGAAGCAAACGCATTTCTCAGTTTCTCAACCTCTGCTCAGGGGGAGACGGAAGATCTTCAAGGTATGTAGTTGAAACTGAACCATGTTAATTACATTTACCTGAGTAGATGTTAATTTAGACACACCCGACAGTTGTCTTAGCTAATAGTTTGTTTCTTCATTTAAATATGTAATTACAAATTACGGTAGATATCTCAAAACGAAACCCAAAGAGTGAAGAGATTTCGATCGATATGATAAACCTATTGTACAGTAGTGGCAGATATATGTGAATATTTGGCACTTTTTAAAAACTTATGAACATATCCTTGTCAACTTGCATAGAATTTAGAAATAGAGATGATAAATAGTAATAAATATGGAATATATTTTTTGCCAACTATTTTTAGATTGTCCTGCGTCTTTCCCCAACGTCTACTACCATGGACAGTACTGTTGTAAATCAAACAAGGAGAACGTCTACACTCCTCAGGGTACCAAGTGTGACGGCAGTGTGATAGAGAAACAGTTTGTGCTGCGAGGGGGACCAGTTCACGCCATGTCCCAGTAGAACTAGAAATTATGGAATGAGCTACCAAGGACGTAAGCTAGGTGAGTGTCTTCGTTTTGGTTACCTTATCGGACCTTATTTGGACGGACATTAAATTAACGGACATAATTATGAACGGATATTAATATGAATGCTAGAAGGCATTCAAAACCATCAAAATTCCGAATTTTTTTCATTTTTTTGACGTTTTTTTATTTCAGCAAATGATTTTTAAATCCATTTTTATACAGTAAGTAAGAAAAACAGACGTTAAGCAGTAAGAATGTTAAAATATGTGTACATGATCAGTGTCTAATTTCACATATCATCTTCATCAAATGGGTTTTCGTGCAAGAAATAGTCCATGCTTAAAGCATCAGTGATTTCTAGCTTTATGAAAACCTTTTTTATCAAACTATCCCGGTCCTGCATTTCAGTGTTTTACAAGCCATTCAGCGTAAAGTGGTTTTATCTTAGACAACTTTAGGTAAACCTTAACATCACGTGGAGCTTTCCTAGCACTGTTCTATTACCTCCCCTGAGTAATATGAACTATAACAACGTCGGAAAATGTCCTTGGCAACACGATTTACCGTCCCAGTGACAAAAATTTAAAAAGGGACTAGGAATCCAGTCTGGAAAGAAAAAACGGCTACCATATATTTTTAAAACGACTACCATAAATTTTTCGGCCGCTCCGCGGCCGGATAACGATTTCATTTTACTTTGCTAGTTATATTACAGAGGTTTAGTTATTCATTAGTATAGTTATTAATTCATTAGTATAGTTATTCATAATTGCCAAAAGATTGTGAAAGATTTCCTTTCCGGGTCTCGAACTCGCGATCTGCTAATATTGATTGAAATAAATTTTCGTGCACATACAGAATGAATGGTTAATAATTTAATATATATGTAGACCAAGGTCTGTGCACGGGATGCTTCCTGGAAGAATCCAGTTCTTTTAGCGGGGCACCCTACCTAAAGCCAAATTGAGATATAATAATCATATTCCTAGAGAAATAATCAGAAATCGAATACCAATCAAATAATATGATATATAGGAGTAGTAACCATATTTACTATGCAAAATGCCCCAACCACAGAGTGTAAATTTATATAGAATTCAAATTCCATACCATCATTAAACCTCAATAGTCAATATAATAGCCCAGGCAAAATTAAATAACTTCTTATATACCTTACTGTCATACTACAAATTAATTAAACATTTGAAATCTGTTAACCAGAGAATAAATTTCTAAACCTAATGCAAGTGAAATAATTTAGATGCAATAATGAATGCCTAATGTGAGTATCATCTGTCAATGTCCTTGTAAAAAAGTCTGTAAAAGAGATATGAGTAACTTATATAGAAGAAAAAACAGGAAGTTGTCGTCTGTTGAAAAATAAGTAAAATATCTAGAATATAAATTAGAATATAAAATAACATTCAGTCAATGTGTCGTCAATAAAATGTACAATTATCAAATGTTAAAACTGGGTGATACAGTCACCAAAAATAAATACTAAGTATAATAAGTAAATAAATTAAATGTGGTCTATAAAACTACCACTAGGTATAATAGGTCATTAAATTAAAAGTGGTTTATAAAACTACCACTGTGCGAACCCTTTCTCCAGTTAAAACATGTCAGTCATGTGCAAAATCAATCAAAATGGTAAGGTGGTAAAACAAGGAAAATTCTTTCGATACATCAATTATATATGCCTCAGATTTAAAAGAATTAGAAGATACTTAGTTATCGTCGACTATGATTGCAGTGTAAAATTTGTCATATGAATTGTCGACGGTATAATTAGGGTCTGTTGTTATAGATGAGAGTAGCTGTTTCTTATACGAATCACTAAAGCTTTTAACATCGGGCAGATTTCGTAGATCTGTTGGAACATTATTCCAACATTTTGCCCCCAAGTATTGAAAGTTTTTATGTGATGTTGATCTATTAACATATAGGTTGCATCTATTAACATATAGGTTGCATCTATTAACATATAGGTTTGCAGCTTTCGCCGCTCCTACTACCTCCTGATATGTAACTAAATTTGTTCATAAAGTTTGTAGGACAATTGTCATGGATGATTCTAAACATATAATTTGACAGATGGAGTTGTCGTCTAAGATGGAGTGGTAACCATTTCATGTCTCTATAAACATTAAGGCTGCTCTCTGTTTGTGGAACGTTGAGAGCTATTTTGGCTACCTTTTTGTACAGAGTGTCAAGTTCAGCAAGTTTTGTCTTGCCAGCTCTACAATAGATCGTGTCTAAATAATCGAATTGTGGCAACATGAGTGCATTGGCAAACATTTTCCTATATTTAATGGGTAGCAGTGCTTTACTTCTATACATGGCACCAATTCTCTTCATGACCTTCTTAATAATATAATCTACATGGCTTTTGAAGTTTAATTTACTATCT